TATACTTTTCATATCATAGGTAGACGTATTTGTTCTTTCAGACTGTGATCTACAACTATACCAAATTACATCGACATCCATGCATCCATCGCGTTAAATGACACAATTGAATAGTTAAACGTTCAATAAATGGACTTCAGAAACCCGACATAAGTCGACCTATTTAAAACTACATATCATTAAAATTATTTAGTCAATTTATTCGTTAGAGATATTAACAGTGGTAGAGCCCGCTTTAACACCTTCGCAGGATTTGGCCCGGCTCGCCCGGTGAAATGCGACGACCACACAGAAGACAGGCGTCAAGTGAAAGCAATTCCGCGTTTTGTCTGATGAGTTTGCGTCCCGGAGGCCTAATTTAGTCCTCTTTTCCTTCCCACCCTTTTCATAAGGAGAGGATGGGTAGTGGAAGTGGACTTTCCGGATGGGAGGATGCATGGAAAGGGAAAATATTTTCTTTCTGTGCATCCTCTCCTCCGTCGATTAAAAGTAGGCAACGCATATGCAATTGCGTAAGTCTATGGGCAACGGTCACTTCGCTATTTCAGTGATTTCAGGTGGCCGCTCGCTCGTTTGCCATCTTCTGATATAAAAAAAAATGTTCTATTTCCATCATCTTGCTATGCTATCATTAATACGTTTATTAAAAAATAATTAACTTAAAATAATAACAGAGCCAAAATATCTTAAAGATATCTTCGTATAAGTGAGCAAATGTTGCACTGCGGCTCTCAAAGAACTCTCAATGACAATGAAAACCTTTTTAGGAATCCGAGTTCACGCGACCTAATTAGAAAGCCAACTCGCCCTTTTTAAAACGTTTTGCTGAAATACACTCATATTTACGTTCACTCGATTATATTAATTCAAAATAAAATGTTAAATTTTAACTTACCAATCTAGGTTGGCGAGGAATATCCGGCAATGGAGGTGAAGAAAGTGGAACACGAATATGGGGCGCCCTCCAGCCAGGTGGACCGATGATTTGTGTGGACAGCGGTAAGTCATTGGATGTGGAAGGCCGTAAACTGTAGAAGATACTGAGGAATTGCCGAGCAGTGGGCAGAGAAAAGCTGATGATGATGATGTTATTAAGAGTCAAAAGCTATAATGACACCGAAGTACACGCTCCACTAACAAATTACAACGTAGTCTATGAAAAGAGTGCAATTTTAGCAACTACCCTCACCGCAATAAAAATTTTAATTACGAACTCCTGACAAAGTCAATTTTTAACACGTAAACATCTATTAATATATACAATACGAAGAAAAATACTTCTTTTTTTATATCATAAATTACATACCTGACAAAATTATGTAGACAGTAGAAATAAAATGTTGCCATAATAAGATGCGCTATTTCGGACAGTAATCTATTTATGTGACAAATTTCAAATACATTTAAACATTTTGGAGTTACCTGCTAATAAATATCCATCTATCCAAACTATCGCATTTCTAATATTAATAAAACTAGGTTTTGCCCGCGACTTTGTTCGTGCGGAATTTATAAGAAATTATTGTGGTATTTTATATTATGTTCATCCATCCATGTATGCTAAATTTTCGCTAGATCCGTTTAGATGTTTGGAGATAGTGTATTAACATCTTGTCATCCATCTAAATCACATTTATAATATTAGTAAGATAACAAGATTAGTGTATATAAGATAGTAAGATGTATGATTATACAAATATTTTGGTATTTTTATGACATGCCGTAATGTACAATATGCATACATTTTTTCTTAGTTAATTTTATAACAGATTTCTTATCTTTGTAAACCGCATTTGCAACGCTTTTGGATTAAAAGTAAAATTTAAGCCAGTTCTCGCATTACTTAGTAGATGGCATTATGACAAAATCCAATTAGTTATTTTAAGTCGTTTGTGTAAGAAAATTATATTTAAATTTAAACAGAGTCTAAATCGAGCTTGAATATTACCTAAAAAATCATATTTTTTCCACTTTGTGTTTAATAAAAATTGACATTCCAATCACTAAAAATGGATTCTATCGTTAGGAATATGTACTATTTTGATAAGTATAAATATTACCTAACACAGTTCTTGACTTTTTTAAGTAATTTACTCTAAAAGATCTAAAAGGATTTAGTATAATTAAGGAAAAATTAAAATAATTCCTACATGTATTTATCTCAAAGAAATGTAGCAATAGATTTAAAATATAACGAATCGAAAACGTTAACTGAAAATTCGTCGTGAACAAGAACTGTACCTTGTATTCGTAATAACGGAACGAAGTTAACGGAGTGGTAAATGCTTGAAAGCTTTCCAGTGTTCTAGAGGCAGGTGACGTCCCCACACACTCGGCGAACGGTTAGAGGCACGCCACACGCACGCCAAATGGCCGTATCGAAATGCTTGCAGACGCTTTCATTGTTTAACAACTGTGCAACGTATCCGACACTCGGAAGTTATTTCAACCTCAATTAAATCATGTTTGTTTTGATATTGTACAGTTGTTTGTTTCATGTTTACAGAACAGATAAGTAACTTTTGAAGGCAATAAAATTATTTTTCAAAAGTTGAACGTCTGGACAATGTTTAATTATGTGTACTATACTCTATGACGATGTTTTCCTTCACTGTAAGAACGTCGGATAAATGTACATATGTGAATATATCTGAGAAGAAATTCAAAGATATGTGTGAAGTCAACCAACCCGCACTTGGCCAGCGTGGTTGATTATAGCCTAGTCACCCCTTACTTAGGGTAGGCTCCGAACTCCTCGGTGGGGACGTATAGTGAGCTGGTGATGACGATGATGATGATGATGATACTCGTATACCTTTAAATAACGTAAACAAATTTAATTTATATTTTTTTATTATTATAGTTTACTCGTATAACAAAGGGTTTGATGTTTTTCCTTGTATGTAAGTTTGTTTTATGTATGTGGCTTTGAATGTATGTATGTAAATTCCATTGGCCTTCAGCCTAAACAAATAAACCAATTTTGATAACTGAGGTGTCATTCGGTTTGTCTTTTTCCCTGGATTATAATACATTTCCACAACATACATATAGAGGATGTGAGAAATCAAATTCTAAAAATATTGCAATAAGGAATTCAAATCTCACTCACCATAACTTTTTTTATTGATAAATGTTTTCGAGTACTGATATTATAAAAGCAGTTTTACATACAACGTTGCAGTTTATTTAAATTAAAAATGTCGTTAAACGCGGACACAACAGACAGCATTATTTCGTCTATAAAATTAAGCTTAGGTTATGCAATTATTTCCGCACTAAATTAAGCATTAATAAGAGGAAGTTTAATGAAGCCTTTTTGTTTATTTACACTTATAAATAAAGATACCTTCCCAAGTATTAAAAATTGAGGTTTTTAGCCGATTTAAAAAAGAAACGAGTTATCAATTAGTGTGTATTTTTTCATAAAATTATACCATAATCGGGCTGTTTGGTCAATAAACTAAATTTTATTTTAAATTTTTAAAGTCAGAGTAAAATATCTATAGTTGTAGTAAAGGTTGTAAGGAAGCGTTTGTCGAGTGCACAATAGAGAGTGAACATGACATGACCGGTCGCCGGATGCCAATTTGCTCGTCTAAACGAACTCTATTGAACGCGGAAATATTTGTTTAAAGTGTATTACAACTGAAATAAACCCTTGCACTTTGCACATTGAAATGACATTGTCACTTGCTGTATTTTCACGTTTTGTTTAAGTTTTATTAGAGCTAAATAAAAAAAAAAAATATCATGGAAGAAAACAAAAAAGAAAACATACAAATTTTAACATCGCATTTAGATATAAGATTTTTTTTGGATTTTCAAACCTTAAGGTTGACATATATACAGACTACTTCAGGCAGTATAAATAATTTGTACCTAACGGCGTAAATGTATCGGGAGTTGACTTTGCTATATACGAACCGTAGTTTGCCTTACGGTAAACAATTATTACAATCGTTCAGCTAACTCTATACTAAAGAGAAAAATGTGATAAATATAATTTTAATGAATAATGTGTTATATAGTAAACATTAATAAAACAAAAATAAAAAGATAATAAGCATCGTTAATGAATATGCGATGGGTACTCATGTTAAATCATGGGAAATTTACTTCTTGGATTGGTGCCCATCAGTGGAAAGTATATCCATATCAAGATAAAGTGTTTTATAGTGAACTTTTTACTGTTGCACACTCTTATACATATGTGGATGTTATTGTTTTCATAATAAGAAACATTTTGTATGTTTTAACGGCAATTCATCGTGGATGTCCCGTTAAGGCCTTTTAACTCGTTAAAATTTTCCTTTACCACATATGAAATTGCTATTTGTATAAGGAAGGAATAAATGTAGACGTTACACAACGTCTAAAACTTTGAGCTATAACATTTCACTTGACACCGACTTCTTATATTATTACAAATTACATGTGGTTAGTTTACGCTTCAGCTATAAAACCAAGGTCTCTCAGATAGAGATATCGTGGAATCGAATCACATATCTGTTACCTTGTGACATGGTTTTCAAGTATGACTTGTTCTGATGGATCGATATACGCATATAATCGTGCAGCCAGTGGCGCGAGTCACGCGGCGTGCTCGTGGGCCGGCCAGTCCCGTGTCCCCGGACAATATCTTACCACTTTTGTTTGATTTGATTTATTCCACCTAATACCTGTAATTGACATTTGATCTAATAGCCTAATTACTGCTCGTTGTGAATTTATAAACGTTGTCGTTTACATTTCTAACATTTTGAGTTATCCTTCTAGTTGTACCAAACTAAACAAAGTCGGAATCTTTTTAGTGAAAAGTTGTTTTTCTTGCCTGTGTTATAACATATATGCACAGGTTGCCTAGTATGGTTCCCAATACTGAGTAGACTGATGTTATCTTGAAATAGGCAGTTTAAACTGATTCACTTTCTTGACAACACCAGCAGGGAGAGTAAAGTCCTAGCAGGTAAACTTGATCGTCGATAATGAACACTCACCTGGCACTCGTAACAAGTGTGAACCGAAAAGGGCTGGTCACAGTCGTAGCGATCGAGGATGGTGGCGAAGTCGCAGTGCACGCGCGCGACCATCGCGTCGAGCGCGAGGAGGTCGCGCAACGTGCGCTCGCAGCGCTCCCCACCGGCCAGCACGTCGGCGCGTGCGCCGCGGTCTAGCGCGGAGGCCGGTGAGCGCTCGCAGCAGGCGCGCAGCCGCAGCTCGGCCAGGCGGCGCGCGCGCGTGCTTGCCGCCAGCGCGCACAGGTGCGGCACGTCGCGCCCCGCCAGCGAGGGCTGCGCGCCGCCGCCGCCGCCGCACGCCGCGCGCCCGCACTCGCGCCCGCCGCCCGCGCCCTCCTCCTCCAGGTCGCACGCGCTCAGCCAGGGGTTGAGGCGCGCGAGCGGACTCACGGCCAGGCCCGCGGCCGCCATCAGCAGCAGCAGCAGCAGCGGCGGCGCTCGCATGGCGGGGGCGGCGCCGCTAGCGGGGGCCGGCCCGCCGGGCGCGGCGCTGCCTCATACCGCATCGCGCATGGCGACCTACTCGCGCGGCCCGGGCCGCGGGGCCGCCGCGCGGGGTGGGCGCGCCGCCATGTCGCTGCTCGCCGCTCGACTGACTCCCCCCGGGCGCGCATCGATCGCCCCGCGCCCCGCGCCCCTCGCTGGCTGCGCGCGCCCGGCACCCGCTTTCGTTATGTAAGCCTGCGCGCGCAGCCGGACCCGCCCGCCATCACCGCCGCAGCCGCCCTCTCGTAGCGCCGTAGCAAGGCCGCCCGCCCTCGGCTCTCGTAGCACACTAATAAGTTTTAGGAAGTTACTATTGTTTGAATAGATGGCGTTTTTCCACTGTCAGAGTTAACAGTAATAACATGGTAATCTTATGAAAAACGTGAATTAGGTAACATAACTTTTTTACTTTCTCAGCAGTTTCCTTACACATATCTCTCGTTTCAGGTTACAAATATTTGTTTGTGAAAATGAATAAATGTTTACGGATTCTTGCAGGTGCAGGTAATTCAATTGACAAAGTTTTATTTTAATGCCTCTTAAGACGCAAACTCGAAGTGTGATACTGCACAGCTTCTGGATGTAGCCATAACCGTGACATATGCAAACAATGTAGACTTCAAGGTTAATAAAACTATTCGCAATAAATAATAACTATACATCTGTTATGAATGATTTGTTAGTTTGGATCTATTTATTTATATTAAAGAAGAAAATAAAGTCTATACAGATAAAATTAATATAAAACAAAGACCTCTTAATTACATTCGATCACACGATTGTGTTTTTCTACTAATTTTAAAATCATAAAAAAAGTTACATTATTCTTTAATAATCTCGTTGATTAAGTTGGCGTAAGTATGTAGTATTTTTCTGCAATGATATATTCGCGCAGGCAACGCCGGGCATAAAAAGCTAGCAAATAATTAAGATAATTAAAAGACGTTGCCGATTGTGTAGTTATTGTATCTAGATTACATATTTGTACAATATTGCGCATTGTTCGTTGATTGCCATTATAATAAGGCAGGCGCGACCAGACTTGTTCTAGCGGAAAGGGTTAACCGAGGCTGTACGGCTTCACAGTCTGTTCCTCTCCCACTTATAACGACTAGCATCCGTCTCTGTCCCGCGGAACGAAGTTGCGCGCGCGCAGGTCGAGTGCATTCACTCCCGCGCAACGTTACGAAGTAAACAACACAGTTTTAGACAGATTTTGTCTTTTAACTTTGTACAATTATTACGTGATTTTGAAATCATTTAAATTCGATCAAAGTGTGACAGTGTACCGAATTGTTGATTACGACAGACAGTTTTTGCGTCACGTCAAGTATTTCAAGAGTTTAGTGGGATTAAGAAATCAGAGCGAAGGTCAAAATTTCATCATAATGGACGCAACAAGTAAGCAGTTTTAACCGATCTCATTAAGAAACGCGTTGTTTACTTATCAATATAAAAACATAAGCAACAAAAGGAATTACAAATCCTATTTTCATCAATCAAATACATTTTGAAGACAAATAGTAAAAGTAAACTCGTTTAACAGTTATAACTTTTTTTTGTTAACATTCTAAATTTAAATTCACTTGTGATTTATTGTTTTTTTTTTTATTTTCATAACATGCCTATGAATATGTATAAGAACATACATAAAAGTACTAGATATGAAATTAAGTTATTAAGAAATTTTTTTACCAAAAATATTTTTTATTGCAAAACTGGTAATTTCCAAATGAATTTACTTAACAAAATGCCTTCCTCGTATTGTTCATGACGTGGATAATGTTGTTTGACTGGTTTGCCTTTAAAATATTTTATTCCAATTGGCAATTACAAACGCATTTACATAATTAAATTATAAAAACATTTACATTGAACTAATGTATTATAAATGATTAGTGCGGACCATCTGTATTTTAAAATTGTTGGTGACATGATGCGTTTAGCTAAGGAATAAAATCGCATGGTAAAAGGAGTTTCGGAAATTTTCCGGTATTGCTTAACAAGATTGTCTTCACGGCCTACATAGCACCGCTGTAGTTACAACATCGATATCTTATAAATCACTTTAAACCTAAGAGAAATAATTTAAACTTGCAAACAAGTGACAATATCCTTAAGGAAATCAATGCATGAATACGCTATAGAAATTGTAACTGTTAATTTCCTCTACCAAGACTCTTGAAGTGATAAAAACATGATTTGTTACAAGTTTAATCAGAAATAAAATATCACGTTTAGAATGGATATGGAGCACAATGCCTTGTTATTTTCAGTCACGTGATACCCATTGCTGGGCATAGACTTCAAACATCACTCCGACCATCATCAATTTTTACGCGTACAATTTAACAATTGAACAATTATCCTGTATCCTACATCATTTCACTGGTACACGAAGATACTAGCCATAGTAACTTAAAGTTAAAATATTGGTTTAACACTATCGATCGCTTAACGGACAATGCAACAACAAAATATTTTTTTTCGTATAAATCTAAATCGGACTCAATTGTCGCTTATCTTTGTGCCTATATGCTATGAATTTGATATGCAAAATCACACAATATGTCAATTACTTGCACTTGCATAATCATGTAACATCAACAATCGTGTAACGGAACGTAAACTGAGCACAATGGGAACGTGATCAGTGTTTACAACACGTTGCCCGCACGCTTTCCCATTCATACATGGAAAATTAATTTGAAATTATTGCACGAATAAACAGCTTTGACCCACTCACAAATTGAACTGAACAATGCGATGCTAATTGTACAATGTATGAATTGTTTTCTATTGGTATTTTACATTTTGCACGTACTATATTTTAACAAAAAAATGTGCATACTAATCGAGACCATCGTTCTTTTTGGAGACTGTTAAAATGCTCAGTTACTTTTGAGGCGCATCCAAATGGAATTACAAATGCTATTTTAATAAAAATATACTAATTTGCTCACTTCAATTATTTTACTAATGACTTTAAACGCGAACTTCTTCGAACGAATTCATTGGAATGCGTGAGATCAGAAGACAGTTTTCTAGCTTCTAGATTAAAAGCACACTACTTATCCTTCATCTTACAGTATCAATAACCAATAAGTTTTCTTTTGAAAGCTTAGATTTTATTGTTTTTAACACCACATTACGGAATCATGGTCAAAGCTGCGTTATTTATTACAGAAAACAATTGAATAAATTCCATATATTCTTTCATCTTCTTAAAAAAAACATTTGAGCATCACCTTAACCCAGAACTATGCATTTCAACTGCTAAGCTACAAATAAACCTAATTACATTTCAGTGGAAAATAAAATGGGTCTTCCACCACCGTACGAGCCCAACGCACCGAACCCAGCACCGCCGCCATCCTACTTCGGCGACAACCCCCCACCCCCAGCAGCTCCCACAGCGCAGCCGCGCACGGTGGTCGTCACCAGTGCTCCCTCGTCATCCGACACCAGTGAAATCAAAATAGGACCAGGACCAACAGGGATCACTTGCCCCAACTGCAACAGATCTGTAGTCACTCGAGTAAACTACGCGGCTAACAATCGAACGCATATTATATCAGCTGGACTTTGTATATTAACTGGGTAAGTCTTATAATTACTATTATAATATATACTTACTATTATACAAATATCCATTGTTAAAAAATCTGTACGAAATGTTTGTACTCCGACAGAGCTACCTTGTTTTGTGTCGGGGGAAATCTTTTAAAGTTACCCTGCTTTAGGAAGACAGGGTTATGTGGGATTTGACCCACTTAATCCCTTCGGTGGCCAAACTCAAGTGCAATAGAAGAGGGTTCCGAGAAGGAAGGAACGCATCCGATTACTTTCTTTATAAGTTCAGAATTATTTTAACGTGCAAATGTAGACAATTTGTGCCTCTCACTTTTTGAATGTTAAAAAAAACGTATTAAATGGAGAATTGTTAATATATCAGTTACAAGAACCGACGCTCAATGTCGGTTGAATCATTTGCCAGTAATTACTTATTATGTTTTCATAATTTTGAAAGCAATACGGCTGACGGTCGATAAGTTTTTTTGATTTTATTTAAGTTACAAAATAAACACAGCCATGATTTTCTTGCTTTCTCTTCTTTGTTGATGTTAGCATTAATTATGTTTGTAAAATTGTATCAAAAGTTTTTCTTTTGATGCCTCATTACGACATTTTCTCAAAGAACTTACATTGTGGAGAGGAAGAGATAACGATGAATGATATTTGATCTCTCTGACGTAACACTCTGATATGAGAAACAACTCATTCACTTTAATTACGCCGCTAATAAAAACACATTGTACGCAGTCAAGTATCACATCACGTCATTATTTTTATTACAAGTACAGTTCCCGCTAGAATTTGTAAAATATCTTGAAGCACATTTTTCACACATACAGCTATTTTATTTTTATAATATTCATGTATTTTTTTTCTCATCCGAAATAACTGAAAATCTTAAATTATTAATGTGGATGTTTAGATGGATGGATGATGGATGTTTCTTTGAAGGTATCTTCAAAACGGCTGAATGGATGTCGCCGGAACTCATTAACTTTTTTTATTAAATCCGCGCGGACGACGTCGCGGGCGACAGCAAGTGTTTGATAAAGTTTTGGCCGCCATGTTTGGTATTTTACTTTTCTTTACATTCTTTATTTATGCATTCTGTTGAAACGAGACACAGTATACTGTTTTTAGGGTTCCATACCTCGAAAGGAAAAAAACGGAGCCCTTATAGGATCACTTTGTTGACCGTCCATCTGTCTGTCAATACCCTTTTTATCAAGAACGCTTGAAGGTATTAAGCTGGAATATATTTTTGAGTAATGTGTCGTTTTACAGATGCTGTTGCGGTTGCTTCGTCCCCTACTGTATGCGATCCTGTAAATCTGCAAATCATTTTTGCCCTAAATGTAGAGCGTTCATCGGTACCTACGTACCGTCTTGATTAAATATAATACATTGCCAATTTATTCTTAATGTAATAAACTCGTGTACCTTTGGAAAAATAACTGTGTTTGAACTCCGATAGAAGAAATGAACGAAGGATTAGGAAAAATGTAATGATTTGTAATAAATGTTTAAACGCAATAAAAAATAAATATTAATATGATGAAACTAAAATTTGATAAAGGCGGATTTATCTCTATATTTTTAGATAATATATAAAACTATGTTCGTATGTTTTTCATACAAGGAATATATACATATGTAACATGCGTTTTGATTATTTCTAATGTATTTGTATGTTTTCTTAATTATTTTCTACAAACATTTATGGAAAATTTCTATTCTGTGATATGTTTATAATTCTTTTTAAGTTCTTTTTAAGACATATTTTATGTTTAAGGTATACTAGTTACGTCATTATTACATTAAAACTAAAAATTATGTTGTATAAATTTAATTTTTATTCGAAATTTTCTACTTATTTAAATATAATTTTTTATACAATCGGAATTTTTATTTTTAACCTAAATTATATATTGTTACCGAAAGCATAAAATGTTCAAAAAACATGTAAATTTTAAGATATTTATGTAAATAAATGCATCCTAGTAATTATCGGTTGTCAATACTTTTCAGTTTATTATTTTTAAACATTATTAAAACAAATGATTACAATTAAGGTAACATTCACAACACATTTTAATTGTATTTTATAATTTGTGACGTAAATTATTAAAGGAAGAAAAGCTTCCAGTAGATTCGCAACTTTGTTGCATTTGAACAAGCAAAGATATTGCGGCCAAAATAAACTTCCATAAACTTAACTAAAATCTCTTAAATGTGACAAGGAAAACAATAGAGAAGTTTTCAGTTTAAAATTTTATCAGACATTGTAGCGTAAAATGTTTTAATAATAAAAGCATATATTTGGAGTTTCTTATGTCAGCGTACTATCTATCCTTTCCTTCCATTGCGTTTAAAATCTAGACGGTTTGACGAACGAGTTTTGGTTATTTATCGTGCGTAAAAAATAGTATTCTTTAAATTATTGGCACTTAAACTCTCAAAATCGAAACTTTAACGATAAAAAATAATAAACACACTCGCGAAATAAACTCCCTGGATGTTTTTACATTGTTTAAATTACAAACAGACATATTCTAAATTTAACTAACAAAATTAACAATTATATCTAATCTCTATGTAAAAAGTCGCATTTTTATAAAATCGTTTTCCTTGTGTAAACTCCAAGAAACCTTTGACAATTGGGACAATAGTGCTCCACGTTTTTCCATCTTTTCACTACGTACGGTATTATGCAACAACACAGCCACCTGAAAATTTTAAAAAGTATTTATCGTAAAAGTGTTGCCTTGTAAAGAACAACAATGTTTTATAATTAGTTATTTTTTCTGAAACCTACTAGATATTCAAGTTTAGAGCGGTCTGCATTCATTTGCGGTATTCATATCTAGATAATAAATTTCCTTAATAATCTGATTATTACGATTTTTTATTTATATTAACAACATAATACGTAACGTGGAACCATACCAAAACAACACCCCCAGTATCACTGCAATTATGTGAGTTAGAGTGGTGTTCTTATACGCCGCCCTGGTCATAACATCCTCATGGCAGTGTGGACAGCGCATGCCCACTGGCTCCGAGCCCACGCGCAAGAGGTCCATCTCGATGTAAACATCATTATTACTCTGCCTGATCTGCTCGTATGAGTTTGTATCCACTAAAATATTGGAACATATAAGATTAGATGGAAATGTATGAATGTCGCTGACCGATTATGTACTTTGTCAATTTATATTCGGAAAATTGAAGCCGTAAAATAGTCGAAATACAATGACATTATCGATTTATTCAATATTTTCTAACAGCTTATTATAACTTAAATTTGATGATAATATGACGAAGTTATATGAACGAAAAAGTGTTCTACTGATTAAATTTTACACCTCACCATGATATTACTAAATCAACACACATGAAATATCCTACGATGTCGATATACTACAAATGCACTAACGATAATTTTATTTAAATATAATAAGAATAAAACAATTCACTCACTTGCTTTCCCAATATACAATAAATAAATTGTTACAAATAAACCACTTAGAAAATTACAGCACACTAGTTACATGTACATTTAATTATAATAAATGGAAGAAAAAAGTTATTTCTGTTACTTATTGCATGTGACAAATGTATAATATGGAGCAAGTATAAAGATTCTAATTTAAAAACAAACTATCGAAGATAAGTATCGGATAAACTACTACTTGTTTGTAGCGCAGTGCAAGTTATCGGAAACACACGATATATCCATTGGTTATCGAATGCTTAGATAGATAACGCTAAATATATTACAAGTGTACCTAAATATGCCGCGTAAAGTGGATAGCATAGCATCATATAGATATTGCATAGTCTTCCATGTTATCTATCTATGCCCCGCGACTTTTCTTATTGCGTATTCATCATTATGCCTTTGAGATTCAATCTGTCTAGAAGTTAAAATTCAAGTACAGGGAGAAGCAGGGTAAAGGGAAAGTGTCACATATTTATAATCTCACTCTCACAGTTTGAAATTGTATAACACCCGCATAAAGAAGGTGTAATGAATGTAAAATTGTAATCTTTACTATCAAATAAGATCACAATCAGAAACTAAAAGTAATGAAGAAAATCGACAAATGCAATCAGAATGGTGGGTTTACCAAAAAAAAGAAATTAAAATTAAAACTGACGTACACAGAACGTTCCCGTTACGTGTGTCTTTGCAAATAGTAAAAAAATTAACATGACATGACGTCATCTGTCATTATGACATTGACATATTTTTATTTGGCTTTGCGTTGTAAATAACCTAGGGTTTTGGAATCGGTTTTTAGTATTTATCTAGAACCATTTAACAGTTTAGAGTAAGTGTAGTAGCAAGATAGATCTGAAACAACAGTGTTTCTGAAATAAAAACCCAAAGACTTTCTGATGATCTATTTTTCTTATATGAGACTTATTGGTCTCTGAGCAAGCTTAGCAATGGATGTAGATTTATTAAGACCAGGAACTGTACCCATATCACCAGACACTATCCTCTGGTTTGAATTTATACTTGATCCTACTCTATTAAAAAAACACCTCAGTAAAAGAAATCCAGGTTAGTAAACTTTCATTATTATTCAAATAGTTAAAACGGCAATATTAATGATTTTCGCGCCCATGACAGGTAATTTTATATATTACTAATAGAATTGTATTACATTGTATGCATTTTTTAGGCATATTGGTTGCATTTCGACCTCCAGTATCCTAAACTGCTTTTAAAGTGTAATTCCATTCCGATTTTTTGCTCTTTGTGTCATTGGAGGTCTGACAGTTAAGTTTTATGATTTTTAATTATCAAATAGTATTTTCTTAATAACAGAACCATCAGCATGTGAGCTTATAGAAGAATTCTTATCAGTTGATGCGAAGAATTCAGCATCAAAAGCTGCAAGTGAAAGAGTTGTTGATGTGGATGGTCCACCCAGTCCGCCAACAGTGACAACTACACCTTTACAATTTTCTAGAAAACAACTAGCACTGAAGATTCTGGCTCTTAAGATAGCTGCCACACTTCATTGGAACTTGGGTAATCAAAATTATGTACTGTTTGATATGAAAGTTATGTAAAATAATGTGATAATAAACTTATTCTGTACAACTTTAATTGTACCAAATGGACTCCTCTCTGAAGAGAGAGGAGACTCTGAGTACCTAGAAGGAGACAGAAAAGTCAGCAAATTATATTTCTGCAACATTGGTTAATTATAAATGTCACACACTACATGTACAAGACCTGAAATAAAACAAAAAGGTCATGTAGAACATAGTCTTGAAGAATACTTAAGCTACTTATTAAGTTTTTTTAAATGCCGCATGGACGGAGTCACGGGGAACAGCTAGTTTAGTACAAAATTACATTATTTTTAGGTAACGCATGTTTATTTATGACGAATAATTTCAGATGTATTTGAAACAAAGTTACCTCCACAAATACAGCAACAGCTGATGCAAGATCTTGTTTATGTAGCCACTGACACAGCATTTGCGGTCCCACCACAGGTAAATAGACTTCATACATTATTTCTAGCAGGCTGTTACGGAATAAACATTTAGTTATGTAGAGTTTATTACAAACTGTAATTATGTTCACTATTCTGTTAGAAACTTTTTTTAGGAGAATCAGTGGCTTAGAGTTTAAGTAATGGACTTGTCTGCAGTTCCTGTGTTTGAATCCCGCCATCTACCAAATGTTTTTCAATTATAGATTTAAACCATATTTTATGTACTACAGGGTGTATGCTTATTGTATATATGATAAAATTTAAATAAATGTGATTCATTTTAGGAAATACCAACAGAGTTATTAAACAAACCTCAAGTACAATTTGCACTGACTTTATATCATAGATGGATACTAAGATTTCCTGTTAAAGCTGCCTTATTCGCTAAGTCTACAAAAATGCCTTTTGTACATGTGTAAGTATTGACATTAATTATTGAAAAAAAATTTTATACTACTATCAATCTTACTATCTTACTAATATTATAAATTCGAATGTTTGGATGGATGCATGTTTGTTTATTAGAAGGTATCTCCAGAACGGCTGCATGGATCTTACTAAAATTTAACATAGAGGTTAAGCATAGTTTAGAGGAACATATAGGCTACTAATTAATTTATTTTAAATCCAGCTCGGATGGAGTCGCGGGCGATAGCTAGATTAATATAATTTTTCTCTTTTATTAGACCCGGAATGCAAACAGATACAGGTTACAGTCCTATGAATCAAAACTTTGAAAAAATACTTCGAATGTGTGACACATCTCGCTTACAAAGTATTAAATATTTAGAAAGTGTTCTAACAGAATGTACAAGTCATAGAACCCCTAAATCAATTAAAATACCAGTAATGGAGTCATTCATACATTTAACGGAGGATTGTAATGATATGAACCATAATTGGAATGCAGGAGATGTCTTCATTAACCAGTATGAACTTGCAATGCAAATTCATTTTGATTTATGCTACAATTATTTCTTTTATGGACAACATGATATGGCAAAAAAACATATACTCGGTTGCAGAGAAAATGCAAAACTACTTGAAAAAATTGTGGAAATAAAAGGCTATGGATTTCAAAGGGAAATGCCGTGGAATAATTTCAATTATGCTAGTATGACAAATGATGATATTGTAGGTTATATAAGAGCACTAAATTTAGGTTACGAATTGCTCAATGAAGAACCTACGTTGTTACAGAAACTTCAAGAGTCTGTAGCAAATCATTATGCTGGGATAATAGCTATTTTACAAGCCGACAATCTGGCTAGAGAAATCCCAATGATACATAGAGAAGTTGTAGAACTAGATATACAAGGATCGGCTTCAAGTGGTGCCTTTACTGTTGCCAGAGATCTATTAAATAGAGTTTCAGCACTAAACGCTGTGAGATATGCCCTCGAAGGCGGCATACCGTCAACACATCCTGATTTCCTTAACAAACTTAAAACTCTGGGTAACAAATTTTATGACTTGCTATTCTGGGCTCTGGGCCCAGTTTTGCAATCCGACTTATCAGAAGACGACTGGAGCAAGTTAAACATTTTCTTTTTACATTTAGCAACGTCCCAATGCAAAATACCAATCGATAGAATAGACGAGTACTTAAGAAAATACGTTGGAGCTGATTCAAGTGAAAAGGTAAGAAGGAAATTAATATCTGATGATAATTTGAAACAAATTATTAATGATCCGATGAATGGTGACGATGAGAACATGGATATTCCAAGAGAGCTCCTCACCGACGACTGGGATGCGCCAGGTTTCGATTCTAAAAGCGTCCCCGAACTCGGATTGGGAAAGCTGAAGAAGCGACTCGTGGAGGCATCGACGGCTGACGATGTGCGAATGTGTTTGGTTACGTTAGCAATTACATCGCCTTCGTCTCCGCTCTGGAAAATAAGTCCGTCGTGGAAGCCCGCCGGCACCTTGGCGAATGCACTGGTTTCTTTGCCTCGAGGATTCTTGCAAGACTTTGGATACATAGTGTCGGGCGCCGCCCGAGCGAGGGCGGAGGCCGGGTGCTCCCGCGTCGCTCTATCTATGCTCTCCGTGTTGGAAAGCGAGGTCCGCAACCAGGTCGGCGGGGGATCGGACTCGATAATGTACCGACTGTGTCGCCTGTTGTCATGGGAAGTGCTTTACTTGCAAGTAAATGTGATGCTCAGCGAATGGCCGCACCACCGGCTCAATTTGACAGTACTGGCCAACAAATGCAGGGCCGCCATCACAGCCGCCGCATCCGGCGACAGCGTCGCGCCACGACCACAGGTATATCAATCAGGGTCATATTTTTTATTACGTTTGCTGCAAAATGTAGGTTTAAAGGAAATTCGTCTGGTTTGCTTGTTATCTAAAATGGTAATGTAGGTGTTGGAGGCGTGCTGGACGTGTCTGGTGAATGCGTGCGAGTGGGACGGAGCAGGGGTGGGGGCAGGAGGTGCGGGCGAGGTGGCCGCCGCTCTCTGCGCCGCCTGCCTCGAGCTGCAGCGCGGCAAGGCTACCAGGAAATTTCCACGCGCCTTGTGGGACTATGGTATACATTTATTACATATTATATGAGTCGTATTTAAATCTTGCACAAATAAGTTACACAAAGTGTACGTTTTCAGCTCTTGCGGTATACTGCAACGGTTCTAATGGTCCCGTAAAGCGAACCTCGAGTGGGGTGGCCTCGCACTCCCGCGATGCACCTAACTCGTCCGAAGCGAGGAACTCCTTCAACGCGTTCCTGGCGAGCCTGCGGGAGCCCCTGGCCATCAGCGTCATGCTCTCGCTCCTCGCCAGGATATACAACCTGATCGTGGACGACAGCTCCTTGGAACTGGTCGTGGAGTACACCACCCTCTGGCCTTCCACCATATCCAATATGAACAACTACAATACTAAGCATATCATCGAATCTCTCACGGATCTACTCGAGAGAAGTCTGAAGTTGTACCCATATAATACGTCCTGGTGGGTGTTTTCGTTCGAAACAAGTTCTTTTCCTCCATTTAGTTCTAATTGCTAACACAAGTGTTCAAAAATGTGTCGCGGGCAGGCTCCGTCTGTACGGGGACGTGGAGATGTGCGGGGCGCGATGGGGCGCGGCGCTGCGGCGATACCTGTGCGCGCTGGCGGCCGGCAGCTGGCACTTCGCGAAGCGCGCGCCCGACGAGGGCAGCATAGCGCGCCGCGCAGCCCGCTGCTGCCAGGCCCTCGGCGCGCCCACGCAGGCCGCCGCGCTCTGCCAGCTGCCCGACGAGCCCGACTACACCACCGCATTCAAATGCCTCGCCGAAAAGGTCACTACCCATATAGTGTGCTTGCAAATTATGTTGAAACTGACTTATGAAATTTCAAGAATCAATAAATTTTGCGTGTTATTCTATTATATATGTTTAACGAATATAGAGTGGGAACGCCGCGGACGCGATGGACGCATACTACGGGTGCCTGTGGGACGGCACGCTGCTGGAGGTGGCGGTGGCGCTGCACGCGCGGCGCGGGGAGGGCGGGAGACGCGCACGCGCAGTGAAGGCGGCCGGCGCGCTCGAGCTCAACGCCAACAACAGCGAGGACATACAGCGCGAGGCGGCCGCCGTCAGGCGCGCGCGTCTCCTCAGAGCTCTCACCAATCAATACGTCGCTTAACAAAGACCAATAAATATTATTAGGAATTTATTATTGTTTCCATATGATCACGTTCAGTCGGCCCTTTCAGGTGTTGTTGGTTGACTTGCGATACTTCAATCTTGTCCAAGACTTTGTACTTTTTGTTATTGTCGTATTTCAAAGTCCATTTAAAATCGCTTCGCCACTGTAGTAACATTGTTACCTTACTGCTCTTAAACTCTCGATTATTTCGACGATATTAAACCATTAATTACAACTTGTAAGAAGTTTTTAAAAAACCAAAGTGGATGTTGAATAATAAAATTAAAAAAAATAAAACAATATATTCGAACTATTGACCTTTATTCAACAATTACATAACAAAGAGTAGAGGCGTATTTATTTGCTGTAATCAAGAATCTTAGAGTTACCTTAAAATTACTTTCTGAACATTAAATAGTACAATCTGTAAAATAAATAACATAATATAATGTGAGGAGGAGTTAAAATACTGTGCCTTTCTATGACATATATTTATAGATACTACATTAAGTACAGATATTATTAAATTAATTTTTTACAACTTAAATGATGTCTAACACGACGCCTCTAACTCTAATGTACAATCATACATCATTAACACAGATGCAGTAAAACACTTTCCAAACAAAAAGCAAATTACACATCTCTCCTAAATTAACTTTCGTCCGGCGAAATCTTGTAAAGTTCAGGGCATTTCTTTCAATGGAATGTTTTCTTAATCAAGGAATAAATAAAGTTGACTGTATTAATATTGTAAGTATAGTTACAGATATTATAAGGCCCTTCGTACACAAGGCAACGTAAAATCCTAATGCCGGAAATTATAGTCGCTGAGCGAGTAATACAATGGAGAAATTCGTACACAGCTCGCCTCCCCGACATATCTATCTGTCATCGCCAAGGACAGACGCTCGCAACCTGTTAGTCGTGAGTCGTAAGAAAAGTCACTGCGATTTTCAAGATGGCGGAACATACAGTCGATATGTAGTGGTTATGAGCGAATAGAAGAAGATTCACGTCAACCATTCTACAATACTCGCAACGCAAGAATGCAACATTCATTTTGAAGATGTGTACGGAAGGGCTAAAAGTACAGTTTCTAAATCACAATTCTAATATAAGAGATCAATGTAAATCCAAGAAATGTATTCGGTTTATTCCTATTAACATAATAGTATTAAGATATTAAATAAATTAGAAACACAACAGTCTACTGAAATATAATCACTTGGGATGTAATAAGTAGGTCCTGCTTGTAACATTCATCTTCTAGTTGACATCTTGCCCTACAGTGTACCGCGACTTATATTTAGATACGAATTGACGCATGCACGTGTTTACACGACGAACTTTTCCAACGCAAGCATAGCAAGCGACGCCATCGCCGCCACGGCCGGCACTGTCACCAACCACGCGAATATTATATTCCTGAAAAAATAAACATTTAATCATCCAAGTAATGGAAACATTTTAAACTCTTTTAACACAAGGCACACGACTGCGATTTGTATGACACTAACTGCCGTCGCTGTGGAAATCATTTAAAGATTAAGGTTCTCAGAGTACCTATTATGTTGTTAACAAAGATTACCTAAAGAGACTCCAATCGACCGCTTTCTCGGAGAAGTATCCGACACAAACGACGGAGCCGACCTTACAGTGCGTAGTGGAGACGGGCAGGCCCGCCTTGCTCGCCACCAACACCGTCAACGCCGCGCCAAGCTCGATTGTGAACCCCCTGACATACATTTGAACAAACTTGGTCACATTGTTGATAGACTTTTTTTTAACTACTATATGTTATCAGAAAAACGCATAGCACATACGTATCGGCAGTGATGCTAGTTAGATCCTCGCCCACGGTCTGTATGACGCGGCGGCCCCACAGCCACAGGCCGACCGCGATCCCAACGCCCCCAAACACGAGAATGGCGAGGGGCGTTTCAGCGCGTGCATGCGCCCCGCCCTCCGAGTACAACAGCCACAGCGCCACCAGCGGACCGATCGCGTTACTGCACACAACATGATATATGGCATTGCTGACTGTAGCAGGTGATCTATCACCTCACAAAATAACGGCGACACGACCTTGAAAAGCAACCCCTGTGTTTACAAACCTAACGTCGTTTCCGCCGTGGGCGAAGGCGCCGAAGGTCGCGGTGAGCACTTGCAGGAATGAGAAGAGACGCAGGGTGTCGGGCGGAGGAGGCGGGGGCGCGCGGCGAGGACTGCCGGCTCGCAGCAGCGGCGCCGCGCTGGAGTTGGGCGTCAGGGCCGGTAGCGCCGTCCGCCCCTCCCGCAACTCGCGTCCGTCCCGCTCGATGCTCCACGCGCTGCCCTCCGGACCCTAAAATTATTGTCTTACATTCACCACGAGAAAGACATTTTCTGAATTCCTAATTATGTGGTAGTGGTTATTTAATATTTTCTGTTCTATTTACATAGGCTAGCGTATGCTAACCTTGTCGAGTCGAGGTGGCGGCGGCGGTGGCGAACCATTCGCTCTGGTGCCCTCTCCCCGGGCTATAGTGTCACAGGAGTCGCCGAGAAAGCCATTCCTGGAGCCGGAGCCGTAGCTCTCACCCATTCCCGCGAGCTGCGACGAGTCCAAGCTCTTGCAGCAGCTCAAGGTCTCGTCGATGTACTTTAAGGTGTTGATTTGAGGGTCTGCGTCTACTAATTGAAGTCTCGATTGGTTTGGAGGGCTCAAACTTCTCGACAGAATGCTACAGTCGTCCATGGTGGCCAGCAAAGCTCGGTTTCTCGCATTCATCTCTCTCACGTCCATCGAACCTTTGTCGGCGTCGCTAAGTGTTACCATCTCAGCGCTCTCCTCGATCGCCTCTAGGAGTTTTCCATCGTCTGACAGCAAAGATGTAGGACGCTGCGCTACTCCACTTTTGTCGAAATGTGTCGGTGTGTTCGCTGGTGTTGTTTCTAAAATACACAATGAGTTATTATTATTTGTTGTAAAAATGCTAAGTTGTTATACTTGATTACTTCCGAGCTTTCATACTAAGCTGCTTGTGTGCGTCGGTGAACAAATATTACTTAGCGCCCTAATTAGCCTACTAGAGCAATTTCATGCCATAGTCGTAACCTTATTTTCCTGAATAGCTCATAATATAAAACTTAATTATCCAAAGCAATATTTGTCATACGCAAACTGTTTTCAAAGCTAAATGCGCCCGTGACCTGCTTTTCTGCGGGCATTCATACATTTTCGTGTCGCTGATTAAGAAACGTTAAAGACCTGGGCTTTGTAAGCGTCAACGCTCCACAAATCCAGGTCAACATTTCCCTCGTTAAAATGCCTTTAGTGCATTTGTTGGAAATTAAATTCCATCCCTCATCCTTTTTTCACGATAAATGTGATTCGACTAAAGGCTTTTTACTTTTTTTACAGCAGAGATCTCTGCTTTTGTCCGGGAGAGTTAATTCTTCATACATGGTCTTCTTAATTTTTTAGCTACAATACCGTTGGATAATCCTAATGTAAAGTTAACAGGTGGCGCGGAGAGACAGCGTCGATAGTAGGGCACAAGGAAGATCCTCACGAGCGCGGCCACCAGCACCCCCAACACCATAGACCCCGACAACGCTATCCACGTCGGTATCTTGTCCATCGCAAGTACTGGAACAAAAAATAACTAATAAAAACGTTAAGTATTTTTTACAACGATTTAACAATATTAAAGCGTTTAACAACGTCATTATTCTTGTTTCTTCCTCCAACACAATAAGTCTCAGTATACTTACATTTGGGACCATCGTGCACAACACTGACAACATTGACGGCTACAGTGGCGCCGTAGAAGAACGGCAGCGCGCGTAAACCGGCTACGAGCGGCTCGGGTGCGCGCAAAATGAACCGCCGCACCAGCCAGAACATCATGGCCGAAACTGCGCCGCTTAGCGCCGGGGAGATGAACCACGACAACACTACAATTGATAAACTATAGAAATATAAATTACTGCAAACTGAAATATAAAAAGCTACATGATATAAAACCAGCTTTGTAATCGCTTGTGGTATAACGAGACAGGCAAGAATGTAACGAGGAGAGAGCATCGTCAACCTCAAAGCGTCGGTCCCAATCAGTATCAGTTGCAGTTCCAACTAACCGATTGCTCCGAGGGTGGACCACCGTATGCCGACGGGTCCTTTAGCGGTGAGCGTGAATCCGACAGTGGCGCCGACTACGGAGTGGGTGCCGGAGACGGGGAGACGCAGCGCTGTCGCCAGCAGTAGCCAGGCGGCACTCGCCAGCAGCGCTGCAAGGCAGCCCGCTGCCAGAAGCCGCTCGCCGCCGTCCGTGTACAACGACACGTCCAAAATACCCTTGCGCATCGTATCTGATACCTTATAACCTAAGGGATAGTGTTAAATTTACATTGAATTTTAAATTTTATTTTAAATAACGATTATAAACAATCCGGATAATCGTAAATATTTAAATAGTTTAACCGGGATTTAACCGCCACCATGTCAATTTACAAAGAACTTCGTCACTGATGCGATAATCATAATAATTGCAAAAGTAGCTTCTAATTTTAATTTATAATATAAAAAAAAACGTAATTCTAAGTACAAGATTCTCCAAATTATTTCAAAGTTGTATTTTTTATTGTCCAATTGGAATCTGGTATAGTACGTCAATTTTTACTAAACCTTAGAAATTTGTGTGCAGGTCACATAGAAAAGCAGTTCTTTTATTTATATCACAAATTTTATTCAATTAAATTCTTTGAAAAATTAAAATTTTTATACCCACATACATATATCCGACATATTATGTTACGTGTATAGTGAAAACTTACCAATCAAAACAGCGCCTGCGATCTCGAAGATAGTGGCGAGTATACACGCTTGTGTTAGTGTGAGTACCTTGGAGCCAACACTGGTGCCAAACGAGTTGGCCACATCATTGGCGCCAATGCCGAAAGCCAATATAAACGCTATCACGAATCCACATATCACCAACCAAAACAAATCTGGATCGTACGGTTCCATACTATTTCTTTATTCTTTTGTATTTTTTATTATTTTCAATCCCTTATATAGCACCTATGCAATGTAGATTTTCTATTTATGTTTACGCAACGAAACAACCAACAATGAGCTTTGCTTCTTTCTATAAAAATGGATAAAACTTCTCACTAACAATCCCTTTCTCCAAGTTCAAACAGTCATAGTTCCTTAGAAAAATAGGTATTAAATACAGACTTAAGATAAAGGTTATAAAGAAGATAGTAAAAGTATTTTTCCTAACATTTATAAATGATTAAAATATTAAAAATAATTCAAGTCGGGTGTTGGTAATTGTGCGTCACAACTTTGTGTGTTTAAGACGCGTTTCGATTTGGAGATATGTGTTTGATAGTTTCGGCTTCATTTCTGCAAATAAAAAAAAATCCTTCACTTTTTATTTTATATTCAACTACGAAATTATATATAAAAATTAAATTCCATAATCTATACTGAAATGACGGAATGAAAAGAAGTAAAAAAGTGTTTATAATTTACCATTACAATTTCAATTTAGTCGATAAATTGTGACGCGAAAACGAATCATGATGAAATTCAGTCTACCATGTGGCCTCTTCCTACACATGGCATCTTTGCTATTGATTATCCGTTCCGTTCAATATTCCAGCAATAAAATATTAAGGGCAACGAAAAAAACGACGACAATGTGCCTCCAAATTAAGATTTGTATAAGCATTTGCGTCACACATTGCGTTTCCATATTACACATAACTACGTTATATTTTAAGCAAGCGTGAATGTCAACGTTCTATTTTAAGTTTTAAAATTTACCGATAACTATGTAAATACCTATCTCATCTAATTAACTAGAGAAACATGTTAATGTCGCGTACTTACTTTTAGAAAGTGGAGTATTTTATAACACGGAACGTTACGATCCAAGAAGCACAATATATCACCTTGGGCCTCTCAGCTGTGTACTGAGTTAACGTGGGGTCGCGCAAGTCAGGTCTCCAGCACAATAGAGCATGCGCCGAGGACACCGCCACCCCGCCGCGCACTCACCCCCTTACCGCCCCATCTTATGTGGACCACTCAATTTGCGATTGTTTGCAAAAGAACTCCTCCTGAAATCGTAAAAATCTAATAGCAAGATAAAATATCATACCCGTTAAAAGTAAATAAGAAGAACAACAAAATAATCTAAATGCATATGAAAAGAACAGTTAATAAAAGTAATAATTTCCGTTGTCATACTTTTACTAATACAAATGCGAATGTAAGTTTTATTGCTCTGTTTAACGCCCACCACCATCACAAAAGATTGAACACACATTGTAGAAAAAATATCTTATGAAATACCTTTAGTTCAGAAAAGAAACATCCCGAGGGATAGCGAAATAAATAACACTGTCATATAAAATATCCATTGACAAAGTCATATTTAGATTATATTGTTGCTATGGTACTGAGTATTACAGGTTGAAAATAAAAATGATTTTGCCTAATAATATCTTCGAGTATACATAAAAATTTTCCAGCGTGTAAAATGTGTTTAAATTGAAAATACGCGGAGCCGCGAATACATGCAATTGAATTTAGAAATCAAAAGCAACAATCTCAGATCGTTAACAGTAAATTTTACAAATATGTGTAATAAAACAGTACAAAAAAAATCATTAGTGTTTTCAAATTTTCCCACTAACTAACCACTTAGTCACTAACTTTAGTCTACATTTTTCGTACTAAGTATTGACTAAGGGTGCAAAATTTTATTATCGTATCATAGGATACTTACTTGCAATCCTGCTTCGGCTTAACACAGCTAATAATCGGCTGTAGTCACATTATAAATATATGTATGTTGTGTATTGGTCCTACCCTGTAAGTCATTTGCTTGACGTAAAAGAGAAAACAGGAATCGGTTAACCCTTAAATATAATTGATAAAAAATGAGTGAGTATGTAGAATGTAAGGTAGTAAGTTATTTAGACTCTTTTTCCACTATCCGACTGTTGAAGAGTTGCGGGTGCCTAGTAGTTGCTGGAAAATATACCTTAACCATGAAACCTAAAACATGGAGGCCGTGGATCACAAAATTAGAAGATATGTAAAGTTTCAAAAAAATAAAAAACGCAAATTTAGGTAAATCTTTACAGGAAAAAATTAAACGTTTGGTCTCATTTGACATCTTTCATTTTAATTTTCAAACTTTCAAACGCAATGCGATGCGAGACCTGACACTGACAATGACATTCTATTTAGCTCGAAGCTATATGTCAAAAGTCACAGATTTTGATTCTTTCGAATCAACACATATAAAAATATAAAACCAAATTATATATCGCGGTAAAATATGTAACACTGGAATTAAATCAATTACAATCCAACATTTTACAATGTTTTTTCGAAATGTTCGGTCCCTTGGAGAGCTGACAATCTGTTGGTGAGATAAATCAGTGATGAAATATTAATACTTTTTGTGTAATTTTCCACTTAAATATTTTATTATTTTTAGCAAACCAGAGCTTATTAAATTAGGTTCAAGCAGATTAGGATGCGGACGTCTTCAACTTCATAATTCATTTCATAACAGCCGACGTGGTGCAAGGAGGCCAAAACTCGATCCAAATCCTTTAGACAATCTAAGCTACGAGTCCATTCCTTTAAACTCTAGAGGATTATTAAAACCGTTTCTTTTCACTGTAGGGGTAAGTGGTTGCTTGTATTTCTTTTAAACCATTTTTATAATATTTAGTTTTCTTGTTTAAATTAAGTACTAGTTTTACATTATTTCATTAGCTGTTGTTGAATACACACATAAAATACGATTACAAACAACTTTAGGTAAATTACGAGGAATAAATTCTTCTTATAATTTTATTTTAGGTCTCCACAGCAAGTCTTGTTGGATGTGTTATTTGGGAATATGAAAATCTGCGCACCCATGCTGCAACATTGCTCAGAAAACCTGGCACCTGGCTGAATTCTCAACAAAAAAAATATTCAATACATGCAGTAAGTTACATCAATACATATTAACAACCTTATTTGCATTTTAACCTTGACGGTACTTATTATGCAACTGTTCTTTTTTCAGAAATCGGAATCTAATCAATTGACTAAATGGTGGAATTCACTTAGACCAAGTGACAAAGTTTTCTACCCTATTTTTGCAGCTAATCTATTAGTATTTGGTGCTTGGAGAATAAGATCCTTGCATCCTTTCATGATTAAATACTTTTGTTCAAATCCAGGAGGAGGTATGTAGTTGCTCTACTAACTTTCACAATTTTTTGTTACATTGAAATTATTATACAAGTGTTATTATTTTTTTCAGCTGCAAAATGTATTCCAATGGTACTGTCCACATTCAGCCATTACTCACCTTTTCATTTGGCAGCCAATATGTATGTTCTCTATAGCTTCATGCCAGGTACTATTATTACAGATACTAATAGCCTCTTGTTCCACACAAACCCCCAAACACAGTTTTATATAAGTGTTAATACATGGAGTATATATGGAGATAGTAATTGCTGTACTTAGTGATGGATTTTGTTTATAATTTTTTTGGATACTGACAATATTATTTAATTCTTTTCAGCTGCTGTGGCATCTCTTGGCAAAGAACAATTTGTCGCCATGTACTTAAGTGCAGGTGTAATAAGTAGTTTTGCCAGTGTGCTATATAAAGTTTTACTTAATCAACCAGGCCTAAGTCTTGGAGCTGTAAGTTGATTTGTTTAGAACATTTAAACATTTATCATAAACAAGATATCGCCCGCGACTCCATTCACCGTAATAAGTAGCCTATGTGTTCTTCAAGACTGTTCTATATCTATGCAAAATTTCAAGATCTGTGGAGTCGTAACTAAGATACCTTTTAACATACATCCATATATCCATCTTAACATTTGCATTTATAATATTAGTAAGATATGAAAAATGTTTTATTTTCCTTACAGTCTGGTGCAATAATGTCAGTTCTGTCATTTGTTTGTCTGCAATATCCTGACACAAGATTAAGTATAATCTTTCTACCAATGTACACATTTGCTGCGGGCTCGGTAAGTGATTAAATATTTTTTAACCATGTTACATATACATTTGAGCTGTTAAATTACAAATTTTTGGATAAGTATATAGTATGAATAGTGCAAATTGATGGCAGAAAATGTGTAATTTGATGTCTGCAATGTTTTTAATAATTTTCTGTACTATTTTTTTGTTAATACAGGCTATTAAAGCAATCATGGCTGTTGACTTAGCTGGAGTTGTATTGGGTTGGAGGTTCTTTGACCATGCAGCACATCTTGGAGGAGCTTTATTTGGAATGTAAGCTATATTATACACAAATTTAATAGTTTATGACGAACATAAATTTTTTTGGAGTTAGCTTATAACCAATAGACATGAAGGCGAAAAAACGTACTCTTTTGCTTAGAAACTTGAGTTATTATTAATTTGTCCTATATTTTACAGAGCATGGTGCTACTGGGGTGGTCAACATGTTTGGGGAAACCGAGACAAATTCCTTCAGTATTACCATAACTTTAGAAAGGACACAAGATAACAATTTGGGAATACAACAAATAGATGCTATAATATTTTCCTATGAAACAAAAATAGGCAGAGCTGAAAAAAATGTTATTTGTTTATTTATTTTTACTATCTATTTTAGATATCTAAATAATTATCAATAATTAAAAAACTATTTCATTGTATGAAAAATCTTTTATTGAATTACAACATATGTACAAAAATATAAATTATTTTAAATGCAACATTGTTACTGAAAGCTTTACATTACATTATACAAATGAGTAAATAAAACAGAAATGCCATTTATAATTACAAACAATTAAGCTTTTAAGATTTTAGCATGGAAATCAAAATGTTCACCGATGTAGGTAGATATATAATAGTAGGAGTGATCATAGCCTTCACGTAAATTCAGTATGACAGGCACTTCAACAGACCTGCAAGCTTTCACCAAGTTTTCAGGCAGCAATTGTTTTTCAATGTAAAACTTATCTGCTGCACCCTGATAAAAAAAAAAACAATTTATAGCCATAAAAAAACAATTATTCTATAATCTATTATATATCTTTCTCAAAGAGTATGACTGGAAAAACCTTGACAACAAAAAAACAGAAATATAAGATTTTGATGAGTAAAATGTATTCATAATAAATTGATAACAACATGCTAATTGAAATATATTTTTTTTACAAAATGGTAAATTTCAATATCCCGGGTACCTGATCCAAAAACAGAGTTAGTGGTGGTCCCTCATATTTCTTAACCAACTCAGTAGCGTCCCACTCCTTCCACTTGTTCTCATCATCTCCAAGATATCCAGTAAAAGCTTTAACTCCCCAAGGACAGGCAGTGGGGTTGCAGATAGGTGCAAATGCACTAACTGACTTGTACAGCCCAGGGTTTCGTAGTGTGGATACAAGGGCACCGTGACCTCCCATGCTAAAAATCAAGAAAAAAAATTAACAAAAAACCTCTATAAAGTTGCAGCTGTTGATACAAATCAGATAAAGTCAGTTTGTGTCAATATTAGTGTAACCTTGTAATAAAGACAACATTATTTACCTGTGTCCCATAATCCCAATCCTGCCAGGATCAACTACATTATCAAAAGCTTTTAATATCAAATCATACAGCTCTTTGTTCAAATAACTACCCATTCTGTAGTTATTTGACCATGGCTCCTTAGTCGCATCCAGGTAAAATCCAGCAGAAACACCAAAGTCCCATGATTCATCATCACCATGGATTTTAACTCCTCTGGGAGAAGTGTCTGGTCCAACAACAATAATGCCATGCTCAGCTGCATATCTGTTTAACACAAAATTATTACAAATGAGAAGAATAATTTTAGATAAGAATTAACATAAACAATGTTAAGGTCATTATTACAATGATAGTGATTTAGAGCTAATTGAGATTATTTGAATTGTCAAAACAATTTAATAATCTCATACAAAACTTTGCATGTTAATTACCTAATATTCTAAGTTTTAAGGGAATCTGTGAAATAAAAGTAATAATTATGGCAGTTACATGAAAGTGAAGTTTTCTCTAAAATTTTTGTATTATGGTCCTTTAATTTAGGTATTTGTAAATTTAATAATTTACAATGAAATTTAAATTACAATTACCTCTAGAACTTTTTCACAGCAACATAGTTTTATTTGTAGTATACATATAAATATTATAACAACATACCTTTGGAAGCCGGACTTGGTAATAAAATTCTGTTCTGTACAGGTCAAGCCAGACAAGTAAAAGATGACAGGCAATTTCACATCCCCTCCTTCAGCTTGTGGTGGTAAATAAATAGAAAAGTTCATTTTACATTTCAATTCAGCGGATTCATGAGTGTATACTTTTTGCAATCCGCCAAAAATTTTGTTTGATGAAACTAATTCCAACGAATCCATCCTTAATTTCTGAAAATTGTTACCGTAAATATATGTCAATGAAAATAGTAAATACAACTACCTATTTTACTCCATGTTAAATACGCTTAAACTAACATTTCGTATGTCCAAGTCTTGTAGCATAGTTTCTAATTGTCGACTTAACTGCACGAAAGTTGTTAATAAAATGAAACTATAACGTCATATTACAGTGATTGTGCAAAATGTAAATAACCAATTGATAAGCCAATCATCTTACAAATTAGGTTAGTACGCCGGGAATGATTTTTGTACGTAGGTTTTTACTTCGATACAGCTGTATAGGTTAGTAAATCTAACTAATATTATAAATGCCAATATTTGGATGGATGGATGGATGTTTGTTTGAAGGTATCGCGAGATCGGCTGTACGTATCTCGCTGAAATTTGGCAAAGATGTAGAACAAAGTCTGGAAGAACGCATAGGCTACTAATAAGTTTTTTTTAATACCGCGCGGACGGCAGCTAGTGGATTATATAACCTTATCCAAATGATTAATTGTAAAGAGTTTACTACAATAGGATTGTTATAATAAATATTATTCAATCACATTAAAAGTTTATTTACCTTTACTTCACCGCTTGCTATAAATAATTTTAAACCTTAAACCGTTTTACACTTTGAGCCAACTTAACGAGCGTTTTCTATAAATCCTATTGGAACGTGGCGTGGATTACAATTACGTGAAAATTATAAGCCAATCTTGAAGGTCAAGTCCAAATATAATGTTATCACACATTAGTCACGTGACTGTCAAAATTCGACAGAATTATCAATACACTCCACTCAATATCATATCAACAAAGAATATGATATGAAATTGCAAATAAAATGAGATTTGTTGGCTATGTAGGCTATGTATAAATTCGCTTGGTTATAATCAATTTTAAGAATAAATCATTTTTAGAAATCCCGGCACGTTTCGCTTTTGTAAAATTTTACCATATTTTTAACACAGCAACAAGTTGTGTTCACTGATTTGAAAATAAACATTTTCATATTGTCAATTACACTACTGGAAGGAGTTTTGTGGTAAAACCTATACCAATAAAAAATAATCGCTAGGCGAGTTGTTCGGCCGGAGATCGCTGAAAACATGAAAACTGTTTTAATGCGATTTTCTTTCCATATAAATGACAACACTAAACTTTTTCAGGTTCTTTTTTAGGGATAAAATTGATTTAAAAAATTACCATTATTAGTCCATAAATTTTATTCAATATATAATACAATATGATACATAATTATAATTATTTGTGTAGGTACATATGCCAGTCATTAAAAATTAAAGATACTATCCTACCAAGCAGTACTTCTAGAATTTAACATATGGTTTCTTGTACTATTAAAAAAAAATAATACATGTACTGTTTTGTTACTTTAGCTTAAATAAAAAATACTAGTGTTTAATACTTGAGTTCTATTATTTGTAATGAGTAGATCTGAAATCTTTATTATTCAAAGGTATATCAGATCAAATGCAAAATTTCTAATAGGCAAGATATACATATTATTGTGTCAATTCATCTCTATTTGTTTTCCATGCCAAATATGTATTCCAAAACAAGGCTACAGTCTGGACGATCAATACTTGATATTGCAAGGGAATATAATAAAAATTAACAATTTGTATAAATGGCCAAACATAATAGTTAGTTTTTAGTATATCTAAATAATTGGTTTGGATATCTTTTTCTATAAGTTCTAAAGGTTTTCCTTGCATTACTCCCAAAGTTACAAGGATGAAAAGAAGAAAACTTGGAGCAAAAACAGCTTGATCGACAAACACTTTTTTCAGTGCTACAGTTTTACCCTTTGAACCTATATATTTATTTAAAAATCCATACCAAGCTCGTAGTGCTGGACCCTGAAACAAAAATATTAATAATCATAATTGGATTCAAAAGCAATATAAGAAGGTATATGATTTTCACAATCTTGTGTAGTGACTTTAAAATATTGTGTTTGCCCTGTATCTGTACTTACACCAGCAAAAAATCCTATTGAAGAAAATCTTAGGGTTCTGACAAGATCAATATTTTTCATAGATTTCTTTTCTACTAATGTTTGAGATATGTAATCGCCAGCACCCATTAGAGCTCCAGTTTGAATTGCTTGGACTAAATACGGATGTTTGTTGAGAAATTTTTGATACAATTGCAGAATGTGTCGTCCAGTCATGTTTTGTAAATATATTAATCTGTACTGTTTGTAAAAATTAGGTTATTTGAAAAGTGTTCTAATTTAAACAACTTTACTATGGTCATGGAAAACAATACACTTCAGGTAAATTTGATTATGTTAAAAAATATACACGAGAACGTCGATATTGTCAACATTATTATTTTTTATTCAACACGTGTTAAAAATATATTTTCACTTAATATATTAAATAGAAGGAGAGTATTTTTGAGTATAAAATATTTCAGTTGTGTCTAGATCTCATAAACCAGTTATTTTCATCCTCAATGGTATTATTTTCTTTTAAAAAATACAGTTTCGGGTTACGACCTAGTATTTATTCAGGTTTCCGGTTCCTTGGTAGTTCAATAACAATAACATGACATTGACAACTGACGGATTTGATTTGACATAATACAGCAATATTACAGAAAAGAAAATCTTTAATAAAAGTAATTATACAGTCGAAAATGTAATGGGAAAAACCAGTATTACATAGTACACAGCATATTAAGTTATTTGGGCGGTATCCCTTATACCCAATCATTATTTACACGAAGAAATTAACAATAGATTAAATAATTTGTAACAAGAAAAGTTTTACATATATAGCAACATAAGTTTTTCTTTCTAGCAATACTCAAAATTGTGATATCTGTTGTACATTTATCTAGCTAGCTTCTTTGAGCAATGGATAATAATTTTATCGGTATTTGAGTCGTGTTTCATAAAATTAATTTTGAAATTCGTTAACTTTGTGCAAGGATCATCATTAAACACATTCGCAACGATGGACAAAAGAAAATTATCCACTGCTGGAGACAGTCTGTACCAAATATTACAACTTCCCAAAACTGCAACGCCAGACGACGTAAAGAAAAGCTATCGTAAATTAGCTCTAAAGTATCACCCTGATAAAAATCCCAACAATCCTGAAGCAGCTGACAAGTTTAAAGAAGTAAATCGTGCTCACACAATCCTCAGCGACACAACGAAGAGAAATATTTACGACAATTATGGATCACTTGGACTTTACATTGCGGAACAATTCGGGGAAGAAAACGTCAACGCCTATTTTGTTGTGACAAGCACCTGGTGTAAAGCTTTGGTCGTGGTGTGCGGTATTTTGACAGGATGTTACTTCTGTTGCTGCCTATGCTGCTGCTGTAACTGCTGCTGCGGCAAATGCAAACCGCGTCCTCCTGAAGAGTCCGGAGATTACCATACGCTCGAAAGAGACGACTCGGATGGCGTGCAGGCGGTCACCGTCCAGCCGGGAGGCGAAGGACGCCCCGCAGGCGAGCAGGCGCCGCCCATCGCCATGCCGGCGCCTCCACCGAACGTGGCCTCCGCCGCTTCCGAAAACACTGGCCTCAACACAGGTGGGGTGAATTATGGAATTTCACATTAACATTATTGCCTTCAATTTCAATTAAATTTAATCATTACATAATGTTTTAAGATGGATTACAATTTCTCAAGACATGTTTGATATAACATTTATAGCTATGATATTGCTTACAAATTGTAGCCATGTATTCTATTTGTTATATACCTAATTACTTCAAAGTTGGTTCTAAATAAAAACTCATATTGGTAGGCATTAAAATGCTAAAGTTGAACACCAATAAATCCTAGTGACTAACAATTATTATTCATGTTAGCAAATACCTTTATCTAATCTTGAGATTTTTTACCGGAAATTATATTGGATCTTAGTGGAATGTGTTCAAAAAAATGTATGATAGAATGGAATTTGCAGCATTTCTATTATAACTGTAATTTCAGTTCTGTTGGTACTCTAAGAATAATTGAAAGTAAGATAAAGTATCACATTTCTCAATGTACATCACTATTATCACAATTTGATTTAATCAGCTATGTAACAACTTGCATTGTTACTACTTTCAATACATAAAAGTGTTTTTACTTATATCTTCATTAACTATACTATCAATTTTAATTTATTGAAGTATTTTCTTGTTACATAATTTATTTATTGACTTCTGTATGATGTGTGTATTGTATGGACTGGTTTGGTTTCATAACAAATTTGAAATTTATATTCATTCATTTCCCAATATTATTTTCCAAGCCCTGATGTTTATATGCTTCCATGAGACATTAGTGTGTGTCAATCACAAAGGGACCTTTGTTATTCAATGTGTCTTATTTATTGTATTGTTAATCAGTTATAAAATCATTTCACTTGATAAATATAGGTTATTGTTACATTGGCTTTTAGATATGCCTTAAAATTGTTGAAGTTAGAATGTCATGAGTGTGATCCATGTTTACAGTAGTACTGGTTAATATTTGGCTAGTATTGATAGAAATGTATTGTTCAAATACCCATCAAAAACAGTCCATAGTGTGGTATGATTTAAGTGCATGGTCAATAAATGTTCACATACCCTAAGACTCTGACCACATTTAAATAATATTTCACTCATGACTCATGAAGTAATGGAAGATATGGATTTTTGCTCTGTTACCATTCTTATGTAAAGGATTTTAGTATTATAGCAGCACATTTTTTTTTAATTAAGTTGTAGTCACCGTTTAAGGTAACATCAACTTTTAAATGATAAGCAATTAATGAATTTAGTTGTTTAATTATGATTTTTTGAGTATTAGGTGAGGCAAAAGTATTATGTGTACTCTACAAAATGCTGCATTTCAAACATTGTTATTGGATTCTCTCAATTTGCTTTCTTTTCAGATTAAAAAAAAACATTCCAAGTTTGTTGATAAAAGCAATTTATTTACTCATTAAGGTAAATTTCATATAAAATGATGTATGCACTTGCTTATCACTTTATTAATGCAGAAACAATGCATGTGATGAATGAAATCTGCAATGGGCAATGTTTTTTTTTTCAATATTTTCTTTGTAAGAAATTATTAACTTTGAACATCTTTTAATCTGAATTACATAATACCAGTGTAATGGATATTTTACTTATGGAGTTTTATTTTAATAATTGTAAAACAGTCCACATGCAGTCAAATGTATTAATTAGTTTTCACATCACAATTGTTATGTCCAAATTATAAAATTATGAATTTGTCCACATGTGGTACGTTTACAGTATTTTTGGGTGTGTCAATTGAGTCATAGAACATGGATAATTTCAGTATTTTTTAACTATATAAAATGTTTTCTTATATGTCCTGTATTATTTAATATTTGGTGTTATTTAACTACATTCAGCTTGAATTTGTTTGTGTTTGGCTTATGTGTATTATCAATTTTAAATAATTGTTATGGTTAATAATTGTTAACATTGTAAAAATGTGCAAATTGTTAAAACATATAAAATAAGACTTAGAACTACAAAGTCCAGGTCTGTAGATCTATAAGGAATATCTCTCTGTTTGATTGAAAAAAAAAGAATTTTTTGATTTTATGTTAAGTATAAGTAGGTTGTAAAATAATTTGGTACACAATCTGACTCTTATGATTTTGTCTAATTGTAAAATGATCAGCTTTATTCCATAATATAAGCAAGTTATTTTACTAGTTTATGGCAACACTTTTTGCATTATAGCAATTTGATTTTTTTTAGGTTACATTAGTAGATTTTGTTTACTGAAATGGAAATTGAACACATTAAGAAATTTATTAGATTTTTCCACATTGAAATATAATAAGTCAGTCTATAATTTTAATATTATGTTTGAATTTTAAAGTGCAAGGTTAGCTCAAAATTTTTGATTAATATATGTCTTTGGCACCCCACTTTTATACACATTTAATAATTAGATATATAAAAGTAGCACTTGTGTCCATGCCCTGTACATTTTCTGTTGTCATTTTTTTAGTATAAAGGTGATAGAAAACAGACAATAGATGATGACTGAAAATTTACAGTTTGATGTTGTGGACTCGGGCATGGTTATGTCTTGACATGTTCTTTAGTGTTATGATACTAGTCAACGAGTATTTATAATGACAAAGTGTGAAGTAATGGAAATGTTATTATGTAATTACACTTCATAATTTTCAATCAAATAAATATCTACATAAAATATTTTATCTATCATTGACTAATGCCTTAGTTTTAGTTTTTTTCGCGTTCGAATTGAAATATTAGTTTGTGTAATTTATGTAATCTCTTGGTTACAGGAAGCAGTATTCCCAAATACACCTGAAGTGATCACAAGTAGTCTTAATAGTAAGAGAAATGAAGAACTGACTTCTTAAATCCATCACAACACTTTACAAATGTAAGCCTAATATTAGTTTTGTTTTATATGTATTTTTTTTATAGTATGAAATATTTTTGCTATCATTTTTTATTAGTGGTAACACCACAAGGTTATTATTGCTCTGTCTTGCTCTTAAAGTTTGAAAAAATTCTAGTTTTAAAATTTGTATTTTTTTAAAATAATTCCATATAAATGTATTTTTATTTTGTTTTATGCTGTAAGAAATTTAAGTTATTTATAATGCGGAGAATTAGCAATCACAAATATTTAAAAATAACAGTTTTACTAATATTTTTTTTTGTTTTTTCGATTCTTTTTAATAGAGAAAGTTAATCGCATCATGGATATTCTTCTGTACCCCCATATAATATTATATCAAAAAATAAATTTTTAATCTTAATTTTTAATTAAAAAATGTATTTAAAGCTTGTGTAGTAGTCAATGCGCTAGTTATATTACAATTTCCAAATAAACGATATTTATAATCCTCTTAAGCTAAAACATTTAAAAAAAAATAGTATCACGACACTGATGTTTATCATATCATATATGGATAAAAACAATAAATACTTACGGAATTGAGCCTAAAGGTCATCGCTCATTAAACCCACCAAATAATTGTGTCGGATAAAAATCACATTTAATGTACCAATGTATTCTAATATCGCATTCTCGATTGAAATTATTTAGATCTCATAAATGAATTGCTTACTGCATAAATGAAATTCTACTTAGTATAAAGCATTTATAATGAAGCAAGATAAAAGCAGGGAAATGTAATTTGCTTATAAAAAAAATCAATGTACATGAAAATAATTTGTGTACTCGGTGTTTCAAAATATAAGCAATATCTAGATACGCTTTTCTGTAATAAAATGATAATCAAGCCTAATAAGCATACAGATTAAACTGTTACATATGTAAACATAAAGATTTTTTTGTCTATGAATTTGTTTTCTTTTTCTAGTATGTGCCATTTAGGAGAAAATGACCAACGAAATGCTCTGTAGGCGCCATAACGTAACGTTTGTTATATATTTGTCAATAATTTCTATATATTTATTATTATGTAAAAATTCTTACACACTATTAGAGAAGGTAACAGTTGATTACGAACTATATAATGTATAAATATTTAAGCGGCTTAGCTTTCCGATTGTCGAGTTCATATTTATTGACGTCCAAGTATTATTGTTGATTCGATGTTAATAAACTTGTAAAACCAGCATCTGATTATCATTCCAATGTCGCCCAGAAATATTCCGTTACCCAAAAATTTCTACATCATTATAACATTTAAATTGGATCATTATTGTTACATTAGAAATATGTTAATTATAGTATAATTTATTACATTAATTGTGAATCTCGAGGGCGTAAGTATTCTCTATTCGACGCAAAGTTTACAGAATAAATATTTTTTTTTAACTATGCTCTTATAATTCACCGATTCTATTATGAATTTGTTGGATATGTTAGTAATTAGGGTATGGAATTACCAATGAACTCTATCATCAAGTCTTGAGATTGTCATGGTCACGTTAAATTCGGATCTCATAACACTTTAGAAGTTAATAAATTACACAATTCCGAGATTTCCTATGCCTCAATACAATTTTATAAATCAATTTTACTTTCCTAAAGATGTTATTATCATTTACTAGGATGTTGCGTTAACAATTGATATTTATTCACGGGCTCGCCTTCTATCGTAATTCCAAATCGATAACATTACTAATGCTGTACAACGCACGAGTGCGAGCGAATACGATGTATTTTTCGTTCTCTTTCACTACACAGTTTGGCGACAGCGAAGGTCCCATTTGGCATGGTCAATGGGAACGCAATGAAAATCATTAACACGTTATGTTTAAGTAAATATTCGAATAAAATCTTAATCTTTCTTCTAAGATATTCAAGAAATTAAAATTTTTGGTTATTGATCAAAGTATAAAAGAATTAGAATATGAGTATGCTGGTACCAAGAACCAAGTTTGAATCATGGCTAATTATTTTAATTTAATTTGAAAGGTGTTTAGTTGTAAGTCTAAAAGCAGAAATCAATAAAGCACCTTTATATTGAACTATAATTCGTGGTATTTAAATTATAGTTTTGATTTAATTGCTGTGTACTTACCCAAACGTGTTCGAGTAATGTATTGAAAGCGCGCGAAATGCGTTAGACTGGTCTACTCCCAAACATAGGTTTCCATCATATCTAAACATGTATCATTTTAAGAAAATCATAATATTTTATGACATTTGATACTTTGTTTAGCATTCCATCATGTTTTCCTAATTGTTTGAAAAACTTCATTCCTGGTATATAAAAGATGTCGAGAAATCGGTTAAGATGACTGTAGACAACTAATCATTGAGCCATGACATTACTGTACTTGCTGTTTTGTATTATATCAAGGGTTTTTACAGTTTACGGAGATATGAACGGTACAAATGTGTATTGCCCTTATTATAGGATAGGGCCCAAATTAGATGTATTCGATTTGATGGGTAATTGGATGACGGTGTATACGCAGCCGAAAGCAGTCAACTGTTTTATGCTTAATATAAGAGGAATAACTGATGGGGTAAGTTTTTTTTAATTTATTATAATAGTTCGTGACATTAAACGTTTATCTGCATAAGTTCTCTGGAATGTATTCAAGCAACTTACCATAACGGACCATGGAAGTTAAAGTAATGTTCAATACATTGTTCGCCTTTAGAATAGGAAAAGTTGGGGTATGATCTTATGAGCTTTGTGACATCTGTAACCAAACTTCTACCGTCATTAGCTTTTATTAAGAGTGAATTTTAAAGCGACGTTAATAACTGGAGTAATATTCATCCAAATGTATTTGATCATCCAGGATCGAGAGCAATACATTCACAAATATGGAAACTTCAGTGGAGCGGTGGATTGGTACAATTGTTATCTGGAAGTGGATTCACCTCTCGGAAAACATGTGTTTCAAGGCGACGGCAGTGATTCCGGTGTTCTAGAGAATATAATTATCTTTGAATCTGATGACGGTAAGAAAAATTATATTTCATAATGCGTAAATAGAGACGGAAAATTTGAAAAATCGATACGTTGAGATGTGTATTTAGCTATGACTGCAAAATACTGCTGGTCTTTAAGTAAAACAGATGTTATAATCATTGCTTGCGATGAATCTTAGATCTGATGACAGATAGACACTTTTATCGCTTACTTACTTACACTTATTTCTCTTTCGAGTAGTATTTTACATTTGAAACTTCCAAACTAGCAGTATACTTGTGGAGATAATTCCGTTACTTTTTCCAATAATACATCTACATATATCTGAATGTGAATATTTTAAAAACTAGTTCTACAAGGACAGAGTATCAACAACGTGACAGGTTTTAAATGTTTTTTATATAAATTGAACGACCTTGTAATCGAGCGGTTAGCGCCCCTGTTACAAAACGAATTCTGGGAGAAATCCTCACAGCAGCTATTACAACGGAGTAAGATCGTTGTAACCATAAAGTAACTAATAGTAAAGTTAACAGTAACCTTTGTGCACAATTGAAGACGAAAGTAACATTTCAACAGGCCACCGTTGCCTTGCGAGTTCCTAGAGTTTGTGGCTTGAAATGAAGATAAGTGAGATGTCATTCGATTAGTATTTTTCGGAGACCATAGACAAGCTAATTTAAATATAATAAATTATAATAAATGTATTTAGGTAAGTACACGCTGCACGAGCAGAGCGCAGACCAGTGGGTGCTGCACGGTCCGCGGGGCGCTGAGTTGGCCGTGATGCGCGATTGCGCAGGCGCAGCGACGGCAGTGTTTGCTCGAGTGCCGCACTGGCCTACGCCGCACCAGCTATACGCAATCCTTCACCGCAGCGGCGTCAACGCGGTAACGCTCGGCCGCATCCTCTGTGAGCCCCACACCGCGCACAAACCCAAACGGGCTGTCGATTTCTTCATTAATAAAGCTTTAAGATAGATCTAAGTGTTATCAATACATGTTTTTATTGTTATTTTGTTTCTTTTTTCGATGGCTCATAATACAAGCGTATAAAGATATGTTCTATAGGACTATGACGTTAACTATGAGGTTTTTGGTTCAATTTTTAAGCACTTAACCCATTAACTATCGTAAAAGCAATTATGATTAGGTAATCTTTTGAACTCAAACTAAACTTCAATCTGAAACCTTTACTTTTTGGGTAAAATTAGCTAAAATCAAAAATATTCTGGAAAAATTGACCTATAATGTTTTAACTAATTTAAATTATGACTTACATGAAGCTATTGCATTTTCCAAATACAAATATAAACACGTCTGTTAGGTTGTAATAAATAATTTCAAACTGCATCACCATTGAAACAAAGAGTATGAATAATTGCAGGATTTTGTTGCCAAATCTCAAGTATATTCTCGTTTAGTGCCAAGCTAATGTTCCAGATATAGTTCTAGTCTATTTGAATACGTAATTGATGCATATTAAAGTGAAGTAGAATCGATACAAAATACGTGAAGTTCAAGTTTACTATACATTGAAGTTAAATTACTATAGAAGGCAGAATTGTACAAGATAAAATACGTATTTAATCAATTTACTGTTTCTCTGTTTTATCAAAAATAGGTTAATCGTCATAAATGACACACTTGGCCCGTGGCATTGAATGCGTAAGCAATTTGTCCTGACCTATTATATTTTTATTATTTCATGTTACTTGTGTCCTAATTAGAATATGTACAGCTCTGCGTAGTAAAATATTTTATTTTACATCGCATTTACTTTTTCTTTTGTTTCAGTTTTAAAGATTCTTATTCTCTGGGATGTATTCCGATTTCAACAGTAACCAATCAAAAATCATTGTAAAAAATATAATTAGAGATATTAAGCCAAGTAAAATAAAACAAATTACATACAATAATAGTAAATAGTATATAAAGTAGTATAGCTCTATAAAACAAAATGGCCGTTCATAATAGTGACGTTTCTCCAACGTACAAAGAAGACGTAAGGGCGATTGACAACCAGCTCGAGTTCCGGCGCTTCGTCCCATTCAATACCTGGACAAATAGCATACACTCAACTATTCATAAGCAATTCACAATTTGTAACGTATCATTGGTTAAGTTTTTGCGTTCAACAGGAATATCTACCGTGCCTGCATTACAAAAGAATGTGTAGACAAAGACTGTATGAAGAGAGTGAAAGAGATAAACATACCATCGTCTTTGAACGCATTTCTCCCGGCCTCTTGCCAGAACATGAGACGTTGTACCGCATGGGACAGCCGCAACTCGTTACACTCCGCGTCGCTGTCGTCCATTAACCGAGATATGCCCATCTATGATATTAAATGATAAACTAACGTGTACATCCTACTTTATAATCAGACTAGTGGTCGCCCGCGACTCCGTCCGCGCGGAATTAAGAAAAAAATCATAATTGTGTTCTATGTGTTCTTCGATACTATGTTCTTTATGTATGCTAAATTTCATCGAGATCCGTTCTGGAGATACCTTCAAAGAAATATCCATCCATTCATCCATTAATCTATCCATCTGAACATTCACATATCTAATATTAGTATGATAATTGCTATCTGTTAGAGCGTATCTTAGAGTTGATTCAAAGGCAAAGTGATTCACGAGTTTCCCTTCTCTTTTGATTCTTGCATTGAAAATAAAACGGTTCCTGATTTTAAGTCTCATATTCTATACAAAATCATAATAAAGAGACGTGATACTTACAGATTGTAATTTGTTAGGTAGCAAGAGAGTCATGCGAAGCGTATACAATGGTAAAGTGACGGCCACACGAAGCGTATACATGCGGTCCAACACGTGGTAGATGCTGGTATCCGCCACGTGGCCCGCCAGCTGCCGTAGCGAACGTCCTCGTGGAACCAGCAACAATAGAGAGAGACCAGGAGTCGCATAAAATATTTCTATAGCCTATAAAAAACAATGATTCTCAGATTTTATATATATTCATAAATGTCAATACATAAGTAAATAAGTGCAAGTTCTATAACTATGTAGGTACAAATAAGGTTATGGTGTATGCATATACATACATATCAAATTTGAAATAATGTCTGGCAATTGGTAATAGGTGTCGAATAACGAGAGCACGCGTTATCTTAGGGGGCGTTACCTTATATCCAGTTTTCAGTACATAACATTGTATTAACCTTTATTCCATATTTGTATTCGTTCAGGTCATCATGTTCTCACTAAGGAACCATTCGTTATTTCTGTTATTTTTTTATTCTATCTGCTGCTATGCCGACGACACCTGTCCTTCCGAACGAGATCAGCCGCTGCACGATGAAGCTAAACTTCATAAAGATTTACTTTGTGCGTACAACGTCGACAATCGACCAGTGACAGATCACAAGAAAACCGTCACTGTAAAACTAAGAGTCGTTCTGAAGTACATCAGCTTCGATTCCCTCGAGGAGACTTTCACCCTGCACAGCTGGATGGCGCTGACGTGGAAAGACGAATATCTTAAATGGACTCCGTCTAACTATGGCGGCATCAAGGAGATTCAGATCGAGAGTCACGAAATCTGGACGCCGCGACTGGCTCTGTTTAATGCGGACGCCTCCTTGTACCAGTCGGACAACATTTACACGACCTGCCTACTGGACAGCGACGGCGCCGTGACCTGCGTGCCTCCCGTCGCGCACTCGGGCATCTGCCGCACCTCGCTTCGCCGCTGGCCCTACGACACTCAGAACTGCACGCTCTACTTCGGTTCCTGGATGCACACCGGCGAGCAGGTCAACTTTACGTTCTACAAAAATTTACCCATAGTGATGGAAGACTACCAGAACGGGCCAGGCTGGCGCCTAATGAACGTATTGAACGAACGGATGCCCGGAAAGTACAGCTGCTGCCCCAACAGTACGTACCCGATGCTGAAGTATACTTTTATGCTGAAACGGGAGGCGGCCGGGCCGGCGGCGATCGTCGTGGTGCCGTCCATCGCCATTGTTACACTCACGCTGACTTCGCTGGTCCTCGATATAAGGGACAATACGCGACTCTTTATGATGTGCTTCAGTCTCTTCGGTCACTTTATATTTCTAACTGAAATAGGATACGACATTCCGAAGCACAGCGCAGACACTCCTATCATTCTATTGTTCGTCCGGGACTCGATGATCGTGACCGTGGCGGGAGTGGTGGTGACATTGGTTTTGATGTCTATACGACGACGCAGTGTGCCCCCGCCGGCCTGGCTCGCCGCGGCCAACCGCCTGGTCACCAGCGGGCCCGGTAAGTACGTCGTATTCACAGAATTCGACCCCTGTGACACCACCGAGGTTAAAACCCTCTCGGACGATGGAAACGCCTCTAATTTAAACGAAGAAAAATCTCGCACTGCGACTGAATGGATTTTGTTTGCAAATCTACTCAACAGCGTTGTCTTCATCGTATCGTTGATCGTTTACCTCGTATTAGTAATCTCATACATACCTCGGGATAATTGAATCCAACGGATTTATTCATCAGTCAATATGCGTTGCACATGCACCCTACTTGAGCTTAAATTTACAGGAAGGTTAGCCCATGTGAACAAGACAGACTTATTTAAGTCTCTTTCTATGTAAACTATTAATAAAGGGATATATTCGCCGCACTCTAACTCTTACATTCATAAACTTTGATCAATTATTGTTAAGCTTATACAGAAATAAACTTCTAATACCATTGTTCTTGTCTTTACTTACTTCTGCGTCCCATTCATGTAGTTCTGTATATCTCATGATGTCGTTGATTCGTATCATTCGCATGGTGCGCTGGGGGGCGGAGTCGCTGTCGAGAAAGGAGTGCGTCCCGTTGAGCACGGTGGGGGCGGAGCGCCAGCGCGCACGCAGGTACATTGTTGACAGCAGCACCGCACACATGCCCTCCGAAAGTTCCTCCTCTTCGAATGTATCACGCATCGCTCCTTTTGAATCTTTTTCAACCTATTTAATACAGTAGTTTATATGAAAGAGATAAGAGAATTCAGCGTGCTGAAAGAAATCATCAGTATTTTATTAATAATTCTAGTTGCAGTTTAATTGGTCATAATTTTGTTTTTTAATATTTAAAGTACACGAAATTTAACACGCTACCATTTTATTAAGCGAATCTGTCAATGCTTGTGCGGTGTCAGTGGTGTTGAGTCGGTCGATGCGTAGGCGCATGGCGGGCGCCAGGCCGTGCTGGAACTGCGGTTTGAGCGGCCGGCGACGACCCATTACGAACCTTGATGATAATCGGAATTTTAGAGCATCACTGGTCTTTGGGAGAGACGATACTATTTCTCTTAGTATGTATATTTTTTCCTGTGAAATAACGTTTTAAATTTAAAAAAGATCTTCAGATAGCATTTAAATCACCATGTAAGTCCGTACCCTGTCGGTGAGCTCCAGATCTATGCACTGCTCGATCTCACGTCGCGTTTCAACATCGACCTCCGAGGAGAGTGCCATCAATGCCAAATGTAAAAATATTCCTGTTTGAACAAAACTTATTCCGTTTTCCTTTCTTTCAACGGGACTTGACAATGTTAATTTCTCGAAAGTGGCCTGCAAGGCACCAGAATAACTAATGATACGGTGTCATTATAATGATTCTACCCTACTTGTATTAACCACCGAATCGATACTGTTTTTGTATTTCCTACTAGGCAACATATATTTCATTATTACGTAATGTTTACGTGATTGATTATTTCCATAAATTTTTAATAATACACATGGTTATATTCTGTATCGAATCAGAGAACAAATTATTCGATAACAATCTTTAAAAATTTTGATATCTACCTATTTATAACGTCACATTAGTTTATCGGAGTGTTTCTAATTTCTGAAATAAAACTTAAAATCTTAATGAATAAAAGGTGGAAGTTTTATGGTTACGTTTATATTTATTTTGAGTGTTTTATCAAGAGATAAAAATAGACCTTCATTGATTTTTTTACTATCAGCAAGGATTTTTATCATTTTTTTCAGCAATGAATAACTTCTTTGGAATAACTTTCAAATAACTCACTAAAACAGTTTGAAATCGATGTAAATTTAATTTATTTATTTGTGATAAACATTATTTAGTGTTATTCCAAACTAAGATAAGGGTTGTCCTAAGAACTTTTTGTGACGACCGTTATACGGCCTTTTCAAACCTACGACTTTTGCAGACAACCTACAAATCTAAAAGACATTTAATAATCATAAAGTAATGTTAAAAATGCAAAAATATCAGTCCATCTTACCTTATAAAACTTCCTTTCTAGCGAATCAAGTGATCGAATAAATTTAGCCATTATTTCAAAATTACTATACATATTTGAATTCCAGTGTTCGTAACTGGTGTTAGGTCTAAAATTTAGTGGTTTCCTGGTTGTTACAGTCGTAATCCTGCTATTACTGATATAAGATAAAGTATCTGTTGTCGGTGAGTTTGTGGTTGTTGCAGATACACTGCTATTGCTTATTGGTTCTACAAAATTTGCATTAGGCTTGTAAACAGGATTGTGAAGCGATTGCAGGAGATGATTATTGACATTCGCAGCTGCATTTGAAGGTTTATTTCCTAGTGCACCATAAAACACTGGTTGATTCGCTTTAGTGACATTATTCGATGTAATATCGGTTTGAATATTCGGCTTTGGGATTGGATTTTTATTTAATTTTCCATACAAATTAAACGGTGCTTGTATCCCGGTTTGACGTGTTCCTGAAGGAACAGGTGTGACGTGGTTGTGTCTTATGAGACCAATTTGTCGTTTATTAATTGCATCTAAATATGGATAAGTACTTGGATATACAGGATGTGAAAAATAAGTGTAAAAACAATGAAGTTCAGTATAACACATTATTGGTGTGTTCGGAGCAAATGCCGTCGGTGATGTATATTTGGGCATCGCAAATGTGATATTTGTATTAAAACTATGGGATCGAACACTTGAACACAAAAGTAGAAGCGCTGTTAGCGACGTAACATTGGTGTAAGTCATGCCTATTATATTGTTATCAACCTGTGTCCATTAGATTCGCTTACAGATTTTCAGATTGAAGTTGACGAGTACACATTATAAAGGACATATTCGAAGTAATACACGTATAAAAAGATCACAATAAATGCAAGAATCGCGGCACCAAACTGGATGCGAGTCGGAGCACCACTGCATCGCACAAGCAGCTGTAGAAAATACGTTCTGTTCCGCATATTCAAAAGAGTGACTACTTAGAGCTAAATTAATGAGAGCTAATTAATATGCTTTATAATCGCGATAACGTCCAGTTAAATACCAGGCGTTCTGTGATTTTTAAGTGTTTTATTCGATTTGGGTAAACTAATATGATATATAGAAATAATTTTTGCTATGACAATATTGTTTTTTTTCAATTATACTTATGGCAGGAAGGCAACCATTCCTACGAACTTCTAGATTAAAAAAAAAAACGTTATGAACAGTGAAAATAAATCTAATTATCTAACTCTAATGTATAAATTACATCTATTATATAGAAATTAGTTGCGGTATACATTGAAACTAATAAAAATATTTGTCAGACTTGAAACAACTATGAATTGTTACTCATTATACTTACTATATATAAGGAAATTTTATTTTAATGCTGAGTTCTTTCTCCTTTGTAAGTACCAGCAAATATTATTGTAGCTTTTGATACCATAATTATAATAAGAAAAGGACAATTTGCTATGAATTCTGTTCCAACAGCAGCAGTCATCCTCAACACGAGGACCCCTGGGGAAATTACATCTGTTAACTGTGTATTGTTCCAAAGCAAACAGGTGGACATCTTAACAATAAAATAAATGAAAATTTTTGAAGGTATCTTCAAAACGGCTGTATAGATCTCGCTGAAATTTGGCATGTAGCACATAGTCTTGAAGAACACATAGGCTACTATTTTTTTATTTAAGATCGTACGAACGTAGTCGCGTGCGACAGCTTGTTTTTAATAACGGTCATTTAACTCTATGCAGAGAGTATTTTACCAAGGAATCGTCAAACAGGCAACGTCTGGAAGCCAATATAAATTAAAGTTTATGTCAAGGAAGAAAAAAGTAAACACAAGACTTATAAAATTAAATATTTATTGAATAATAAAACACAAATAAATAGATAAATCTTATAAATGCAAAAGCTAAGCTCACACTGTCTTCTTATTATAAGTACACTTTCCGGTTTTAATGAAGTTACTAAAAAACTGCCAAGATATTGCCAACAGCAATATTAGATGATATAAAAACATTTATGATTCGTTTAATAAATTTTTTAATATATTAACATCGTTTTTAGTCTGCACTTATCGTACTTATAATTCTAAACAATATAAATAAAAAAATGCAATCTGTGATTGTAAAATTTGTACATAGAAATTTTTTCATTTTGTAAGAATCGTTATAATATTGTCTTTGATTATCGGAGCGCTACACTATTAAAAGTTAACGTAAATAAATCTCTTAACAGCACGAGTTAATAACATAAAATATTTCTCTATGCCTGAAATTTCTTTTTATAGAAACTTTTATTAAAATCGAAATCTCTTTATTAAATTAAGTGAGTCATCTGTTAATACTTTGTGCTTATACTACTTTATACGTGTTGTTTATTAAATTTATATTACGTTTGTCATGTCGCATAAATTTTTATAGAATAAAAGCTCAAAAATAATAAATTCATAAATAATTTAGTTAAAAGCTTACTTAAAAATTTTAAATTAGTATTTTTTTAACAAATAATTTGGATAAAAGCTTTTAAAAATCACCGCGTTGCGTCGCCATAAAGTAGGGCGTGTCATCGACAAGTATGACAGTTAGGAAGGGCCTGTCAGCGTCGAAGCGCGGCACAGGGGGCTCCCCGATCATCGCGGAGCAAAGCATGATGCCCATTGCTGTAATACAAGCACTTTGGGTCAGTACACGGATCCACAAACAAGAAATTCAACAAAATGAAACTGATGATTTAACAGGTGGCCATAACTACCTTACCTACCCTTAACAAAAGTAATAAGTCCTTGAATTTTAATTTTTTTTATATTTATGTATCATAAGGTGGCAATCGTTTGCAATAGGCAATCTTAATACGCCGAAATAGATAATAATACGGCTGCCCATAGATATTAAATAAAAGTTAGACTTTTTATTTTGAAATTAACTTGAATATGAGGGAAAATTTGATTATGATATGACCAAAATTCATAAAATTGTATGTGATTTATATAACTCGATACTGAGTGATCATGAAATTATTAAATAATACATATAAAGCGCAAGCAATCGTAGAAGTAGCAAAAAATTGCAAGATTTCTCAGACACAGACACGACACGACAAACGTAATACGTGATAAATATGCAAGCAGATTACAAACAGTTTGACTTGATTGCAATAAATTTCTGGAGAATTGTTACTTATGCCGGTGCGCGGTAAGATCCTACGAAGAGGAAGTTACTCTGCGAGTCGAGCAGCGCGTAGAGGAAGGGCCGGTCTGCGCGGAAGCGGGGGGCGGGGGGCCGCGCGCACCTCATCATCATCACCATGCCTGCGCCAGAAAAACCCATGCAAGCAGTAGTACACAATTAAACCCCCTCTAAATATACCAAATAAGCACAAAACATACAACAGAACACTCGTTTCATCCCAATATAACTGAATCGATAGTGTTAACTACTGCTTGCGTTAGTTTTTCTACAAGTCGGTACGCAATGTGGGTACGCGAGGTCGGTACGCCGCGACGAAGGTGATCCGGTCCGCCAGCAGCACGCACCAGAGGGCGCGATGCGACGCTCTGAAGACGCGCGGCGGCGACGGCAGCGACCTCTTGGTGCGCACTTTCAACGCTAAACCCACACACACCCACCATTTGACATACATTGACCACACACATCACACATAATCCCAACACCAAGAATTCCGTGTTTTTTTATACCATACCTAGTTATTTAAAAGTATGTACCTAAATATTAAACAAAAAGTCCAACCCGAAGCTTACGAAAACTACAGTAAACACAAAATAAAAAAAATCGATCTACCCTACATAACAGTAAGATGAAATTGTGTAATAGAATGAAAGGAAAATAATTATTAAATGCGTGAAAACTAAATAAGATATCTGAATAAATAATATGATTTAGACATACATTTAGAATAGAACTATTCTTTAGATTTTTATCGGATTTTGGTCTACCCACATAACGAAAACTCCCATACATTATGAAATTGTGCGTAATATTAGGAAGAATGATAGACATATAAACAGAAGACAAGCATAGTAACATAGGAAAAAATATAAAAATTTAACTTACCGGTAGCAGCTGCCGCTTCAGCGCCCTCTTCGTTGACTTCAATGAAAGCTTTCTGTACTGCTTTTGATACGTATAATTTTTCATCAGTATTCAACACCTTAGTAAGGCCTGAATTGGCACTGTCGAAGATTGCTTTGATGCCAAGCTGAAAAAATATAATGTTTTTCATACTTATGATGTACTAGTTGCCTGCGAAATTAAAAAAAAAACTTAGTAGCGTATATAATCTTCCGGGCTATGTTTTTCATCTATGCCAAATTTACAAACATCCATCCATACAGCCAAACATTCGTATTTATAATTGTAAAAGTCTATGCAGCGGAGTAGTTGATTATTGGAGTTTGAGGTAAAACTTCAGATGCAGAGTGAACGCGTTTAATCGGGCAAGTTACAGAGACGAACTTAATTATATATTAAAAGTCACAAAAATGCAAGGGCAATGTCGGTGGTTGCAACTTCACGTCATCACTCATTGGCTAATTGATTAGATGCACATTGCTATATTTATTTGAAAGGCGTATTGGCGCGAACAATAATATTAGTAAGATAGTAAGAAGTATGATTTTACAAGCTGTTAAAAAATCAGAACTATCATATTATCTCTTTGCCGTTTATTTATTATCGAATATTGAAACTTGATGTCGAAATATATTGCAAGCAACAATTTGTATTTACTGTATTTGTAAATGTATAATTTAAATGACCTAGTTTTAGTAATAACAATGTCTATGACTGTCGCTTATATATAAAAAATAATGATTTCATATATGACAAGTAAATATTATTAATTTCGCTGTATTACCACCACGACCATACAATGGTGACGAATGGTTATCTATCTGGAGTACTGTTTAACTATGTGTAAGGGCTGCCACCTCATCGGGTTTGACCTAAATTCTTGGGATTACGCAAATTTCTTCGGTTTAAAGAGATATGCAACAATGCACTAAATGTCTTTTCTTCGTCGTCTACTTAGGACTGGAACGTGAGAATCGTGTTTTTTAAAATAACTTATATTGTAAAGTGGCAAATGAGCAAGCCGACACCTGAATCCGCAATTGCAGCTGCGCTACCTACTTTTAATCGACTTAGGAGACGAACTAAAAGACAACACCCTACCCATGCATGCCCTTCTCCACCAAATCCACTTTCCCCATCCTTTCCTTTTAAAAAAAGGGTGGAAAGATCAGGAGTAAAATTAGGCTCTAGGAAAGCAATGCGTCGTCTAACGAGGACTAGAATTGGGACGTCAATCATCCTCATGTTTTGTTACATCTTCAGTTTTTGTCATGTATTGATTTATGTAAGTTGACAACCCTAATATGGCATTGTGTTATATTGAACAGACGATGTTGTCGGCGTATAAGTTAACGACTTCTTATCATGTGGGCGTAACAGGTTTGTTTAATATTAACAAACTATCAATAACTTTGACGTAATTAAGAATGACCCGGGTATATAAAATGCACGCGTAACAAAATACTAGGAAAACATTATTAAGAGCAAAGCGCTCTTTTATGAAACAGACTCAATTTTAAGTGTGCATTTGAAAGTCAAACTTAGTGGAAACTAACCTATTTGGTTGTAAAGGACGATTTTAGAAATATCTTGAATCAGAAAAAATAATTATTTTTCAGTCTACACATATGATATCATGGACGGATACGAAAAAAAATTATATTCAATAAATACTGTTAAGAAAATCGACATCGTGCCGATGTATAGGCGCAACACTAGACCGACTAAAATTACGCACACTATCCCCTCCCTACATCTATCTGACAGATGACAGTTCTAGCGACTAAAGCGCGCCAATCTATCTAAATTATTTTAATCAATTATTGTCTTAGCATATAAAACACAATATTACCTTTGGCAGTAAATCACACAAATCAATCTCAGTTTCGATCTTGAACTTTGGTATGGTGACTTGTACTTTAGTGTTGAACATATTGTCAACTTCAGCCATCAAGTCGTAGCCGTCGGCCAGTTTCTTCAGCACGCCGTCAAGTCCATTGATTTCATTCGGCAATACAATAAGCATACTCGCTTTTTCGCCAACATAATGCATTTTCAATAACTATAACAAAACACGCTATTTGACATATTGATGACATGAACTTATAAAAACAGAGATAACAATATAATTTATTTAGAAATTTTGGTCTCAGAAACCAACTATAAATGAGATAATAACGCACTAAAAATTATAATCATTATGTGTCAGCCAAATATAGATCTATAAATATATTAATTTTCTCGACACAACATTGCTATGGATAAACCGATACTTCAAGGTCGTCTAAAACAAACACTTAAATCGAGACGCACGCGCGAAGCACTCATTGTTTATTATTCTGCGAATTCCAAGATGATCGCTTCTAAAATTATTACAGTGTGGACTTTGCTTCAGTTAAAAATATATTTTAAGGAAAATTTCAAAATATAATAAGAAAATACATAGAAAATTAGTTATATTAATGTATACAATTTTATAAGGCGCAAAAGACAGCTAAACTATATACCTGTGCTCCTAATTCTTGGCTTTCTCCATACGTGAAGTTGTCTTCCAAGTACATCATTGGTACCATTACAGTTTTCTCCATGTCCACATTGAATGGTTGGTCCAATGTATTGGACGGATCAAACTGTTTTTTCCATGTACCCTGAAATTACGTATCCGATAAGTTTATATACACATCATAACAAATTCGTAGCAACGATCGATAGTTTTCACTGAAAATTTATGTCATTTAATAAATTAAGATTTTTTTTTTACTTCCTATTCCGTGAATAGTATAAACACACTAAAACAATTCGAAAAAGTTTTTTTTGTACCATGTATGTTAAGAAGATGTAAGTCAATTGTCTACCAACACTTGGCTTGAGTTTTACTTTATTTTAACATCTATAGAAAAACATATATCACCTTAAAATAAAGAGCGTTAACCAGCACAAGTCGGCTGTCACTGTTTAAGCTGTCACTTGAAATAAGATCTTTAATTTTGTCATTTGTTTTGCTCTCAACCTGAAAAAAAAAGTTTATATATTCATCCAATAATCCCACAATCACATATGACCTTGACAAAACTATAGTTCAAAAAGCAACTTGGCTAATGAGTACTTGCATCTTAATGTAATTAATAGTATTTTAGGGAACTTCAAAATTTTAATACAAATATTTTAGAAAGATTAAGTTTGTTTTGATGTTCCAAAATGTATTGGACAAGTAATTTTCCCTTTCATGTTAAGAATAAAAAAAAATAATAATAATTTATTTTTCTATGAATCCTGATTCAGTCTTTAAATTCATAGAACTTGCATTCATTTTAATTTACAAGGATTATGTGTCATTTAAAGATAAGACTTAAAAATTTATAAATAATTATTACTAAAATATTTATCTAAAGATATTATGAAAAGATTAAATATGATATGTGTTGAACATTGATGATGTATAACTATCAAGTACTAAGACATATATAGCATAACATTACCCACTGTTTTATTTAAATTATTTGAAACAGGCTTTCGTAAAAAATACCATTTTACATACAGTTTTATAATTATTTTTAATCATCTAATGGTAATATTTAAATTTAAAGGTCAAAAAGTTTACTAGTAGTCAGTGCAGTTTCAAATTTTCAATTTATTGAAATATACATTTGCATGTAGTCATTATTAAAAATATTATCTCTGATAAATCTTGTATATTGTTTATATATAAACATATTTACCCATTTATTGATGATTTCCGCAGCAGCAGCACCATTACTAAAGTCAACCTTTTCAAAGGAGGCATCAAACACTTTAACTGCATCTTCTTTCAGTTGTTCATTCAGATCATAATTTCCTTCCATTAAATACACCTTATTAGCTACATTCAATGTCACGCCTTTGACAGATCTTAAATTTGATGATACCGCAGAAAATGAGGAACGAACCTGCAATGTAAATGTTAATTTTAAATTATTTAATTTATGAGATTTAGAATATTAAGATGTAGTTACTTAATTGGATTAGTCTGTAATCATTTTAGGATGCTACTTAAGCTTTTACGTTTGTAATGTTCATTTATTTCTTTATTATATATTGCTGTTAAGTATTGTAATAATGTATAAAGTCATATAAAACATTTTTTTATTATTGAATAAAAGTTGAATTAAGTCTAAGTAAAGAATTATCTACTAATAGTCCTTAAGATTAACATTGTACTGAAATTGTTGTATTGATTTGATGAACAATTATTTACAGATTAAGTAATAATTGAAAATAATAAAATTATTTGGTATCATATTATTAGGTACTTTTCAAGTCAACATATATATTACTCACAGCATCATCATTGGTAATCCCCAGGGTTGTTAACAATTCTTCATGAGCAGGATCTGTTGTGCCCAAAGCAAGAAGAGCTAACACAAATTCTGCTGACAATGGAGAGGAAACCACACTTGTACTTTTGTCAAGTTCCTGAAAGAAGATATTGAAATTAATTTTTGATTCTACAATACTGTATTTACATTTGATATACAAATACGTAAAAGAAAACACTGAAAAACTTACATTGCAAAACCTTGCCGAGAATTGCGCGATAGCCGAAGTCACAGCTTTATCACCCATGTTGTCAGTTAAAGAAAATACTATTAAATCCGTTAAAATTAGTAGAACTGAAAAATAAAACAAAATTGAATAGAGACGTCTAGTCTTCACTAAATACTCGGCAACAATGCGAGTAATTTATTCTGCCCGCACACTTTTATCTTTAGGAATGATATCATCGCAACTCAGAAACAGTTTACAAGGAATTAGTCACCGCAATTTACCAATGCCTAAATATTATGCACTCGATACGAAATACTAATTTCTTCTCTTTCTTAGATGTAAATTAGAAACAACTCAACGAAGGGTAACGCATTGCAAAAATATTGTACTTACCTATATTAATAAACGTCCGCATCGACAATTATAAAATGTAACTGTGCGCTATGATGAACAATTAATGATAAGAAAAGACAACTAATGATTGGTATTTTGAAATGGAAATCACTATCCTTATCTGTCTTATCAATGAAATTTTGTATATTTTATATATTTGTAGACCGATAAGATTATCAGAACCGGTGAGCTTATGTCAAACTTCTAAATTGTGACAGCTCACTAGCGCCCCCCTGTCAACGTCAAAAAAGCCAAGATCCTCTTATAGTTCTGTAGGTGTAACTTCATTTTTTTATGTATTTTTCTATGTCCAAGTAGGTTTTATATATATTCTGACAGTACCAACTGCGAAAATAATATTTTTTGAGATCAACCCGAACTTTGATTTTCGAGAAACGGACTAGGCGGTTACGTACATATAATAATGATAGACAAAGAGCATCATCAACCTGCCCATATCGCTACGGAGGGTCGACACAGTATGTGCTATTCCTCCATACATCTCAATCGGCCCTCGAATCTAAATGTACCCCTTTCTTACGCATATCTTATTTCATACAATCAATCCATAACTCCCTTGGTCTTCCTCTACCTCTACCTTTCATATTCTACATTTAATCTCATTACTTTTCTGTTTATATGACCATCATCCCTCCGAATAACATGTCTAGACCACGCTTACTTTTTGCGCCTTAATATCTCGATCACTACTTTCAAACATCCTTTAATATACACATTCTTAACTTTATCCTTTTTTGGCACACCACTACACATCCATCTTAGCATACGCATTTTAGCTACATGCAATCTTCTTTCATCCGAAACCTTGGTGGCCCAACATGCAGATTAGGCAAAGAGCCGCCGTTGTATTAAAGAAATTCTGTCATTTTTCATGGCAGTGAAATTTTTTTTACATATTGTTGTTACCGTTTTTTCAAAGAGAATGAAAGAGATGACAATATGCGACAACACAAGTGTGACGGCAGTGGAAACCCACAGTGAAACATTTTTATGAATGGATTTACACGAAACGAGCACACAAGCAAGCAAGTTTAAAATAACAGAATTATATAATACAGTGTTAAATCTATTGGTATTTTTCTTTGCCAGAGGTAATTGCGAAAGCAAGACAGGTCCAGCTTTTAAAATTCAAAGTACCCGAAACTGAAACCAATTATGTACTAACTTAAATATAAGTACTGACCACTACAATAATAAAAACTACAAAAGTTCTATATTAGAAAATTATTCTGTGTAAAAATCTGTCATTTTCTCATTCCATCAGTTTTTCAAAGTTAACCAAATTCTGATTATTATAGAAATGTAACAATTTTTTATAAAAATAAAATAAAAGTAAAAAAAAACAAAATGAATACTCGTGTAATGAAAATGAAAAACATTATAGGAATAAGAAATTACAGGCTATGTAGCCCGCCGAGACCGCCAGGTGAGTGCGGCTGCCACCCGCAAGTGCCGAGTTACCAAACCATAATGCCTCCGCCGTCAACATGTAGGGTTACAGATATCCCTCCTAATCCCTGCGCACCGCGTTACCACTACGGCAAGGGAACGTACCGGAAATATAAGTACATGGTATTTTTCATTGGATTTCCTCTCATATTTATTCAAACTTTACATGCTTTTGGCCATCATACGCCCTCGAAAGAAAGCTGTCGAGATTACGACTTCATGCGCAAACGCGTCAGAAGATATCCGTGGGGAGACGGACGTGCTACTCTTTTCCACAACGACCGCGTAAACCATCTACCCGGAGACTGCGAGCCGCCCCCGCTGGACTGTGACTGATACGATTTTTTTGGCAATTCGGAGGTCCGCCCCATGTATATATATGAAGAGATATGTTTAACTTGAGGATACAAAGAACGACCGAGGAGCATTTATTTTTTGTTTACGCCTACGTCAGGTGTCAGAATGAAAAATATATAAATAGCGATTGTCCCCACATGCATGCGCAGTGATTAAAGTTGGGAAAGGGCATGCGGCTACGGACTGCCAAGGCGGGCGGCGACGGCGGCGGGGGTGGCGATCGATAGGGAAGCTGACGTCAGTGAGGGCCCGCGCGCCATTGGCCCCGCCGGCACTACCGAGCGAACGTCCGTACGGAGTGGCGCGGAGAGCGTCGCGCCGCGGGCACAGCACCGCAGCACGCGGCGGCCGCGCACCGCCGGCCCCGCGGTCCGCGCCATGGCCGACATGCCGGACCTCTCGCACCTCACGCCCGAGGAGCGCGCCATCATCGAGGGCGTCATGATGCGCCAGAGGCAGGAGGAGCAGCGCGAACACGAGATTATGAGGTGCGCCCCACGACACACGCCCGCTAGCCCACCCCGCCCGATCCCACCCTACCGTGTCTTGTCCGCTGCCTCATGTACCATACGTTAGTGCCGTGACCCCATTTTAACAATATAAAACGGTAGTAACCTTGAATAGCAGAACTAGATGCAACGTCCAAAGTATAATTTTCAACAGGGCGTTTTATCTGCTGCAGTTATATCATAATTATATATCTAACGTAGAAGCGTGCCTATATAGCAATCATTCACTCGACCGTCATAACGAAGGTACATTTTAGGAGTAAAGTATTAAAACCATGATCACATAATAGAAACATCCTTCGTCCGATCACGCAACAGACAGAGAGCGACGCAACGATATCAATACAGTGCAATAATTTAATTAATTGATCAAAGTTTGTTGTACTACTACTATTAGGTAATATGAAATTACCATCATTATCAAAATTAGCAACGGTCATATGATTTCAAAAAGTATACATTAATGCTAAATATTAGTAACCTACACAAAGGTTGCTTACACACCAGTAATCTTTTGTTATTCATTTTTCTATTTTACGTATACGTGAATGCAGTTGACAAGAATCAAAAGATTTTATTAAACCAAGTCATATTCCACAAAATTTTTCATGGTAAAGAATAGTCATGGTATGGTTTATGACCAGGATTTGTTTTGTGTGGTAGAAAAGGGCGAGTTTGCTGATTTTACATGTTTGACTTTTACAGGGCAGTTAAGACAAAGAACTAGCACTTTTTTTTTAGCAAAACATAATTCGATTAGAACGGTATTTAGGACTTGAGTTTTTGCCAACTCTTTCTGAATGAAAAGGTCGAAAAAGCTTCCTCTATCCTTGCATTTACGTTGATCATTTTGTATTTTAAGAGAGTTCTAGATTTGAGGTTCTAATCCGAAAGGGAAATCTGTGAAGACTAACCATAAAATATTTTATTAAATTGCCTAACTTTCCTAATGTCACCGAAGAATGAAATGAAACCCAGTTATTATTTCTTATCGATATGAGTTTTTCATTATCTGTTTTTATCGTAAATGCTTTTTCGTGTTCCCCACTAACCTGCAAGCGCTTTATCTAAACTTAAATCAACGAAATAAATATTAACTGTATTACACCAAAAATTACAGTTAGACACTGTTCAACTGAACATGTGTTTTAGCCCTTTGATCCTAGAGTATGGTTTACCCTTAAATATGTATCACCAAAACTGCTTCCAATTATGCCCTTTAATAGTTTTGAAAGCTATCTTATTTATAGTTTCTGGTAGAATTTGAGCGAAGCCGACCGGTCTATGATAGAATATTTACATTATTATATAAATGTACATCATTAAGACCGTAAATACCATGCTCATTTTCCCAATTGAAACTATATAAAAAAACATTTATTGTTCAAAAGAAATGTAGTATAGATTAAATCAATGCTTTCATTTTCATCGGTATTTACGAACCTTCTGCCATAGTATCTAAAGTTAATGCAATAAAATTAAGTATCCTATTGAAAAAATTATATTTTTTATATACTCGATTTGTAATTACAAATTTTCAATCCTGATTGTAAAATTTATGAACTATGTATTTATATGAACAAGACGATTTTATGGATTTTATATTTTTTACAAATGGAATAAAAATGCTTTATTTGCATTTTAATAAACTGTTTTATTTTAATCTTTATTCTTATTATTAGTAATCTAATGTTATAAATCCGTAACACGATTAATTCTGCGTGATTTATGAAGAAAAATTAAAGATTGTAATAAGCATTGAATGAGGTAAATTGTATTTATACACCTACACATTTAAAACCGTTAAAACCAACTATAATGCAAAGATGCAAATTCTATAGAAAAAAAATCAGGTGCCTTCAAAGAGGGACACTTACGAGTCAGCGATAAGTTTGAAGATTGATACGATAGCATCGCTAATAATTGGGAGTTCGTGCTCAATTAGAATAAAAGAGATTACTACATAGATAAAAAATATTGTACAATGAATGTAACAAGGCGACATTATCTATGGTGTGTCTATTTAAGATATATTAGTTTGACAATTCACTAGAGATGGGTTGATTAAAATCGGTTAGTAAAATTTTCGATTTTCGATGGTTGTTCTCATAGAACTTGCAATCGAAAATTTCGTGATAATTGATTTTGATTTACAACATCAATGAAATTGTTACTTTCTATGTCAATTTTATTCTTCAAAACTATGTAGAAAAATAAAATGTAACATTACATTTTATTTCTCAATTTGCTCTCTCTCTCTTGTTTTTGCTCTTTCTGAAATTGCGCGAGATATAGCTAAATACCTAAGTTATAGTGTTATATTTAGTATAGTATTTATTTCTTCGATTAATATTATCACAAGATCAATTCTCGATCTATCTTAAATAGACACACTATATACTATAATACATTTTTATAATGAAAACAAAACAGAGAATAAGAAGTGCACGAGTAAGGGTTAATCACATGATGTTTTCAAGTCACTGACAACTAGCAGCCATAAAATTCAGACGAGTGTTTTCCGTTTGGCCGATCAATCTGCACCATGATATTTTTTTACTCATTGGCCAATTGAGTCCACAGAATCAAAAAGAACCAACGGCAAACGCCTACTCATTCTTAATACGAGTGAGGGTACTGAGAGAATAAAATGGATAGTAATACGTTTGTGCATAATTGCTTGGATACTGGAAACCTATAACAGTAAGTTTTTACCAGCACCAGACTTTTTATTCGAATTAAATTGCAATGGAAAGTCACTCGGTTTAAGTGATGGATTACTTAGAACCTATTTTTCTTGTTTTTATTTCAAAATTGGAATACATCAAAAATGACCTGTAGTTTAAGTAAATGATTTTGCGACAGCAATTATAATGAGAAGGAAAACTTTTGCATTGTTCCGGTTTTTTGTTTGCCGTAAAAATCTTTTGTCTGAATCACATTTACCGTAAAGCTAGAAAATATATCTGGAACACGATATTTCACTTTACATCTGGCATGGAATATAAATAGCGTATTCGTATTATATAAACGCTTTAAACACATTAGTAATACGATGCAAAACGCAACAAACAAATATAACTATTTATTCATGATAACAGTTCCAGCGACGAATTGACCATTTCTTTACTAGGCTTTCTTTAATCCAAAAAATAAAGTTTTTATAAGATTTATTAATTATGGTGTGCCAAAATCCAACCAAAATTTAATCCGTAACCATCTCTCCTAATCCCTCTAGATTATGGGCGTGATTGTGTTGTTCTTCTTTACTTTCTTTATTTTAATTTTTTGTAAATTTTCAATTTACTTTTTTGAATATGAGCATGAACATGTGAAAAGTAAAGACCATTTAATACTAAATAGTTATTTAACACTAAATTATTTGAATTGCAATTTTTATTAACGTACGTTATTCGAGCCACGTACTCTCCGAGGTTGCAGCAATCTGTAGGGATTTGCGATCGATTCAGGCAGCCACTTGCCATTCTGAAAACGCGTTTTAATATTCAAAGATTTTGATATCTAAAGACGATAATAACCTACCACATGTATTTCGTCGATTTTACGTAAATTCACACTCACGGGATTATTTTACATGAAACTAGCGGTCGCTACGTCCGCGCGGAATTAAAAAAAACTTAATTAGTATCCAATCTATGGTCTTCATCTGTACCAAATTTCAGTAAAATCCGTGTAGACCTTCTGGATGTACCCTCAAACAAATATCCAACCATCTATCCATCTAAACATTCGCATTTACAATATTAGTATGATTAAAATAAATTTTAACAACTTTTCCGTTTATGTATTCCTAATAAACTTAAATAGCGAAGGGTCTTATTCTATAAATTATTACAAGGAATTTTAATAGAATCAGTAACGTTGAAGGAGAGCTACGTTAACTATGTTAAAATAAATATTTTTTACATTGGTTATTGAAAAAACTAGGTCGGTATTAACGTCCAATGAAATTGCAGAAGATTGAATGAAAATTTTGACCTATTAAAAGTATAAAAGTTATGACTACATTTTGCACTCAAATCTATTTTTATAAAAGGTACTTTTCCTTAATTATCTTGACATTATTTTTGGCTATACATAGACTATAATTAACATTGAGTTGTGAAACGCGCATAATAGGAACAAAAGGGTTATTCTTTGAAGTACATGGCTAAACGAGAAGCCTCTGAATTATACAAAAGAAATCTCGAGCTGGTTAATTAAAGCCTACTGCTAATTATTATCAGACGGTTTTCACTGGAGATAGAAGAGTCGTAAATACTTGACGCTTCGTCTCTGCCGTCTGTCGGGGCTACGTTCGGGAAACTGATAAAAGAATAAACGCTGTATATGTAGGATTTGATTCAGTTAATTTTTTAAATTTATTCGTACCACTATTATAGTAGTTTTCCTTGATTATCTTAATTACTGGCTAACAGATTGTGGGCATAGCGGCCACAAGTGATGGATCCGCGCTTGTCTAACACTTACTCGTACTTAAACATGTTGTAGTCTCTGCTTTTTCAAAGAGGATAAAAGGAGAGACAATATTGTTTTAATACCTACAGGTGTTAGAACACTGGAAACCTTCTTTAATATGTTGTAATACATTGCGACAGACGAAAGCAGGATGAGGTAGCAGTGCTGGAGCAGACAATACGCACGAGGAATGAGATGCAGCGCGCGGCAGGCGTGGAGCTGGCGGCCACCTGCCACATCTGCCTCAAGACCAAGTTCGCGGATGGCGTCGGCCACTCCTGTCACTACTGCCGGGTGCGCTGTTGCGCGCGTTGCGGTGGGAAGGTTACCCTGCGCTCTAATAAGGTATGGATATGATTTTTTGGTAATTTTTGTCGCTAGGTAAGAGCCAATACTAATATCAATATTTTATTTTAGGTTATTTGGGTGTGTATATTATGTCGTAAAAAACAAGAATTATTATCAAAAACTGGTCAATGGATACATAAGAGTGCTGGCCAAGACTCGATGATGTGGCGGATGGAGTCCGATCTGCGCGGACTGCCGCCGACGGGCGAGGTCGCGCTCGACAAGCGGCCCAAACTGGAGCGCGCGCACAGCGCCGCCGAGAAGGAAAATCACCCGCTGCAGAGATCCGGTAGCGCGCTGCGCCGCCAGTACAGCCAGCAGGAGCCGCGCTGCTACGGCGAGCTGGAGGGACTGGCGCGCACGCACCCACACCTCGTGCACCCGCGGCAGAAGGCCGCGTACGGCGTTGATGACTCTGCTCCTCTGCCGCCCAGCGCGCTTGCGCCCGCGTCCGCGCACCTCATGCCGCACCCTTTGACGCACCCCCCGCTGCCGCCTCGCTCTTCTTCCTCCGACGACGAGGTGCCCGAATGCATCTCCGACGAAAACGACGAGTACCGCGACCGTGGTGAGTACCCTGCCCGTCCTGCTCCACGCACCCTCGCGGCTCCCTGTCACCGCGCTCCCTCCTCTCCGAGCTAATTATTTTTGTGCCTGTCCTTATTACACTGATACCGCACCACATAACACTGAACACAATTATAACGCCGTCCGTTGTATGAAATTATCAATGCCTACTATAATAACGTTAAATTGTTTGTCATATTTTCCCCAGCATTATCTGTATAGGATACAATAAAGTTAAGGTGTTCCGTGCGAGGTAATTCAACTTGTAGTAGTAGTAGTGCATAGTAGAGAAATATTAATTGCCAATTGAGTGAGATTTCAGAGAATTTCATAGAGTAGAGCACCTAAACTTATCTTAAGGTACATATTTTTAAACCAAAGAGACCACACCCCTGTTTATCAATATCGATGTTCTTTGAATAAGTTTCATTTGTTTTCAATAATCTATACCTGTAATTTCTTTCAGTTATTTTATGGACGAAGTCAATTATAAATACAGGGGCTGATTATAATGCGATGATATAGCTCTAGCAGAGTCGTGTCTGCAGTGTAGATTGTGTTAGTGAGTGTCGCGAACGTGCGGCGACTTGCGGGTCGTGCGCGCCTGGTGGCCCGGTAGCTCGGAGCAAGCACACACGTCTCCCCGTTGACCGTCTCCCACTGTTGCTGTTCGCAGGTAATAGAGATAGGCCCGGCGCCGCCATCTCCAGAAACCAGCGACAAGCGATATTAGACGAGAAAATGAAAAAGTTCTTATCGGTGAGGGGGCGTTTCTCGGGCACCTTGGTCCTAATACAATAAAGTTTGCTACATTTTTAAATGTTAAGACATCCCTCACTGTTTGTTGATGGTTCTCATTCTGTTAACTTCTAAATTGTGAACGTTCAAACCTCATCTTCGTTTGAATACCTTCTTCCATCATTATTTTCATGATTTCCAAAAGGCAGCAAGTACACGAAAAGGTTACATACTTCGAATGGTAAATAGTTAATTTTCTGATTATAATTGAATAGATGAGAAGTGACATGTATGTAAACAATACGTGTACTTCTGCCTTATAGATGTTTGAGCCATATGATTCAACAAATTCAGGTCACAAAAACTGTAATATAAATATTTAATGATTTAGATTGTAAGTAAAATATGAATTTCTGTACTAAAATTATGGTTCAGGCAACGTCCGCATGTCTGGGCGAAAAGAAGTGTAAAATATTTGAAAACATTTTAAGACTACTAGATTTTGTGAACGTGTTCCTCTTTTACTTTCTCGTAGTTGTTTCGCTGTATAGTATGACTTGAATCTGACACACATCTTTCCGCTTGTGCGTGGTCACCGCTTTTAATTGCGATACGTTTGGTTTACCTAATGGCAAAATCGAATCGGAAATATTATGTTCATTCTTTACCTTTGCTGAAGACGTCTATTTTCCTTTTACACTTTATTCATTCTACAAAGTGGCAAATAACAGTACCTGGGGTCAGAATAAAGAAATGCAAGTTTGTTAGGTTAAAAAATTTTAAAGGTACAAACGGTCCCGGGTGCGTACGAACGCGCAACTCGCTGCACGCTCGCGTCGACGTTGTCAGGCTTCAGTTTGTCGATGCTATTGATATGGTGTCGTTCATAGGACAAGTGGAGGCGTGCGCGTCGTTGCGGCACCCGCACCTGCGCAGCACAAGCGTCGCCGCCAACAATTATTATAATTTGACTAATCATTCGTCGGCCTCCTACGCCCCGGAGGCGCAGGGGCTGTTCGATGGACGTGCGCCTGCCGGGGGCCGCAGCTTCGACTCGGTGACGGAGTGTCGGTGGCGCGCACGCGACGACCTCGAAAACTCGTATCTGCGCCCCTACGGGCCGGACGAGGGCCCGCGCCCCGACCGCGCCGTTTATAAGAGTGCCTATCTGTGGGAGGACTCCTCCGATAATAGACGTTTCACTGAGAGGAGAAAAAAGACGGTGCGTTTTGACGGTCACGAGGGCGCGGCGACTTTCCCGCGCGGTGGGCGCGACGCTTCCGGCGCGCCGCATGACTGGGCCTCCCTGCGCTGGGAAGCCGAGCGACAGACCAGCCAGGACTCCGCCACCAAAGACTCGGGCATCGATACCTCTAGCACTTTCACCTCCAGCGAAGATTCCAATAGAGGCGATTGCCCAAAGGTACTACTTACATTCACTCCCTCAAGGTACTTCAGCAACGTTCAACACACCAGAAACGAATTTATATTATATTGTTGATCAAAGTTTTTCTTTGTCACCGCCATACGAAAAAGCTTAAAGGCTTGTTTGATTCTTTGATATAAAATATAATATTTATACCTTATAACCGTTAGGGCGATTGCTTCAGTTGTATATTATAATATTTAATCCAATAAGGTCATGTCGTCGAGCTGTTTGTTTGGCATTTTTTGTTTGGCTGCGGCATGATTGTATCGGCGAGCATGTGTCGGTTCTTACTGAATGTGCTCATTGTCAACTTGCGTTCAATTATCTTGTACTAATTATGTTGTTTCTAGATGAGTATTGATGATGGTGAACATTCGTTTAATTTAACATACTGACATGAACAGTTCCCGCTGAACTGGCAAGTATCAATGGATGGGACGCGCATGATCGGACACATGGTACTGCGCAAGAGTGTGGTGGAGGGCAGTTCGCACTCCTCCGCCGCCATCCTGGGTCTCAAGGTGGTGGGAGGCAAGATCCTGCCCGACGGCACCCGCGGCGCCGTCGTCGAAAAGGTCAAGAAAGGCTCCATTGCTGATATAGAAGGACAGCTTAAGATAGGTTGATTTTTCTGTCTATTTAAATTTGTAAACACTATAAAAGCACCACAGTTTAAAAATGAATACGGCTTTAGGTGACGAGGTACTTCAGTGGAACGGCGTGCCGCTACAGGGGCGCAGCGCAGAAGAGGTGGCTGCCGTGGTGGCCAACAGCAAACATGACTCGCACGTCGAGTTGGTCGTGACGCGGCCTTTTTCCGCTGCACGTACGCCCTCGCAGCCCTGGAGGACGCATAAAGGTAAAAAATTATCCTGCTGACCCTACATATCCGCTACATTGTCCTTTATTTATTTTATCTTTATAATGTACAGAAGTATACACGGAAGTGATGGGTGGCTGTGAGAAGCCGAGCGTACTAGTGACGTCACCAGGCTCACCCGACCTCCACTCGCGCCGCCGCTCCGGAAGACACAACTACACCGCCAACGTCGCCGGACGCATACAGGTTATTACATTCTATGAAGTATGACTTCACGGAATTTAACTATGACTTTTTCCAGTAAAAAACCTGTCCGAGCCAATTATCAGAATAAAGCCACAGCCGTACGTCTTAAGTTAAAGATTAAATTTGAGACATTACAATCAGCATTTTTTCACCGTGTATGTGTTGTTGGTGCAGTTGAAAGTGTACTTCGACATCACGGCGCTCCAGCTGCTGGTGACGGTGGTGTCAGCAAGCGGACTGACGCCGCGGCCGGACGGCTCGCCGCGCTGTCCCTACGCCAAGATATTCCTGCTGCCCGACAAGAGCGAGAAGAGCAAACGTCGCACCAAGACCCTCGCAAACACGCTCGAACCGCGCTGGAATCAGACCTTCGTCTACTGCGGTATAAGGATAGCGGATATTAAAAAGAGGGCCTTAGAGGTGAGAGTTACTTGGACTACATCTTTCTAAATAAGTTGGTAAACCTTATGGAAATTTGTGAATTTGGCCTTTGTTGTTTGACTATTCTCAAGTTGAAACTCTAAAGTATGAGACAAGTCTTCTGTTTTTAAGGTTGCACACAACGTTTTGGTATAACATTCTGTTTCGTTTAAGGTGACCGTTTGGGATCTCAATCGATATGGTCCCAACGACTTCCTCGGGGAAGTCCTTTTGGACTTGGACAGTGTTCTTATGAATCACGAACCTAACTGGTATTTACTGAAGACTCACGAGGACATCGGATTCAGCGTAAGTAATCATTACATTCATTATTCAAAACTTTCAATTTAAGTAATTAATATTTCTCAGTCTGAGCTCTTTTCTCTTTGACCAATATTGGTGAACGCGATTCTGAGAATAATATATTATTCCACTTCGGACAATTTAATTATAAATAATAAATTCTCACATCCCTTTATCCCTCTGAGACGTTTTGGCGACATTATTCATATGAGGATGTTGACGCGTGCGTGTGTGCAGCGCTATCGCGATGAGGACGGCGAGGGCGAGCACCTGTCACCGCCGTCGACGTCAACGTCGCGGTTGTCAGACTCAGACACGCCCAGCGAGTGCGAACTGCGCCGCCATCACTCGCTCTCCAGCCTTGCCTCCAGCTCCAGCCCACCGCCTCCGCATGATGTAATGCCATCTCTATTAATCACACAATTGATCGACTCACCTATGTTGAAATGCATCTAATGTTTACAAATACTAAAGTGTTTACTTATGTTGTAGATCGAAGGCACGCGATGCAGTCGCCGCGACATGTCACCCGCGGGCAGGGTGCGCACCGCCGGCATGGCCAAAGATCGAGTGAGTTATATACTATGTATATACTATTGGAAAAGTTTTGACGACCCGATTAACAAATGCAAGCAGATTTGCAGAAGTTATTTATATTTTGCGCATTTATGTACAAAATATTTTTCTCGATCGCAATAATCGGTCAGCGTTGTTGAAGCTAATCTGCATACTGCAGCTGCTGCATATGATAAGTATGCGTTCCATTTCAGTGGTAAATCAGTGTAACCAGCTAACAAATATGGAGGAGTATGATGAATGTTGCAGGGCGGCGGGTACAGCGTGGCGCGGTCCCAGTCGGCGGCGGGCGCACGCAGCAAGTCACCGCGCCGCTCACTGTCGCCGCCTAGCGAACGCGAACGCGAGCGCGACATCGGCTGGCGCTACACAGGTGCCGCGGCCATCCGCCCCCCGCCCGGCCGCTCTCCGCCCTCCGCCCTCCGCCGCTGCCGGCAACCCCCGGCCCGGTGCCGCCGGAGACCTCCGCCGTCTCCATTGTCTGAATAGATGACACTTCGGAACGTTGTCATCCAGATTCGGCTGGTTACCGATCTGCCATGTATTCCGATAACTTTATAAGAAAATATAAAGTTTTTTTTTCTACCATTAATTAGACGTTGTTGGTTGTCGGTTACACGGCAGAATCGGTGTCGCCGAACAATATCGAGCGGGCCCGACCCCGCACGGAACACTCGCGTATCGCACGATCTCTCGCATCCGCCATCACCACTTTACTATCACTTACTGTATCGACTTCCTCTTGATTTTTATTTTCACGCATCTTCCGCCGACCTAGTCCTACACCCGATACGAGCACTCTCTTCACATCGTACGTAAGCGCTATATTCATGCTGTTGTTTCCTGAGAACGTATCGCGACACATAAGCGCATGCCACTTCTATTCTGGTTTCTCTTTCATAGGCAGCTGTTCATGTCCACGAGGTTGCATATCGATACGTGTTGTGTGGACGTGTTGTAATTAGTGAGCGCAGATAGTTTACCGGCGCGGTCGCAGCAGATGGCCTTGTGACGGTTGCAGTGTGCGAGGAGCGCGGTGAGCGGGCCGGGGAGAGGGGCGACGGCTCGCGTCTGCCCACGCACGCGTACGCACCGCGCTTTCAATCGCGTTCTGCCACCGCCACGCCCACCACCAGCCCCAAGAAAAGACAACTGCCGCAAATACCGCATCAGGTACGCGCACTTCTCATGGTGAGGATGCTACTGGAGAGGACATAACTACAAGCTTTGTGTATTACAGCCAAGCAACGGTCGGACGGCGCGGGCGCAGGTGTCGGCCGACCTGGAGGAACGTAAGTGGATCGCCCCGCATCACATTGGCGCCACACTCACCTACCGCAGCACGCCGCAAGGTCAATACACCGCTCTCCCCCCTACACCCACTCTACCCTCACATCAAATAAAATTAAACATAAAGAATAAACATTTTATACATAATGTTACCTCATTACATAATAAATTTACGAAAACGATGCGTAGCGTTGCTTCTTAGTACACTAGAGTAGTAAATAGTTTTAGTAAACAAAAACGTTTCACTTTAGAAAAGAAACATATAGAAACTCAGAGTTGAAATATGTCTGTGTACATTGGTTCGTCATTAAAATTTATTCGCACATGGGTATCAAATGTTTGTTAACTGTGATCGCGGTGCAGGGTGGGAGCGGCATTACGCGGGCCTGTCGGACTCTGAGCTGGCGGCGCGAGGAGGCGGCGGCGGCGGGGGCGCGGGCGGTGGCTGGGCACCGCGCCGCAGACTCTCGCCCGACGCCGCCGCCGGGGACTCGGACCTCGAGTCCGTTGCCTCGGTCACTTCTAGTGCCTTCAGCACACAGTCCGAGCGGCCACGACCCACTCGTATGCTCAGGTAATAAACTCGTTCCATTCATACTTCGCGTAGCTCTGAAAAACAAACGTATTGTCAATCGAACAATATATGATACTATCTATTCTGCATTTCATATGACTTATAAAAATATGCTTAACGTTGTTCACCTAATTTTACAGCCGAAAACGAGCCATTTCACATCACAGTAATTTGATTTCATACAATGCTCCCATTTCCAGCTTTCATTATGATAGTCAAGATCCTAATTGTTTATATTCAAGTTATGCCCTAGACACCACAGACGAGCTTTCGGCGAGTCGGCGTTTTCCCGCGCCACTTGAAACAGATCTGATCCCAACACATTATGCATTCCCCACGCTCCGACTTCGACGCATATTATGCCGCAGTCGCTCTGTGGGTCCCAACAAGGAATATTCCCATAGGTTTCCGTTCGAAAGAAGCTCGAGCTGTCCCGAACGTTCAAACCCGCCCCGTCCATATAAAACCTCCAAAAATACAAGAACCCACGATTATCTACCAACTGTCGCAATTCACCAAAAACCAATCATGTACGCAGATGAAAAATGCGACTTACCGAAAGCACGTGTACGCTTCGATCAGTCATTAAAATTAGAACCTTACGATAAAACTCATAATGATTATGGCAGTCGGGTTCCAGAAAATTACAGGACTTACGACTATCAGCATTTGGAGGTGCCTAAATATTTAAACCATAGAAAAAGTCTAGATTTAAATTTCATTAATAAAGTTCATGAACCAAGAGTTCATTTCTCAACTCTAAGTGATGATATGGACGCGTACAATCTAAATGCAAATCTTGCGTTCAGTGTCAACCTGGATGAAACTCAATACGATGAGCCAATATCACAATATTACGGCTACGAGAGTGACGGTAGCATAGCCGAAACCACCATCCATGTTAACGTAGAAAAGCAAAGTAAATTCAATATTGATCCTCGCAACATAAACGATACTCGAACGATTGACATAAAAACACCTGAATCTCCCTCCACTATTGACTTTCTTGATTTGTTACCTTATAATAATAGAAAGATGTTACTGTCGCTTAATCTCAGATCAAATTATGATAACTTTAGATACAATAATTTGTCTGATGAATTTCCTTTGCCTCAAAATAACAAAACACGAACTTCTGTAGCTCCAGGAACTCCATTGGAATATAGAAGAAATATAATTCCTAAGAAAAATCGTAACCTTCAGCGAAGACATACTATTTCTTATTCAAATAATTCTTTGACTTCGGAAGAAATTAGTGATGCATATGGCAAAATGTCTGCTCCCTCATTATATAATAAATACGACGCAAAAAAATATGAAACAAGAGAATATGATAGAGGTATACTGAAAAGAAAGTATAACATAAATAACATTACTAAAATTCCATTTGTAAAAGAATTTCCTTTACCAACATCTCCCAGTTCTCCCTTCTGTACATATCCTCCATCAATAAGGCCAACATCATCAATTATCAAAACTGCTCGTTCCCGTTCCTTAGATTCTGAAGAACATTTAGATAGAAATTTCAGTACGGTAGCTAATTCAAAGTGTATTGCTCTTTCCACCTCGAATGTCGGCTCGCCCCGCCGCGCGCACATTACCGCCACCGCGCATTTGCCGCTCGATGACATGAACCACGATCACGACGATACCAATGAAAAAAACAACCACCGCTCCTCTCTACGGAACAACCGCTGCGAAAAATACGATGAGACCGGGCAAACTGCAAACAATCAACATCAAAATGGAAAAAATAATACGAACAACAGTAACGATTATGGAGGTCGTGAAAATGGTCGACATCATACACAGCCGCAACCGCTGGAGAGGCGCGAGTCTCGCCGCGGTCAATTTACCAGAAGTTTGAGCAACACCGACGCTCCCGACGAGAAAGCAGGTACAATATTTAATAAATTCCTTATACTTTATTACCGAAAAGTCAAAAATCACTTTTCCGGTGCATCAAATTCTCAAATGAGAACTTTGCTTGTAATGACCTACAAGGTCATCAAAATATCAATGTTTTTATTTCCAAGATGGCAGCTTGAGCGACACAGCAATAGGAGGCAACAACGAGATGGAACCGACCAGCGATGACGCCTTGCTAAAAGCTGAACCCAGAGATTACTTCGGACCCGGCATGGGAAAGAAGAGTAACTCAACGTCGCAATTATCCGCTACAGGTACGTGTCGTCTTTATTACATTAAATTAATTAATTGCCAATACTAAATATTTATTATGTTCACAGAGAGGCTACGAAGCACAATTACCACTTTTATTTATTATACACCTTATTTTTTAATCGTACATATAAATCTCGCTCGACAGGACGAAAAAGAAGGTTAGGTTTTGGTAAACGGGGGAAAAATTCGTTTACTGTTCAACGAAGCGAGGAGGTGGTGCCCGGGGAGATGCGAGGCGGGGCGGGGGTGTCGCGAGCCTCCTCCGCCTCCAGCGAGAACGATGACGGCAGGTTCGCTGCGCACGCGCCGCCTCCTTATTAGCGCAGCGACAAGCGACATTGACACAATAGTGTAGTACCGGGCGGCGGTAGATCTCATCTCTGCTCTCACACAATGTACCTCGCCCGCTATGAGATTACTGATTTGACTGACAATTAGCCTCGCAAAGACATTGGAAACACCAATGTTTATCAACCGTTCTATACAGCATGCCAGAATGTCCACGTCAAACTTAGAACTCAATGTGCGATGTTGCTTTTGTAAAGTCGGCTAGTGTAGAGCTTGAATTTGCCAATTTATTTGATGAGAGCACAGTTTGGTTTGAACTTCAATTTTAAAGTTAAATAATATTTAGTAGCTCATGTATTTAGAATCATTATTACGAATATCTGGAGCAAATGCTTTAGAAATGATCGCCAATTACATTTACAAATATCTGATCATAAAAGATAATGATTTATGTACATACACCGGTAGGGATGGACGCAAGCGGGATTTAGGTTTGGCATACAAATTGGCAATTGTAATATTATAAATATGTATATATTATCTTGGTGTGTAGGTGTGTCAGCGAGCTAGATGTTCTTGGCTAACACCTAAGCTTATATTGAAAAATATTTATATATAGACCCGTAAGTATAAACGCTAATAATGACAATAAGCACAGTACTATCTTTGTCATCTTTCTTTCCTCGTAATGTAAGAAAAACGAAACAAATACCTATAGGTGTTAAACTATAACAGCAACAAAAGGCAGTATAAATGAATGTGATTAGCGCGGTGTGGTGTAGAGGGCGGCAGCGGCGCGCGCCGCAAGCGCTCCGGGCCGGCCGCCGCCACCTTCCAGCGCTCGCACGAGGTCTGCTCCGCCAGCCTCGGCTCCATATCTAGCTCGGAAGCTTCCTCGTAAGTCGCCGCCCGCCGCCCCGCGCCCGCGCCCGCGCCCTCAGCCCGCAGATACTACAACTCTCTGTTGTCTATGTGCATCGATGTTGTCCGCGTCTTCTTTACTCTCCACCTCTGTGTGCCTCTCGTCTTGTAAACGCATGGCGCTGTTTCGTATTGATGTTTTTTTTTACTTCACTCTCTTATCTATTAGCACGCACGAGTCTTCTCGGGCGCTACGCTACGCAATGCACCCCTTGAATATGTGTCAGTTTGCAGGAATTGAATTAAAACGCAAAACGAAATGCTGTCCCTAAAGCTTTAAAATCCAATGAGTTTATTGAGAACAGATATTTGTACCGTTAGAAGAGTCATGATGCACGAATGTTAAATGTAGCTTGAAAATTTTTTTGTAGCGAGTCATTTTCGTGGTATCTTTAACACTTCGACTATTTTCATTACTATGCATGTTACCACTGCAACGTACACGCCAGCAGTCATTTACTGTTATCAGTTTGAAATATAGACCAAGAATTTTTGCTACTATTTCTCAGGCATAACAATTTTCTTATCATAAAATTGCAATGTTTATCACTACATTGATTGATTGTCGCGGGTTTAAACAAATATATTTGTATGACAATTATATAATAAATATTTTATTTCTTGTAATAACATTAGTGTTACTCCTAATATAGCTTGTAACATTATACGTAAGCTTTACGTATATCATGCATTAAGCCAGCTGTAAATATTTGATACGTATGTAAATAGTATATTCATACCACTCACTAAAGACCCTCTATTTTATATCCGACTGATTCTATTTTCTACTTTCAATATCGAACTCTGTACCCTTTGCATTTCTTTTTAATATCACCCAAAGACTACCGCCCTCTTCTCACTATTGTATCAATGTTGTTACTGTTTGTAAGTTTTGTAATTTTATATATCACATAATGAGAGTACTAGCACTAGTAAATCTATATTTCTTTGGTCATTTCGTTTGTTATTTCGTGTCTATGTCTCATTTGATTTTATTTCCATGAGAAAATAATGCTATGCATTAAAATTATAATGGTCTTTTCTAAAGAATTTAAATGGTGGAACTTAATGTCACGGAATTGTATAATTTTAATGCGTCGCATGAAATTATTTACGAAATTTCCTTTAGTCCTTTGAAAATTAAAAGAAAAACGGTAATATTTTTCACTTTACATGATATGAGAGATCATAAGTCTGACAGCAATAAAATATCAAATGATTAGATGCAAATTATCATTATCAAAAAGACAACCGAATCCATTGCATGAATATTTAATCGATTACGAAAAGGCGTATAATGTATTTAACACGTTCAATGCCACCGAGTATCCCTAAATAGTGGTATTGGACTTGTTAATTATCAGGGAAGTAGACATAAAATTCCGTACGTTGGGATATCAGATGGTCCCCTGGGATGCGAGGGTCTGGGTCATCGGACGGAGGTGGGCTGTCGGACTTTATCGACGGCCTTGGCCCAGGCCAGCTGGTGGGTCGGCAGTTACTCGGCGCGCCAACGCTAGGAGACGTCCAGCTCTCCATGTGCTACCAGAAAGGATTCTTAGAGGTACCCGAAGCGGATTTACGATGACAGCTAAAAATTGATGTTTTACAAATTGAAGATACATGTCGCTGATGCTGCATCTATTTTTGATAGTAGCCTGCGACAAACAAAATTTTGTGAATATCTGGTTTAGGTTGAGGTGATCCGCGCACGAGGGTTGCAGGCGCGGCAAGGCAGCCGCACGCTACCGGCGCCCTATGTCAAGGTGTACCTGGTGAGCGGCAAGAAATGCATCGCCAAAGCAAAGACCAGCACCGCGAGACGCACGCTCGACCCACTCTACCAACAGACTCTCACCTTCAGGGAAAACTTTAAAGGATGCATTCTACAGGTCAGTAAAATTCTTTAATTTTTCAAATAGTTTGCTGTTTTAGCTATAGAAACATTACTGTTGAAGATTTACGATGTTTTGGTACATACCAAATGCTTGGATATCCGATCCAAATGTAATTTTAGTATTACGTTATTAGGAATAAATTGTAAATCATGGAAACTCTATTTAAATAACTTGGCGGGCCAAAGTCATGTTTGAGCTGCGCAATGCCTTTACCCCGCTACACCTAAAATTGTGTTCTGGGCAACGATACGAACGATATAATATGAATATACAGACTAATCAATGATGAACATCCCACTATTTTCGGGTAATTTTATAACACCTTTCATGACGTTATAGGTCACAGTGTGGGGCGACTACGGTCGCATCGAAGGCAAGAAAGTGTTCATGGGCGTCGCGCAGATAATGCTAGACGACCTCAACCTTTCCAACATCGTCATTGGATGGTACAAACTTTTCGGAACTACTTCTTTGGTAATAACACTTTTTATACGTAACACATTCAATGCCTACGATTTTTTTCATAATCATCATCAGCTCACTATACACTGAGGGGCTCGGAGCCTACCCTATTTTAGGGGTGACTAGGCCATAATCAACCACGCTGGCCAAGTGCGGGTTGATTGAGTTCACACATATCTTTGAATTTCTTCTCAGATATGTGCAGGTTGCATCACGATGTTTTCCTTCACCGTAAGAACATCGCATAAATGTACATATGAAAATCGAAAATCACATTGCTACATGACGGGATTGAAACCCAGGACCTACAGAAGTCCTGAGCCACCGACGTTCCCATTTTCATAAGAATGTGATCTAATAACGCGAGTCAGTAGCACTGAGTGTTGATATACGTAATAAAATTATAGTGAAAATACTAATTACGTAATTTTTTGTTTCAGTAACTATCAGTTGGACGAAGACTCGTTCAAACGTCATGTATATCAAATACAATAAAAATTAAACTTGTCCATATTTTAAATCTAGTGGTACTGCTTTAATATCATAATAAAATGCAAAATATGTTAAATATAGGACATTTTCTATAAAACGAAAGTTATAAACATATTTATATTTTTATTTCCGTTTTATTTTTGGGACGCCTATCGATTATTTGAGTAGCATTTTATAGAAAAAAAATATGACAAAGTGTATAGTGTAATCGATAATTATGTATAATTAAGTATTAAAAAGCCAAATTCATTTTGTGTTTTCTTTTTTTAAATAGCCGACACTAAAAACACGGAAAAAATATTTTATATTATTAATCTTTGTCAAGAAAAAGTATCGCTTACTAATCCAGTCAAACCAAGATAAAGGAGAAACCTCCATAAGCAGAAGTTATTGCCCTGTCCCAACAAAACCTCAATAGGCGAGAAAACTCTAAGACGAAGCAGAAACCTCTATAAGCGAAAAAATATCGTGGTCCCTTAGACTCGCTCATTCAGATTCGACTTCACGTTATTTCGTATGGTGATCAAATTTTATAAAATTACCAGCATATTACAAACACACACAAATAAAACTGCATAAAATTGTAAAAACAATTTTTTATTACATTTACGTCATTTTACATAATAGTAGATAAAATATTGCATATATTTAAACTAACCACTTGTATACACACCATCAGTCCGTCAGCGCTGACACTGTTCTTATGTACTTGTAAATCTGATAGTCAACACTTCAAGAACAAATAACACACCAAAGTAGAACCTAAACTGAACGATAACACGAGTTAAACCCTCACTCATAGATATATAACCTACTAGTTGTCGCCCCGAGACTCCGTCCGCGTGGAATTAAAAAAAATCTTAATTAGTAGCCTATGTGTTCTTCCAAACTATATTTCATCAAGATCCATTGAACTGTTCCGGAGATATCTTATAACAAACATTCAACCATCTAAACATTCGCAATTATATTACTAAGATAGTCAGATAGTTTTTTTCACAAGTTTGACATCTAATCAAGAGTCAATTTTCAAAAGTAAATGACAATACTGAGGAAATTTCCCCCAACAAGTCACCGGAGGCATTTTTTGCCTCACTTCTGCTCCAGATAAATCTGTAGGTTACATATCTATGGTTCGAGTTTCCACTGCCGACTGTAACAACGATGCCATAACTTGCAGACATTCTTATATAATTATCTTAAACAACGATAGAAAGATCATTACAAATAAAAATGTATAATTTTAAATTTATCATATTGTTTGGAATCAGCTGATCATAACTCATTTAGTCCTACTTTAGTATGATTCCAGTATCGTAAGTTTTAAAAACATTGTCGTCTCTGCTGTTCCAAAAAAGAACGAGAGGGATAATGATATATTTTTATACAAGTCTCAACGACGGCGTTTTGTTTGTAACAATGTACTAAATACTTTGCTAAGGCATCCCTCTCGATCAAGGTCCATACTTTAATTATGCTAAATTTAAGTGAGGATCGTCACTTTACAAACTAGCGGATTAGTGCAGCAGTTGTTTTGGCTGCTTGGAGGGCGAAGCTCCCGGCAGCCGGCCCTCGCCCGCGCGCTTTACGCCCGTCGACTTTGTGTCTGAAACAAATATTAATATCATCCTCAGCTCACTATACGTCCCCACTGAGGGGCTCGGAGCCTACCCTATTTTAGGGGTGACTAGACCATAATCAACCACGCTGGCCAAGTGCGGGTTGATTGACTTCGCACAGATCTTTAAATTTCTTCGCAGATATATGCAGGTTGCATCACGATGTTTTCCTTCACCGTAAGAACATCGGATAAATGTACATATGCAAATCGAAAAACACATCGGTACATGGCGGGATTCGAACCCGCGACCTGCAGATTACAAGTAACTCGTATGGCGAGTCTGATACTGATAGTGTTAACACAAAACCGAATAAAGTCGATAGTTAAAAGAAAGTATAGTCGTTTTCAGATATATTTCAAGTAGCGGATAAATATTAAAAAAAAATCTAAATTCAGGCAAACTTGAATTAAATGATATATAGCTTGACCAAGAATATATAAACTTTCACCATATTGCAGAACTAATGCAGTGGTCCCCAGGCCAGAATATTTATATTCTTGATTAGTCTATATAGTAAAGTATTGTAGATCAACTTGAAAGAAGAAAACATTGAAGGCTGAGATGAAAGTAATTATTATGGATTACCTTGTAGCCACCTGACTTGTGTGGCGGGACCGTATCCCTTCTCGTTGCGCGCCGCGATGCGGAAAATGATAGCTGGCTTTGTTGAGGAGTCTACGTGAGCCGAGCTCAGCGAAGCTACAGGCACCACGCAGGTGTTCGCTTTCCCGCAGTACACGCGCACAAACGCCAGCTGCGACTTTGCCGCCTCCTGCATACATACATTCATTAACTTATTTCCAGCGATTCAGGCAGTCTATTTTTTCCAAGCTTTATTCCAAAATTTTCGGCAAAATAACTGATAGAGAAATATTATAGCCACCATGAATTAGATGTACAATTTGACGTTCCTCTATCTACATAATTTAAACCTCCAATTGAAACAAGACATACAAACAAGTCTAGTATTATTAATAGTTAATTTAAATGACCTTGGGCTGGGTGTTGGAGCGCACGGCGAGGTACACGGAGTACTCGAAGATGCCTTCAGCAGCGACCTGCGGCGGCTCCCAGGAGAGGTGCGCGCCCTCCGGTGACTTGGAGATCTTGATGGCGGACGGCGCGCCCGGGAAACCAGGCAGGCACGTCTTGAATGCTGACTCCTGTAACAAATATAATTAATATGTTGGATTGAAATGGAATAATAAATATTCTAAAAGCACTTCAATGGAAATACCATAATTATTTTTTATTTATTATATTAAAAATGATTTATATTAGAATTAGTTTGTCCTGGGTAATCTCCGGAACAGATGGACCGATTTTGACGGGACTTGGACTGAAAGATAGCTAATGCACGCGGGCATGTTATATGTTCTTTTTTAATTTGTGCTCAGTTACTAATAATGATTATTATCGAGTGACCTCGCTGTACTCTCCGCGGCCGCAGGAGTTGATGGCGGCGATGCGGAACTTGTAGGCGGTGCCGTGCTCCAGCGGTGTGGTGGGCAGCCCGCCCAGCTCCGGCAGGTTGTCCAGCGACAGGTTCGACAAATCCACGTTAGGATCCGATATATAATTTTGCACCTACAAACATACATTAGTCATCCTTCAAAATGATAAGACCGAGAAGAATCAGACAGTTTTTATGTAATGCTTACCGTAAATGTAGTGCCTTTGACAATGCCAACAGTATACCAGGCATCTTCGTCGTTCTTCTGTTTAGGTTCCTCTGGCTCAGCCTGGACAAATAATAAGACTGTTTTAGTATTTCTCCTCAGATTTAAAATATTAGAACATAACACAGTTATATCAAATAACCAAAAAATCTCGCCAGATTAGTAAAATAGTTGCCGAATCAGAAAAAAGGTAGATCAATGTGGCTATCTTTAATTTTTTTTTACACTAGCGCACAACACCAGTCTGTCCATGACCTTGGCGCATGCAACTGTGCTAAAATATAAACAGCTAAATTGTGATAATAATCTGGTTTCTTACGAACAGTATATTTTACTTTAATTTTATAGAAAAATGTTGGTTTCTGCTAGTAATCTCTTTAGTTAGCTACCACATATGTGTTTACTGGTTACCTGATCGTGCTGGTGGTGTAACGCAGCGGAGGCGAGGGTGGCGAGGGCGTGTGCGGCATCAGTGGGCGGCAGCGGAGGCGCAGCGCCCGCCACAGAGCTGCTCACCGCACCCTCGCCCTCCCCGCCCGCACCACCCTCCCCGCTCACCGCAGCCTCCGCATCTTCCGCCCCCTCTGCACTCTCCGCGCCCTCCGCAGACGACGACACGCCCGCACTGCTCTCCTCGCCTACACAACATTACATCTTACTTCTTTATAAAGTTTATATATTCCTTAATAATACAAGTATGACGTAAAATAGCATTATCCAATAGATATTATCTGCAATGTTATAAGAAAAAGTATGATCACGCCTTAAATACTAATTAAGAGCTATAAAATATATAAAGAAACATAATAAAATAATTGTATCAGACTAATTTTCATGTTCCAAATATCTAGAAAAACAAGCTATCATTTTGAAATATTTCTTAATTTTCTAAATCTTTACTTAAAATATTTCACAAAGATCTTATATTTCACAAAAATCTTCTCTGAAAAAAAAAACAATAAAAAAGTATTGTATCAAGTTACCTTGTAATATATTGTGTGAGAGCAGGGCAGCACCATTAGCGGTCATAGTGAGCATGGGCATGGACTCGCTGACCGAGGGCATTGTGTCCGCAGCACCCTCCATCTCTGACGTGTCCGCATCGCTGAAACTTCACATCACTTTCAATAACTAAAGGAACATACATATTCAAATGTCTTTGTGAAAGTTAATAGCCAGAAGTTAAAAAAATTTACTATTTCCTAACATATTGTAAATAATCATACTCATTAGGGGGCTGGGTTTGCGGCAGTATAGAGAATGAGTGCAGTGTGGCGGGTCCATTTGCAGTTGATGTGATCAGAGCCGCTTCAATTTGCCCACTGCTGGTTATATCTGCACCCCCTTCTGCTGTACTTGAACTGTAACAAAGGATGCAGAGTTTCCTTCAGCAAAAATAATAGTTAACAATTGATGATTACCTTTAGATCTTAAACAAAGCTTGATAAGTTATTTAGTAGCTCAAATATAGATATTTATGAATGAATTGTATGAACTGTACATGTTAGGAAAAAATTTTAAACTGTTGAAATATATATTCCAATGTTTGCTGAAACTAGACTGTCAGAGTTTAGCAATTTTCTAATTATTTTGCACTATTTACAAAAAACATCTTTATTAAGGTAATCTGATAAATACAATACATGTAATCCAGTTAATAATTCTAGGTCTACCTGATGCCTGTGCTAAGCACTTCCTGCGCAGCACTGCTAATGTCATTAACATCATCACTACTGGCCACCCCTTCACCTCCGCCCATATCTTCATCCATTGTACTGGACTCTTCTGCAAGAAAATAAAACTACTTATTGTCAAAGCCTTGTATTGAACTAGTAACTAACAAGAGCATTAACTAACAAAATATCAACTAATGAGCATTGGTAGCTCAGGGGTTAAGCACTTGACTTACATTCCGCAAGTCTTGGCATGTACAAATGTGCTTTTACATTTGTACATTTGCACAATTGTACATTTATCCAACATTCTTATGGTGAAGGAAAACATTGTGATGCAACCTGCACATATCAGCAAAGAAAATGTGCACATGGGTACATATATCATAGTGGGCTGTTGATAATAGCAAAGAACCATAGGTCTTTCAAAACATTTGTATAAAAAGCAATAAGTTATCTATATTTTTAAACTCTCTTTTATTATTGTAAATAATAGTTATGGATAAGGGAAAAAATATTATGACAATATTTTATTATTTAAACAAAATGCAAGAACTGTTTATCATACCATCCTGCATTATAGGTGCTCCATCCCCTTCTATAGGCATTGCAGAACTTATTGATTGGTCTGGTGACTCCTCTTGTGCAGCATCAGCCCCCTCAGTCTCATCTAAACCGGCCTCTTTCAATATTGGATCCAATGGATTTTCATCTTGTGGGGAATTATCTTCAGTTGCTACCTGTTGACAATTTAATGGTTGATGAGTAAATAGCAGAGAATATCATCATTTAAAATATTAATATACATTATTTTCATTACTAAATCCTAAGATTTCATTACAATATATGACATAATATTATTATACTAACTGGTGTAGACAAACAATTGTCACCAATGTAGGCAGACTCATCTCCCATATGCCCTGGGGTTGTATCATCTATATCCATTTCATCTTCGGCTTCAGCTTGACCTGCTGCAAACAAACGAGAAAATGCTGATTAGGAACATTATTCTGTATGCTTTCACATATGTTTTATAATGTTAATATCTTGTTATCCTTTGATAAATTATAGGTAAAGCAAGCATATGCACGTGTTATTCTTTACCTTGCTCAGACAAATGCTCTTCTCCATCAGCTTGTTGTAATCCAGGCTCGACATCCAAAACATCACTACTGCTTGTTGGGGCTCCATTTGCTGCTATGTTGTTAATCAGAAATATTTTGTATTGGTAAATAAGAATTAAAGTAAAAACCAACAGAACGCCGCTATAAATGCAAAATAAATGTTTGTCTGAGAACTAATAAAAAGTAAATTTTCTAATGAAATCCAATATGAAATCTCACTTCACACCTGTTTCTTCCACAGAAACTGCTTCCGAATCATTAGCCGGTATGTTATTATCAGAAGTTTCCGCTATTTCAGGTAAGTTTTCTTCCAACGGGGACATTTCCGCGCCATCGGGTATTTCAGCGTGAAGAGCGGAATCAGATTCCATTTTGGATATATTTCAGTAGGCGTCGAGTATAAAGCACAAAAAATGATTGAATTTTACTTATGAAACTAAGCAATAAAGTATAACATTATCCTTAAAAACCGAAAATTCAACAATTATTTGACAAATTATTAAAACACGCCATAAACAACACTGTCAAGCCATTTTGGCGTCATTACTTGACTACAGATTAAAATGCCACAGATTATTATAAATTATATTTTGGCTTTGGTGTTCGTAAAGTACGTAATTCTGAAATATAAAAACCCATTGATACAATTAAAAACCCTATTGATTTTTTTGAACTACTTTATTTGTTTAAATCGAAATGGGAGTTAAGCCTGCTGCAAATAAAAACTTTAATCTTAATAATATAGAAAACATGTTTTTAAACATGACCAACACAACTAGACATTTTCCTATTTTGACAAAAGTTATAAAGTCAATGTCAGATGTCAGTGACAGAAAGATCATCTGTGAAAATGGGATTAATAAATAATATGACAAAAATAAAGTAGAAATTATTTGAATTCTTTGTTATTTATATCTAAATATTTGTCTTACACATATTTACAATATTCAATAATTGTTCTAAATACTGTCGTATGAAATTAGTAAAATGAGTGATAAAAGTAATGAGAAACCTGGTGAAGGTTTAAGATCTTTAAGGTCTACAACAGCCTTTCGTGTTATCAATTTTGAGTTGTATGCAAAGCCTGTAAGTTTATTACATATTCCAAAACATGACAAATAAATAAATCTATTCAGATATTAATTTAATGATGTTTGTTTCAGAATATTGTTATAATGGGCTTGGGTATCACATGTTTCGGTCTAGCTCTTGGTTATATTGCCTATATGAGACAAAAGTACGAATCCATGGGCTACTACTCAGCGGTCGACAAAGATGGCAAAGAAGTATTTGAAAAGAAGAAATCTAAATGGGATTAGTCCTAATGTACAAATTGTTATAGTTATATTTAGTGTAAAGAATTTAGAAATTAAACCCATAATTAATATCACATAATTTTATCTAGTATAGAGAATACTTTAATAATTTACAAAACATTTATTTGCACTTGACTCTTGCCTTAAGCAAGTATAAACAAACCCATCTTTAATTTTTTGTACAATTTTTAAACAGAAAGTACAAACACAAAAACAAATACAAAGATCTTTTGATGTCAGATGTTTATTAATTTAAGCCAAAGAAAACTATGGACAGTTTTATCAAAACTGAAAAACTTATGGATTGATCCTTTGTTTTCCAACGGCTATTCCCAGATACGGTATTATATGCTCTTTGAATACCATCGCAGAGTTAAAATACAGGTCTTTAGGACTTTATTTCCTAACAAGCTGCCCGTGACCACGTCCACGAGGAATTAAAAAACCAAACTAGTAGCCTATGTATTCTTCCAGAATATGATCTACATCTAAGCCAAATTTCATTGATAAAGCCGTTCAAGGGATATCTTGTATTATTAGGTAAGACAGTGACAAACAATAGCCAGTATCTATTATTGGAAAAAAAATTGCTTTGACCTCAAATATGATATTCAATTTCATAGTTGTTCTGTATATGTTATCTGCGGTCTGTTGTCCATTTGACAATATGAGTTTGACATGTGTCAAATGTTTGAATTTAATCACGTCACTTCCACAAATTAAACTTAATTTGTTATTGTATGTATAATGTATCTTAGAGTGTTATTTACATACTCGTTTGATAAGTCAGCGTACTTTAAAGTTATATAAAATTAGAATACTTTAAGAAGGAAACAGTTTTTTATTAAAATACCTATCATGTTTTCTGCCTTAAAGAAACTAACGAGAAGTAACGATGATCGCTGTGCAGCTCCTATGCCGATGTCTTCTTCTTTACAAAAGAAATTCTCCAGAGGAGTCCATTTTAATAGTAAATCCTTGATATTAGCATTTTTCTTTATATGTGTACACATTTAGAAATAAACTTCTAAGATAATATTCCTTAAATTTTTAGTGAAAATTTTAATAAAAGGGGACCGAAACGTCGGAAAATCATGTCTTCTGCAAAGATTACAAGGAGGACCATTTACTGAGGAATATGTTCCCACTGAACAAATTCAAGTGGCACCAATTCATTGGACATATAAAAATACAGATTACATTGTGAAAGTAAGTTTATAAAAGGCAATGAACCTTTAAAAAATATGTATGGCTTTTATTGCGGATATTTTATTACATAATATAAGAAATATAAGATTATTGTATCTTCTATATATTCTTGCTTTAAAAATATTGTTTTTGAACATGATACAAATTAGAAATTTAATGGTAATTTTTAAAAGAATCAACATTTTCCATGCCACTAATTTTTTTTGGTATAAAAATATTTTAAATATTCTTGTAGGTAGAAGTGTGGGAAGTAGTTGATAAGGGTCGAGCTAAAAAGAAACCACCATTAGGATTAAAGCTGGAGAACCAAGCAGCACCAACAACACAAGATGAAGAATATGAGACTCCTGTACTTGATGCCACATTCCTGGATGTTTATAAGAATGCCAGTGGTGTTATATTGATGTTGGATATAACTAAACCATGGTATGAATAAAAAAAGATATTAGCTTTTTGACTGAAGCTTTTAAACATTTTAAAAACTTTCTGAATAGTCTATGCACTATTCCCGATAGTAATCAATCTTTGTGCTAAATTTCATCCACATCCATGTAGCTATTTTGATGTTACCTGCAAAAAAAACTATCCATTCATCTAAACTTTTGATTTATATGTATTAGTAAGAAGCAAGATAGGGACAATATACAACAGTAACACAATGTAACTTATAAATAATACAATACTGGTTTAAAACAGTATTATTACAACTGATAATTATTAGATCCTTTGATGGTGCATATGGTTTTTACTGTGCATGCCTTTTTATAAAAAAATAACAAACTAATTATGGATTTACAAGAAATACAATAACAAAAGTTGTTAATAACTAGGAGATATTTCAGGACATTTGAATATGTAGTTAAGGAGTTGTCAAGGGTGCCTGCAGACCTGCCCGTTGTGGTGTTGGGCAACCACTGTGACATGCAGCATCACCGACAAGTACATCCTCACCATATAGATCAAGCTTTACATCATGCTAAACTAACAAGGTGTGTAAACAAGTTTTATGTTAAAGTGGTAAATGTGTAAGCGGCTGCCTGAATTCACCAAAAAAGCAAAGCAACCGCTGACCATAGATATCTGCTATTGCAGATGCTTTGTCTATGGTATTTTTGTTAGATAATCATTGTGTATAGATTATGTACACTTTTGTAAATTTTAAATAATTTATTTTGCAGAACAGCACCAGTGCGATATGCAGAGTCATCTATGAGGAATGGTTTTGGATTAAGATTGTTGCACAAGTTTTTAAGTGTACCATTCTTAAGGTTACAGAAAACTAGCTTATTAGAACAGTTGCAGAGAAATCAAAGGGACATGGAGGATGTTGAAAAGGAACTTGATGAATTCCAAGTATGTAAATTATTATTTTCATATTTTTAAATTTATGTTAGTCTAAAATTATTTTTCTTTGTAGAATTCGGACGAGGCGCACTATAACACATTTTTAGATCGCCTTGCGAATAAACGTCGGCAAAGCAGTGAAAAGGTTGAGCCGCGTGTGATAAATGACAGATCGCCGAGCATTGTTTTAGGAGCAGGAAAACCAATAGTACCTCCTAATGTCAATCCACTTGTAAGTATATTTGTAATAAATTAAAAAAAATCCTTTAATAACCTTATAACATGTGTATCTAATCTGATTATTAATGTATCTGTCAGTTAGCGCAATCGCTGAATCCAAAAGGAATAAAAGCGTGCCATAGTGTACCAGATAACACCCAGACTAATCAGTCGCAGTATGTAAGCCCAGATTTGTTGAAACATAAGCAACCTGTTAGTATGGAAATGACACCCTCAAGGCAATCACAACAAGACAGGTTAGTATTTATCATAATGGTTAGGCCATAAACATGCTCGATTGTATATAGAGATAGATTAATGGATTGTGTTTTTTTTTGTGTATCATGATTTTCTCCTATATCTTTAGTGGTCCGGGAACACCGTCTGCTACCAATGCATCTGCATCTTCAGGAGCATTAGATGAGTTCTATGCAGGCACATTAGATAGCAGTTTCCTGGAGGACTTGACTCCATTGTCGAATTCTAATCAAGAGGTTACATATGACAGTGACAGGTATGTTTGATATTTATTTACTTTTTTTAAGACTACCGACATCTCATTCTTCATGCCACTTTATGTAGGGGCTGGTGCCTTAGGCTTACGTCTTTCTAAATCAATCTATAATTTGTCACTCTCGTCTTAATTATGTCAAATTTTATTAATCTACTTTATTGTAGAAAAGTTAATTTCTTTTAGCACCCTGTGTACTATGTACTATGGAACTTTTCAGCCAGATATGTCTAGTTGGTATAAGTTAATAATAATTAATTTCATGAGTGCAGAATTTAAAAAAAAGTAACCTATAAAATGCATTTTTAAATAAATTTTTAATAACAGTGATGATGGGGCAGCAATAAATCCAAAAGTGACAATTGAGGAAGATGATTTAGACATAGACAATATTCCATCAACAAATAAAGTTGCAGAATCCAGATTGAGCATAGATTATACTTCGAGAAAGGAAGAGGTTGATAGTCTGGATAAAATGTTTATGAAACAAACAGCAATAAATACAGATGACATAGAAGAAAACACAATGACATTGAGTACTGGAGATCCTGAATTGCATTTATCATTGAACAACGATTTTCCTATTTGGGCCGGTGACTCTAGTGTTAGAAGATCACCGGAAGGTAAAGATTATTTAATATCAGCTATCGCCCACGACTCCATCCTCACGGAATTAAAAAAAACTTAATTAGTAACCTAAGTGTTCTCTCAGATTGTGTTCTACATCAATGCCAAATTTCAGTAAGATCCATGCATCCATTCTGAAGATACCTACAAACATCCATCCATACTTCCATCTAAACATTCGCATTTATAATATTAGCAAGATTTAATCCCTTTTCTTATCAATTCAGACGCGTTGATTAGAAATGTAGAATTAAAGTATTGAGAAAGTACTACATTTGATAACTATTTGTAGTATTTAAATAATAAAATAATATATTTCAGGTGGAGAAGATCCTGATGTTTCAAAAGAGGCAGATTCTAAGGTGATATATATTTTTTAAATTTCATCTATTATTTTATGGCATTACTGAAAAGAGTATTTATAGATCAATTTTTATCAAATATAGGAGATAATATTATATTGCCTGTTATAATTGCAGGTAGAAAAGAAACACAAAAAGAAGAAATCGAAAGACAAAGACAAAACTGATAGTAGTGAAAAATCGGAACGTAAAGAGAAAAAACATAAACATAAGAAAAGCAAGAGTGAGAAACGTAATTCAAATCCACAACAAGATTTATTAGCTCCTACAGTAACAGCTGACTTTGATTATGAAGATTACGATAGCATTTAATACTAGTAATCCACACCGGCGTCGCTCGAGTGGGTAAACAAAATGTAGCCTTGCTTCCTAGACCTGATGAGTACCATATGAGTTTATTCGAAATGTTTTCTCTTTAAATTAGTATAGACAAGCTAGATTTAGTAAAAATACTAATTTTATAGCTTTGTAATTTTGTACGCGATTCGCCATATTTAATTAATTAAGTACATGTTAATGATTTTTCTTAATATGCTACTTAACATTTATTACTTAATGCTTTTATAAATTAAGAATGAATGAAAAAATATGAGATTGTAGCTGATATTAAAAAGATCTGATGAAATGTTTCCAAATGGATTTAAAAAGTATTTTATGAAGCCAGTATTTTTATTAAGAAACCATACATCTCTATAAAATAAATCTTATGCAAGAACTTCTACAACATCGAAAATGTAGTGTTTTAAATAAGTTAAATTGTATAAAATCATATCCTCTTGCCATATTCTATTCGTGCAGTTGTTAATTGAGCGTAGCATATTTATTTAAAATAACATAATTCACGCACGTAATCAGAGGGGTAGACAGAGTACATGGACCTTCATTTGGTTCGGTTCTACCACCTCCTCTCGCTTCTTCATCTTCCTTATGAATCTGATATTTATTTTTTGCTTAACCAGACATTTTTGGGTGTAAAGTTAAAATCAAATATTTGAATATATAAAAATAGGTTAATTGAACTATCAACGATAAAAAGGTTTTGAAAGTGTTCGCTAACTTCATATCGTATGTATTGAGTATTTCAAAATATATTTTGTATTTTTGTACGAATATTATATGAGAAATAACATAATACACTGTAGAATCGATTGTTTAATATGATGATAAAATAACGAATGATCTCTCAAAATTAGAATTTTGTATGTCATTAATATTCGGAATATACTTGAAAATTATAAATGGCTTTATTCCATTAGGTTTAAAATTGCTAAGGAATGTTTTTTTTTGTATTTACTTTATTTAGCGAGAACAAAATTTAAAAGGCACATCTACGCTGATGTTTAGAACACAGCAAATCAGCATTAATAAATAATAGTTTGATATCGAATGAAATATTTATGATTCTGAAATATGTAAACAGTATTCCGAGAATTTGAATTAAAGCTGAATAAATTTGCCTTGTGTATTCATACGATTGTCGTCAGGGCTTCCAAGAAATAACTGTAAACATTATTCTCAACTGCTCACCATATGCATCGGAATAACGTAATTGTAATGTGTTTTGTGAATGTCTTATACATAACAGATATATAACCTATAGATACTTAATCCGAAGGACTAAAGTGGGGGAGAAAAAAGGCCTCAGGAACTTTTTGTTAGGGTCAATTCAGTGTTGTCATTTACAAAATTACATTTCAGAAATCGATTCTCAATTAATTATTCGACTTTTATAAAATATTCCATCTGTAGTCTATAGGTTGTATATCTATAGTTTTATCGCTCAGAATACTTTGTTGAAGTGATTTAAAATTTTATAATGTTGAATGTGTTTATATTTTGTAAATTTTTAATGCAGCGTTATATATCAGCCTTGTGTGTTGGCTATACAATGTATGTTTAAATGTCATATGTGATTTTAAAAATAAATTGGCTTGTTATCATTACGTCTTAAATCTTTTTTCTGCTTTTGCGGATTCAATCCTTTAAGAACTATTTTTTTTATTTTACTACATTGAATTCCACTGCGATTTTTTAAACGTGAACTCAGCAAGTCAGCGGCAGGGGGCGTGTTAACACATTTACAGCTCTTTGAATTTTACAGACTTTCGTAGGTGACTTACTTAATTCAACCTGGTGTTCTGTTGCCAACTTATTCTGTAAAATATAAGGCTGAGGATTGATTTCTGTAGTAACAAATGTAACAACTATCTAAGAATTCATGACCACTATCAAAATACTAGCACAAGTTAAAGTAAATAAGAAAAGTAATTTGTTTTATACATGAGGGATGGGGGCAAGGTTTCCGGAAGTCAGGTTGTAAACTGATGAAGATGGGACAGAATGTTTTTAACGTAAGAAGTTTAATAAATATATTACATTCTATTCAAAAATGTAAATATACAACCACATCGATATTTTATTGGTTAGATTATAAAAATTGGACCACTTGCAAGAAGTCCACGCATTAGTGTAACAATATTACAAACAAAAATCTCTACATAACAGAACTTACACATATTAGTCAACTTTATTTTATACAAACTATGGTACACGATTAATTAACATTAATATTTACCTAAATTTATATTTTATACATTCTATGTATAGTAGATAATTTCTTCATTTTGTAATAAGTTAATAAAACTATAAAATATTCTCTTCAGTTAAACATTAGGCATTTCATAAGGCTAATGTAGGTATTGGAAACAATATTTGGTGGTTTTATGTGTGTCTTTAGAACAACGCGCGAAGTACTCAATTAACAAAATATAAGTTTATACAAAGCACTTTGTACTTGACTTCTATCATTTATATTTTAATCATCAGAATTTGGAATACGTTTAAAATGTTTCGCGGACTTACTATAACAACATAAAAAATAATAAACCTAACGAAGTATAACTTCCTAGTCATTTGGCTGACAGTATAGACAAGGTACAAAACGAACAAAATGATAAAATGCCGTCAAATTATAATACAGTTATCACACTTTCAACTAACATCGCTTTAATGCAAAATGTACTTAATAATATCTCCGAGAAGGCTTCGTAGCGCTACTTCGTGGAAGGACTAAGTAGAAAGTCGAACACTAGTTGAAACAAAAATTGAGAACGTGTAAATATTATCAACAGAATTGTGACGAAAGCTTGGTGCTTTGCGGTCGGTCCACTGACTGACTTGCGCCTGCGCCGCGATAACAATTAATACCTTAAAAACTCACAGAGCTCAAGTTATCGTCACCACTCCGATGATGGTAATCAACTGAGAATCTTTTTCTACTTAATATAATTAGTAGCTGCTAAAGGTAGCCCAGATTAATCTAATAATTATGAGCTACACTAATGCATCGTCAACAATTTCATTATATATTGTTTATAATATCAAAAGCTTTCTAGCAATGTATCAATAAAATATTTAAATCCGAAAACCACATTATGCATTGGTGATATACATATATATATATATTTGAAACAATATATCTATTCAAAAGGAATGTTTAAAATTGAAGAATGAATCAGTTAATAATATACATATTCTGTCAAATAGTGAACAATATTTAATACATATTTCATTTAATAACCGACACAACAAATTTCAACATGTAGACGACATGCGGCGACGCACCGCAGTTGACGGCGCGGTCGTCGATAGGAACACACGAGGTGGCTCTTGTTGCACTGCGACTGACTCCTTGCTGAACACTGCGCGCTACGATTGCACGACCACGGGACCACGGGACCACGCGACCACGCGATTACGCTACCAACGAACACGGAAAACTAAAACCCCATCGTGTTTTCCTACATTCGGGCGTTAAAACAATATCGACTATAACCACATCAGTAACACTCTTTATCTTATTTCATCAAAAAATTTACCTAATTATTTTAATAATTGTATTGTATCTCTCATCGACAATGAGCTGCAAAATAATTTGAATGCATTTCTAGCGTTATCATTAAATATATCATCTAGATAATCTTATGTACAATCTAAAGATAATTAATTGTTCAAATCTATTTTGTAATTACAACGCGTCAGAGTGCGGCGGGCGGCGGCTCGCGTCGTCAACGCGACGACGACTCGGGCCAGGCGCGTCAGCACATTCGAGAGGTGGAGCGGGCGGGGCGGGAGCGGAGGTGGGGGCGGGGGCGCGGGTCGTCAGTCGACGCGCGACGCCTCCGCGTAGCTGTCGTCGAGGTAGCTCTGCAGCATGTGCGGCTGCCCCATGTGCGTGCCCAGCTCGTAGCCCCCGCCCTGCCCCGCCCCCGCGCTCCCCGCCTGCTCGTAGCTGTGCGACTGGCGCGGCGGCTCCACGCGGAACTCGCCCAGCGTCCACGGTTCGCTGGGCTCGTGCGGCCGCCGCATAGTGTCGAAGGCCGCCAGCTCGGGCCACGCCGGCGCGTGTTGCTGCTGCTGCTGGGGCGGCGGCGTGTGCAACGCTCCCGACATGCTGTCGACGCGCGCCATCGGCTGCTCCGCGGGGAAGGAGGATCCGCTCCACACCAGCGACTCGATGCAGCTCGTCGCCGTGTTGTTCACCTGACCGAAGCCCCACGAGTTGGGAACTTCGGGCGGTTGGATATTCTGGACCATTTCCGACATCTTGGACACTGATCTTCCGAACATGTCCTGCGTTCTTCCACCGATATGAGACCTGGCCGCGTGCCCGCCGTCCGGGCTCGGCAGGTGGCATTCGGGCCGCATCATCGGGCTGTACTTGCCCACGCCGGGACTCTTCTTGTTGCTGTACACGCCCTCGACGCTGGGCCTCGGGGAGTAGGGGCTGTGATGTAACCTATCCTGTCTCGACATGGGGCTGTACTGTCCGGGCGTCTTGCAGTTGTTCCGGAAGGCGTCGCTCTTGACGCCGAGCCCGGGATCGGGGCTGGTGTGCGTCGACGGATGGGGGGAGAAGGGTGTGTGCTGCTTGGGCATGGGACTGTAGTTGCCGGTGTTCCAGGCGCCCGATTTTTGATGGTCCGGTTTGACCATTTGACTGGTATCCGGGCTCGGCTGCGCTGAGTAGGGGCTGGGCTGCGAGGAGTAGGGGCTGGGCTGAGTGGAGTAGGGACTCGGCTGCGTCGAGTAGGGGCTGGGTTGCGCGGGGCTCGGCTGCGCGGAGTATGGGCTCCTCTGCGACGAGAACTGAGCATCCTGCCGGGTCATCGGGCTGTACCCGCCGGAATAATTCCAACTGTTGGGGTTTTTAATATCCGGCTTTAAGTTATGAGTTTCGGGGCTAGGTTTGTTCTCTAGAGAAGTGGTGGGACTACATTGTTCGACGATTTTGCTATGTTTTAACTTACTCGTGTTGTGATTCTCTAACCTGTTCAGTGGACTGGCTTCGGATTTATGAGAGGGTGTGGACTTGAACTGTCCCAAATTCCAGGAATTGCTGCTTTTTATAGAGTCTAGATGCACATCGGGGCTATTTGGGACTTGACTATCGGGTTTTCGGACGGGACTGAAATGTGGACTCCCGTGGTCCATTTTGATAGATTCCGACCTCGGGGTAGAAGAAGAATCCGGTTTCGATTGAGCAAGTGGACTCGACAAACTTGAAGTGGGCGTTCTAGATTTTTTGTTATCTAATAATGAAGTGATAGTTTCTGAAACATCTCTCGACGATTCGACCGATCCCTTAATATTTATGGAAGATAGCGATCTCTGATCCTGAGCGTTGACGCTCGAGTTGGACACACTTTTGGGTTCCTGGAAAACGCAGGAGGAAGACTTATCCGAAGATTTCTGTTCAGCTTTGGCACCACTACTTTCAGATATGTTACTCTTTGGAGATGCTTTGACAGTGACACCGGATTTCGAATCGGTCACTTTTTTTGTTGCGGTTTCTGTATCTTCATCTTCATCGGAATCCTCTTTCTTAGCTTTGTTCGGGTCTAAGCTGTCCTTGAGGTCTTGCAGTTCCTTGCCGGTGTAAAGACGCTTCATGCCGCGCGGCAAGGCGCGACAAGAGCTGAGATTGAGGGACTCCAGATGTCGACATTTTATCAAAACTTTCTTGACTTGTTCCAAAAATACTGCCGATCCACATAAATTGAGTATTCTGGAATAACAATACGATTAAACATTTATGCTATTTTATCAAATTTTCTCAATAACATATCTTGTTAGCATTAAAATAAAAATAAGATATTGCAAATGGTATTTGGTTTGTTGTCGTCAACATACCTGAGCTTGCTGTGGGGGGAGTCGGTGAGCGCGGAGACTGCGTCGTTGAGGACGCGCGCGGCCGACGCCCAGGATAAGTCCAGCTCGAGCAGGCTGTGCGACCACTTCTCGCAGATCAGCTCCAAGCACGCGCTGCTCTGCCGCGTCACGTTGCAGCCTGACACATTAATGTTTACAAATAAATCATTGTCAAGTTATGCTATACGCAAGAAAGAAGTACCTCGGTAATTTGAATATGCGGTATTAGATAGTGATATAACTCTTTTCAAATATCTTGGCTGATCAAGACTATCCGCGCGCTGCGCAGTGACCTTCTGATGCATCCCGCTATACCTTATTGTGTGTTCTGCGCAACTACTCATGCGATGTAAAAGCCGGCTAGGTATTTGATAACCATTATACCTCCTAGGAAGAGATGCTGCAGGTCCCAGGCGGGCACGCGCACGAGTCCGGAGTCAGTGAGGCGCTGCAGACCGCGCAGGTCGAGCAGGCGCAGGCGGGTGGCGCCGCGCACCAGCCGCGCCAGAGCCTCGTCCCCCAGCCGGTACTGGCCGACACATGCGCGCTCCACCTCCGCCTCGCCCGCGATCGACAGCTCCTCCAGGCACGTCCACCCCTCCACCTCCATCTGAACGACACGCACATAAAATTGATGGCGTCACTCAAACAAAACTTTTAATCAGAGCACAGATTGTTTACTACTGTTTGTGGCAGTTGGATTCAGTGACGTCATAGTACATGGAGCTGACCTGCTGCGAGGTGGTGGCGGCGGCAAGCACCAGCTGTGAGTTAGCGGCGCGGAAGACGCGCATCTTGGGGCAGCCCTTTTGCAGCGCCTCCAGCGGCACAGAGGCGGGGTGCGTCGTCGCCATCGCACCAGATATGTCGAGCAGCTCCAGGTTGGGACAGTGCGCCTACAAATACACCTTTTTGTTATATTTAAATTATGTGAAATTCCTTAAAATAAAATATTATCTATTATCTGTCCACAAAGCCGAGTTTGTTTTGATTTTGCCCTGAATTTGGCAAGAAGGTAGGTGATGCCCGTAGGCATATTATATGCTATTTTTTTTCTACGCTGACGAAATCGCAGGCAACCGCTAGTAGTATATAAAATTGGTGAGAACTAACAGCAACGGAGGTGAGTATCTGCGGCAGCGCGGTGAACTTGTTGTTGGCGAGGGTGAGGTGAGTGAGCCGGTGACCGAAGCTCTCCGCCAGGCGCGCCACCGACGCGGCCGACAGGCAGGTGCTCGACCCGCCCGTCTCAGACTGCAGAAAACAACATAATACATTAAAAATTGCGTATATCATAAGATGGCAAATGAGCAAACAGCCACGGGAATAAGTCGCAATAGCGAAGCGAGCACTGCCTATGGACGACGAAGAGGATGCAAAAAAAATTACATGTTCCATTCCTATTCTTACCCTCCCCAGAAAAAATCACTTCCCCTATCCTTATAAGTAAAAGGCACTCCTCCACACTCCTTTGCCCACAGGAAGAGAATTAAAACTACGCTTCTTTCGCGAACAGACTGTACGCGGAATGTCTTCTACATGACGTCTGTTTCTGTGTGGTCGTGGTATAGCACGTGCCGAGGCGGCCAATTCTTGAAACAAATGTTTGTCGGAGTCTACCACTGTTATATAATTTATAAAAGATCTCAAATACTTCTCTTCACAATATCTTTACTATATTAAATACATTTGTCTATTGTCTGTTCGTGTGTTTACCGTGAGCGAGAGATCGAGCCGCTGCAGACTGGGTAAGCCCTGCACGAGGTCGTAGAGCTGGTCTGGTGTGATGCGGCTCCAGCCCGCCACGCTCAGGTCTACCAACCCAGGGCAGTAGTCCGCAACACACGCTAGCACCCATGTTATATTGCACACCTTCCAATGAGCTAAAAGTACAACGAATATTACAATAACATCAATTAAAAGTAAGGGAAAAGTTATGTTTTTATAGAGTTGAAAGGAATCGGAGTTCTTAGTGCGATTGTACGGTTTCAGTACCTGATGTTTCAACGCAATATCCCGGGAATATCGTTTCTAAACTTTTTTATTAGGATAAAGGTTAAAATAAATCTTTTTTCTTCTTTTAGTTTGTTGTGTGTATTTAATCAATAAAGTGTTCATGACACTAAAGCAAGTTTATATTAGTTCAGTTAAACATCGCATTTAGTATTACGATGTTTGTTTTCACAAATAAAATGAACACCACTGAAAAATTTAAATACAAAAAACTGAATTGAGAAATACAAAAGTGGACATACCAATATTTAATGTATGACATAGAGACAGTCGATTTTCGAGGAGCCACACCAGTTTGTAATCTGTTTTGCATTTTTCACTAGTGTATTGCGCAAGATCTGCATTCCTCCACAACTCTGGTCTACAGCTGACGGTGTTCCACAATTTACATACGCGGCTCAACCTAAAGGGAAAAACCTTGGTTAAACACAAAAAAAAAACCATTCCATTATTCTCATTTAATTAATACCGAGTTATTTTTACCTGATAATAGTAGGTATAGAACCTTGACTGGCCACAGCATAATCGAATATTTTGAATAAAATCTCTTCAGGCATGGAAGCCCACGGGCTCTGAGGTCCCGTTTCTTTACTCTTACTATCTTCTCCACTAACTCTACTTTTCTCAGTCTTTTCACTTTTACCTGAAAGAAATAAATGTTTCAAACACAAACATCGTGGTAATTATGAACAGTTAAAATTTTCATTTAAAATGAGCTTTACGCAACTTTCAAACTAAGCACGGAAGATGTAGATACTAAATTGGTATCCACTTCATTAAAGATAACTAATCCCAAATATCACTTTTTGCTATATATTAGGCGCAAAATTGGAAAGTCATCGTGTGCGTGTATAATTTAAAAAGGCCAAAAATAATTGATTTATCTCATTTTATGTAAAAAAAATCTAATATTAGTTACAACTATTTCATTTTTATTTGGAACAGACTATGAGACGAACAGTTTATTTTTTACAAAGTTAGTGCATGTTATTAATTGAAAAAAATACAAATCAATCTGATTTTTGTTTAAAATTAAATGTCCAAGATTTATTTTCATGATATTTTCGTTAAAGATGTTTGCATTATATTGTATGAAGTATGTAAATGTATCTTACTTTTATTATTGTTAAGTTTGCGCGTGCGGGTTCGTTGTCGGGGCCGGGGTGGGGCGGGCTGTCTCTGCTGGCGTGTTTGGCGAGGCTGACGCGGCTTAGGCGCAGCTAGGCTCATCGCAGCCGCGGTGTCGCCGCGCGAAGGATCGTACTCCTCGCCGGAGCTCTCGCTAACCTCGGGTGTTGCATTTCTTTTCTTTTTAGACTTCCTCTGACCTATGTCGGCAACTGATATCGGTGTTATAGGAGGTACCTGGAAATTATTATAATAAAATATATATTTTATACATAAAAAAGCTTTTTTTAGGTTTATTAGGAATGAAAGCTAGTTGCCCAAATACTAAGCCCTAAGAAATACATTTGTACAAAAACTTTTAACCAGGAAAGCCTTTTCTTAAAGAACTCACAAGACATATTGTAGGGAAACAGGGTTAGAACATTACTCTTTTGCAGTATTTTAATCTGTGTCTGGGATTTAATTTGATAAGTACCACAAGTGTACCATTATTAGTGTCAAAGCAATGCAACCATTTCCACTGTTAAGACACTTGCGTTAAAGCATGTTATCATCCCTCTCATTCTATAATAAAACAGTGAATATGTCTCAAAAAAAATATAGATGTTTATGCATTAATAATTAATTGTAAGATTTAGTTTATAAGTTACTCATTTTGGAAATCTTTTATATAAATACATACAAACATCGACATTTAAATATTCTTGTTTTATGCACAACCAAACTTCTTACTTATAGATAAATAAATACTCAAGGATGTTATTAATATGGGCATTGCTAATCTGACCAATATTCATATGAAATGTATATATTTTCAACAAAATACCATATCATTAGCGTAAGGCAAATGTGATAAGAACATGATAATAACAACTCAACATCACATTGTGATAAAAAGTTAATATTATGATTCTTCCACTACTGTTTACAAATAATGTAAAATATTGTTTTTGAATTCAAAGGTGTTACTTGATAAAAAATTTAGTGAATTAAACTGAAATGAGTGGAAAATACCGATAATATTTTTCAATAAGAACTAAGTTAAGTAAATATAGTAAGTCTTACTAATATAAAAGTAAATGTTAAGATGGATGGATGTTGGAAAGAATCTCCAGAATGACAGTGGATCTCAAAAAAACTTGGTATTAAGTTTTTTTTCATTCCACACAGATGAAGTCGCGGGCAATAGCTAGTTATTAATAAAGGTAAAAGGAACTAAGTCATTAAAAGAAAATTATAAGTTATATTAGAATTGAAAATGTAAAAAACCCTTATGGACTGTGATATATCACCATATGTTCGTTTTAACTATGATTACATGATGATCTATTAACATCATATATAACATCAATCAATCCAATTGGATCAAAAATGATTGGGAAACATTACTGTGCCTACATTATCATCTTTCTATGTAATTGATTCAATATTTAATAGAATTATAACTTATATCAAATTGACATGAATACTTGTGTTAAAAGTAATTTTAAAATCATCCTGTATAAAAGTTTGCATGGAAAATCTTTCATTATAAAAATCACTTTCCATTTGATCCGTGAAATAATTCAGTCTGCTTATGTGAGGTTTTTGGTAAATTCGTATCTCAAAAGTATAGTGTAAAAGAAACACAGTATAGAAGAAATGTGTGCATGGCCAAGAAATTCATACTACCAATAACATAGTCAATAGTATACTTATTTACATAATATACTCAGTTGTAAAATTTATTATTTTCACTTGCTAAATGCAAATTGAATAACTTCTTTATCATATTCAGTTAACAAACATAACAACTCAATCACAAGACAAAATTGTGTTATGTAGTGAAAGTAAGCTTTTATATAGTTGTTAAAATGTCAGAAATCTAAAAACTTGTTATATTAGGATTGAACTTAATACACAATATTGAAGAACCTGTACTTATTAGAAGATATTAGAATAACTAGAAGAAAGAATATTAGAAAATAAGATATTTCAATAACTGTTAAACATGGTATAGAACCCACATATTCACATTATTCTGGGTCAGTCAGGTAATCTGTATATTATTAATTTCTTTTTATAACCTACCATCATCTTGTTTCACTTTTCATCTCTAATTACTTGTGATAAAACTATTCTAATGTAAACATAAACAAAACATTTCTAATTAATTGGTTATTGGTGTGATAAACAACATCCAATTTAGATTATCTTCAAATCAAAACTTTATATAGATTTTCTATAGTTTGTATTTTGGTTTTTCTTATAAAAATTTACTTTAACCTTATAGGAAGACAGGTTATAACATATAATATTTAAATTAAGTTGAAGAATATCAAATTAGTCCCACAATTAGAAAGTTTAAAGAGCCACTACTATGATGTTTAATATTATTTAATTTAAAATACCAAACATTTATATCAGTATTCATTTATTAGCTTGTTTCCCATATAAATCATTTTACATAGAACTAAAAAACATTTATAAAATAATGCACCACCAGCTGATGAATCTCATGTTTGAAGCAACCAAAGAAATAGTAGATAGGAAAATTCTTTATTCCAATTATAGCTTTAGTTTCCCTTTTAATTAGGCGACATGATTCATTTTGCCCTACCAAAATCCATCCAGTAGTACATAGGACAAACATAGAATAATTGCATTTTATTGATATAAAAGATAGAATGTTATTAAACAGTATTCAAATAAATGTGTATTTATTCTGACACTGATGTTTTCAATATAATGATAAGTAGATGGATCAATATAAATATACATACCGACTCGTGGAGATTAGTTTTCCTGATCTTGAGCTTTATGTTAGTATTGGTATCCACTATCTGGCTCTGATATGTGGTTGTGTACTCATATTTCTTAGATTTTTTCTTGCTGCGTGAACTACAAATGCCTATCATGGAACGTGGCTTCCCACTACACGGCACCACTACATGAGTCCTCTTCTTAGAAGATTCTTTTGATTTACTTTTTTTTGTTGATAATTGACTAAGTTCATGACTGTACGGTTTACCACTTTGTCGTATATTTAAAATAGGTAACTTAACACTGTACTCGAGGTCCTCATCCTCTGAACTTTCACTTTCATTTGACTCATCTTCATCATCTTCCGCATCATTTTGACACTCACTGCTACTGACTAAATACAAGTTTTTGCCACCTTTCACTTGAGGGGTCACTATACTGTTTGATTTTGCAGTCCTTTCGTGGTATTCACGAAGGGACCTCTTCTTCCTTTTCTTCTGTGAAGAAAGGCAACCGTTGACAGGCGAGTGCTCTGCATCACGCCTTGAGTGCTGCTTGTGCTTTCTGTGGCGAGTACGGATAGGAGAAGGCAGGGCTCCGTTGTGTACTTGCATTTTTTGATTGGCAATGTCGTCGATGCTCTGCTCGAAATCAGTTTCGAGTTTGACGCAAGAGACGTCTTCGAGTCCCTCTTGCAACATTTCGTCACTGGAAAGGACAGGTGATATTTTTCCCAGACGCTCGTCGGGGAAGAGGTCCTTGCGGACAGAGAGTCTCATCGCAGGCTCCACGCTCGCGGACTCATAGCCGCCGTTGACGGGACTCGAGCGACTCGACATGCCGCCCGCCGCCCTCACGTACCACTTCTACAAACCGCTCACCTGTCCGCCGCGAGGTAAACAATCAGTTTGACACATCACATTTTCACTTTTGATGCTGAGATTCACTGAACACAGAGTGATAATACAGTTACGTCTGATTCCCGATAAATGACGTGTAAAACATTATTACGTTTTTCGATTAGCTTGTCTTGAGACAGTCCAAAGCATCTTTTTTCTTTACGTATTCGCATTTTAGGTCATCCATGTTCATGTAACGTTGTGATTGCGAAAAACAAAGTACAGAACATTTTCGCGGACACTTGCACTTGTACTATAGCTTTACACTAAACTAAGGCATTATTTTCGAGACTAAATGAAATCCTGATTATTTTCGTCGACTATGAGTTGATGAAAACTGTTGACCTTGTTAAAAGCTTATTAGGTTTCAAATTTTAGTCAACAGATGCAGACATTGTCACAAAGGTTGTTCTTGGGTTGTACACGGCTTGAGAGGGTAACATTGATAAGACATTTATTTGCACGATTATTTATTTACTTTCATTTAAGAGATTTTAAAAAATTTTAAAAGTATAGAACTTTTTGGTTAATTCCACAAAACAGCGAGTAAGCGTTTTATCTCCAATTACAACGAGTTATTTAGATATTTCGACTTATTTTTCTGAGTTTAAGCAACCATCAAGGAGATTGCAAGTTAATATTTATGTCAAAGAAATGTCAAACACAAGATATTGTTTTATAAGGTAACCCAAAGAAAATTATTAACCAATGAGAAGTGCTAAAATGTCAACAGCTATTAAGTAATTGGTTATTGAACTGAGAATTCTACCTATTTTACTTACGAGTGGTTAATTTTCGTATCATGGAAATCAATTTAACCAATCATTGTACATTACGCCGAAATTTTCAACAATTTCGTTGTTTCGTCAATAGGTGGCACTGTAAACATATTTTAGAAACTCGATAGAAGAAAATAGATCAAGATGTATGCTTTTTGTTTTGTTTCTTTCTCCCTTTCAGCCATTCTGGAGAAACAAATAATAAATTAAATTATAAATGTTTACCGTCAAATAAATCATTATACATCCAGTAAGAAAAGTAATAATTACAATTACATTATTTCTTCCAATGGAGTTTTGAGTAAACATAAAAATTGGTTCTATCTTTGACGTGTTTTGTATGTACTGAGTACTCAGTGTGATAATGATAACCTACACGGTCTTTTTGTAACAAGTACATAGTCTGGTGAGTCATGTTTAAATTTATTTGTTGTAATGGTTACTATATACTATAATGGTTGTATCGATGATCTCATAATATTGTAAGTATGAGCTCTATGCTTGCTGCTCATTGTAACGAATAGTGTAACTCTTTGGAAAATGAATAGTACTATAAATTGTTAAACTGATATAATTATAAATTGTTGTTTGCAATTCTGTATAATTTAACAACATATTATGACTGTAGTTATTATTAAAATGTTTTAGAAATACCCCATATAGTAAATTCATTTTATATCATTTAGAATTTACATAACAGTTAAATCATATTTCTTAAAAGGAATTCATTTTTCATATAAATTCTCTCGAAATCGTATGTTAGTACAAAATCTATTTTATTTCATACAATGTTTTCAATATTTGGTTAACTAAACACATTATTTTTTTTATGACTTGGAAAGTCTTGTTTGAGCAGAACCAGAAATGCAGAATAAACAAACAAAATCTTTCTATTATGTAACTGCATTAAATTTTTTTGGCAATGTTTTAATTGATATCAAGGAGATAGAGAAATAGATTGTATAAAAAATATATTGCTTATGAGAATATTGAGTTGGGTTGAATTTCTTCTTTTAATATGATATAAATTACCATTATATACCTACCAGACAATATTTAAAGTTGTGCCAATACTTATTGACTTTTAAATTAAAAAAATAATTATTTAAGGTAATGTAAGTAGGTATATTTTTGTAAGCTAAGCAGGTATTAGTCTAAAATTTTTGTTGATTTTACAAACAGTAAAACTTATATTCTTTATATTTGTAAATGATGTTATATTATTACTTTGTATGCAAAAATATGTAAAGGAATTTTTTACTGTGATTACTTTTTAGTCCCACATATTGAAAAAGTATTTTACAACTCAATGAAAACATCAAATGCCTAACTAAAGTTTGAAACTAAAATAAAAAATGAAATGAATATTGTAATTGGTGATTGTTTTCTAGTTCATTATTACTATTTACCAAAGTACAAATAAGAATAACGAATACAAAAAATTTATTCAAATAATTTTTTGGATGATCTTACTAATAATGATCTATAATATCAATAATAGAACTAACAATCCTTTTTGTTATTAATAATTCATCACAAAAATAATTTTATTATAGGGCAATTTATTTATTAGGTGTAAATGGGGGGAGGGGGTTAGAAATCGCAAATTTTTTTTTATACGAATGCGCCGTACGGTAGTTACATTGTCCGAATTTATGTTTAGAAATATAAAACATAAACTTTAAAGTATTTTACTAAATGAATATAATTTTTTTTTCAGGTATAAAGTGTTCGCGTTTTAACTTTAAAAAAAAACTTGGTTTAAGTCTACGTCTTTATATAAGACCAAGAGTATTGATATCGTATATCAATCGAACAGTTATCGGGTTTCGGTTGCGGCGACCGCTATGCATGTGCTCGGCGCGAGTGCTGTGGTGAGGGCTTAGTGATGGTGAGCGTTGCGGTGGTGAGATCGTGTAGCGTATGTAGTGAGATTTTGACGCGGCGGTGGTGAGATCGGGGCGCGGACGGCGAGTAATGCTCGTCGCGGTGATGCAGAGGAATGGTGGACGCGGCTGCGGAGCGCCGGCTCGCCTCCGCCGCGGGCGTCACTTCCACTGCGACATTCACCAAGTAAGTCGTACTCATATTATGGTTCAACTTGATATTTTAAGATAGACAAACTATGGGCATTAGACACCATTTTTTTATTGTAAGGTTTTGTTTGGTTGTTCAAAATGACTACTAATAGTGCCGTTACGTTGTTTTAGGGAAAGATATTCGTTAAAATCGGTATCAATTATAATGATGTAGTCTTTAGGGATATTAGTAAGTATCTGTTGATACATTCAGATTTTAGTATTGTGATATTAAGAATAAGATCAAATGAATAGGTGTTAACATTGCTAAATATTTTTATATACTATCGTAAGCTATTGTTAAAGTTTTAGACTAAAAATGATATGTTGATTGTTGTAGACGGTTCAGTAATACCCTATTTTGCTATAGGCGGAAAATCTTAAAGATGTCTTGGTCTTGGGGGGGAACCATGGTTGGTTATTGGAGTTTTTACGCCCTGGAATCCCCTCCTATAGCGCCACTGGCGGAGCTCCAGGGTCTCTGGTAGGACGTACAAGTGCTCAGTAATTCGCTATCCTCTGACTGAAATACATCAAAAATGTAGTTTATTGTTGTTTGTTTTGCACAAATGTATACATTAATTATCAAACATCTCAATCCAAGCGAAATCTTGGCAGCTCTTGAACAGTCAGTCAATTGTTATTTACTGCAGCCCAATTCCCGTGCGGCGTCAGTTGACCGTTGGCATGGTCTCCCTGACCCCGATGCCCGCGATCATTCTATTGAACCCTTCCTCATTGACAGCCCATACAATAGCCACAGCTTCATTATTTAATTGACAGTAATAAACGTCATCGTGAGTGACTGCATTTACTATTGTGAAGCTATTTACGTAATGTGCGACTATGACGTACGTATTGTACTTTGATAAAGAAAATAAGCTACGTTCTTTGTGTGAATTTCCTTTTTGAAAACCTATAGGCTATAGCTAATTTGCATCAATACATATCTATCTATTCTAAATTTTCTAAAGATTTTCCAACGGTGAAAGAATTAATCGTTGTACAAACAAAATTCTAATAAAAACTGGGAAATTGAAGTGATTTTCTTTCATCCAGCGCTGGAAATATCTCTAGTTATTAACTTTTTTTTAACACGATGTTCTTTAAGTTCTTAAATTACTCAGTCTTTTAATACATTTTATCATAATGTCGATAATACTAAAAAGTTCCCCGCGTAGGTCATAAAATGTTTTAGATATCGTATAGGTATCTTATCGCGATTATGCGAACTGTGAAATTTTGTAATTCCAAGCTTTGTTGTGGCGGTTAATTAATCAAATGAAATATAAGTTTAATAATCCTAATTCAAGTTTCAATCATAACGCTATAATTTTTAGGTTAAAAAAACAGTTATTGATTGCTTAGCGTTTCTGATAACGACTAGGTAAGACCGGCCGATCTGATAAGCTACAATAAGCTACGAAATGCATCATTAACATTGCAGTGAAATGTAGTCAATTGTAAAGAAGAGATACAATTAGATATTGGCGAAGTGATGTTCGAATTGTTTGATTAGATGCGGTGCGAGGTGAGGCGATGCGATGCGGGGCGGGTACACAGCGCGAGTGGATGCGACCGTGTTATCAGGGCCGCGAGGTGCGCGTGTGAGCGTGTGCTTGTATAACGTCGCTTGTCGCTTCCAGGAAACGCGGCCGGATTTCTCAGAAGCGATTGAATGTCGCGCGCGCGTTTTCAGCAATGAATGAGCGCGCAAGACGCCATAGTAAATGCTGAATATTGCTACACCCAACTGTTTACGTAGCTAATTTATCGCTATCTACGTTCGCCCTCGCCTCGCTCGCTTATTGTTGTACACTCTTCAAATTTATTTAATCGCACAATCACGTTTTATTGGAAAAATTAATCATTCATCATTAAATATTGGGAAGACAATAAAATAGGTATATTTTGAAAGAGACACACTACATTCTTCTACAATAAAAATGTTATTTGGTTTAAGCTAGACACAACTAAGATAGATCCGCGGTCGTCACTAGATATTACAGTTTAGTCTATGTGTACATTTCTCATTAATAGACTAGCAATTGTCTAAGAGTTCAAGCATGTGCCATTGTCTTTTCTGTAATTGTTTTTAAATATTATAGATATAAACCTTCATAGACACGACACAGACATAATAAAAATAGATTTACTCAAAGTATTCATTTAGTTTGAAGTTTATCATTATCTTTTACCTTATTGTTACAAGAACACTTACATTTTAATTGTTCTATCAAATATAGTAAAGAAGATGGAGAGAGAACATTTTAATATGTTCAGCGCGTGTGCTGGTATTTTTTTAGTACGGGGACTAATAAACATGCCTGCCGTATTTTACCCTAGATCTCTGTGATAGAAAACAGTATGCAGGTGAAAATTTCCCTCCCATTTTAATAGTTTTTGTAACATCATATTATGATAAGGCGTGGTGATATTTTACAAATAGGTGCCTCTAATATTAAGATTGCTATTTAAAACACATTAATTTTCTGGTTGTTTTTTAATTAAATTGAACATTTTTATTTCAATGTTTATGTAAAAATTTCCACCTCCTTATGGTGTATTCCTTGGGTTTGTCCGGCCATTTCCAGTCTTTTGTTGTAGTGATGGTTGGTTTTTTCATTCGGTTTCCAATTCGTAGCTACTCGTAGAGCATCGTAGACGGTTGACATTTGCGTATCTGGGGGGCTGGACAATGTAACCTTCGCTTATCGCTATCGCTAGAATTAATAAAATGTGTGAAATGTACAGGAAAACACGTGACATATTGAAAGTTATTCTCACTTCCATACCTTTTTGAAGTTGGTTATGGAATCGGAGCGAATGTACTTTGTCTAGGGGCGCTGGGCAACCTGATATTTAGTTACTCATTCGACAGTCAGTCAGTTAGTGAATTAGAAGTCGTATTTTTTTTTAATTTGTAAGAAAACATAGATATACAACTAAACAAATGTTTTTAAAATAACCTCTGTCTTTTTGTACAGTCCGCCTTATCTTTGTCATTGACTTAATTGTTTATGACGCCGATGTTCTAAATACATCTAAATCTGATAACTATGCTAATAAAAACTGTTCACTGACTGATTCATAATGAGTGTTTTTAAATATATGTAATAGTTGTCGCCTTCATCTGCGGGGACTTAAAAAAACTTAATTAGTAGCTTATGTGTGTCCTTACAGACTTTATTCTACATTCAAAATGACTTCTAACAAAATCTATCCGTCCATTCATACATCCAAACATTCATATCTTATATATATAAAAGAAAGTCGTGTTAGTTACACTATTTATAACTCAAGAACGGCTTTACCGATATGGCTGAAAATTGGATAGGAGGTAACTTAGAGCCAGGAGACGGACATAGTATACTGTTTATATATTTTTTTTATTTTTTTTCGAATTTATGCTTTGAAGAGCTGCTTTTTATTTTACTTATCTATATTACGTTTTTTATTATATCCACGCGACGGAGTCCCGGGCTACAGCTGGTTTATACTAAAACAAAAATAATCTTTTACCGTCCATATTTCTTCTATTTAATTTAGCTTTTTGTTACTCTTTTTATCGTGTTTATGGAAAGAATTAACAAAAAATTCCCAAGGAATTAACAGACAATAGACAAGTTTTCAAACCTTAACCGAAATAATTGTCGGCTTAAACGTTTTTAATATTCGTGAAAATACTATACTATAAAAATATTCAGTTGTACGATATTCGATATGTTTTCTGTTATCATCGCGACTTCCGGTCAGGTATAGGTATCTAATTGTGCGAGACATACGCAATTCAACGCACGTCGCATACAAAGCATGTTTTCTTGCTTGCGTGCTTGATTAGCGCCGCGATGGCGGCTGTACAGGGGGACCTACATGATGTCACTACTTTTAATGACACGGAAAGTAACTGTTTAAATGCCACCGGGACTCTAACAATAATTATGTTTTAAGTTTTATGTTCAGTATCCCTAATTATTATTAAAATATTGCAGTGCTGCATTATTCATTGTGAAATACTTGTTTGATTTTTACAGTTGGTTTCCATTCTAATAAAACTATTGTTATTCCTCTCATTTCCTCTGTACAAACTGAGATAACAATATGACTTTGTATGAATGTTTTATATAACTCCATAGCGGGCACTTTCTGAATTCTTGCAAAGAAAGAAAATTATATTCCAATACAAAGACGTCACGGCGCTAATCGTAAATTTAAATTGCTTTTCGTTATCTTATCACGACAAATACATTAGTTTTATAAGTTCATTCCTCTGCTGAAAATGTTACTTTCTTTCGTTATTGTAAGGTTTTTATATTGTGATAAATATTTATCTGAAGTTTTGTTAACATGCGTTTTAAGATGGTATTGGAAAAAAATAAAGATGAATGCAGTTTAACGATAGAACGGTTGCGCTTTGCCGGTTGCCGTGCACTTAGTCCGCGCTTCGCTCGCATCCTCTCGCAACGCTAAATTCGTCGGTGACGGTGTTGTAGCGGTGTGGCGGGCGAGTGGGGGGCGTGCGGAGGGGGGGTACTATTTTCGTCTGGCGGCCACGTTTGGAAAATGTGCGGTGACGTCACTATCCTCCACGGCGATGGCATCATCGCGACACGCAAACCGGCGCGGCGGCAGCGGCCGACTTGCCAAAATATCGCTACGACCTCCCTCCACTCTACAACTCACTTTATTTTTGGTGAATGCACGATCTCGGCCGTCAGCCGTCACACGCGTTGTTTTGAATCTCCGGCTGGGGGTCTGACCGTAAATTAGATGACGAAGAATTACCTTAAAAGAGTTCATATACTTCTGTGTACATAGTTTGAAGCGAAAGTTGTCTTAACCACTTAGAGATTGAAAGAAATTAGTGAAACTTTAATTTGTATTTTCAAGTAAAATGTTTAAAACAATTAAAATCTGTCAGAAATGTTTATTGGTATAAGGTGTAATAGTGTTGGCACCTTTGTTGCGAAAATAAGAAATCTCGTTCTTATTTTAATCAGCTATATTATCATAATCATAGAGTCATCAATCAGCATTTATTTAATTACCATATCTACTATATTCGTTATCCAAATGATAATTGCATCATGTTTGAATTCGATTTGTTACGTATGTATACTATAGCTTCCATAGGAATTACTTAAAATATGATTACTTTGGCATTCTACTTTAAATCGTGACAAAATGAACGAGAAGTATTCGTCGGCGTATCGTATTTGAATCACGAATTTATTCGCCTGACAAAATGTTAGCCTGATGGTAACTTTCCGTGCATGGAAATCGCCAACAATTTATTAATAGTGTTGTATTCATTTTGTTTTTATCAATTCGTCGATCGTTTTATCGTCCATGTGTACATTTGTGAGTGATAAACAATCAAATATTTTACTGTATTTGTAACACTGATAATTTTATACGATGAATATTCGCTGAATGGTAAACACAGAGTGGGTTGTTGCAATTTTTATTTCCAATCTAATCAAGCATATGTTGCTATGATAATATCGAAGGCCGACGTGTTCATGTCGGACCACTTCCCGCCTTCAAGTGGTAATGCGCTCAAATGGTTATCTATATAAAAAATATTGACTCATTTCTATTAAACTCGACAACCGATCTTTGCCCAATGATTGTTTAAGGATGCTATGACATCAGTAACTCTTTGTTTCGTTCCTATATATCTTTATATGGGGGATAAACTTTTGACATCATCAGCTGAATGATCCTCTGAGGACAGTTTAAAATATAGTTGTACACCTTAGTCTAGGACTTTTGTAAATAGGTAAATAATTAAAAAAAAATTGTAAACTTCCTAGAGATTTTTACACTTTCCTAAATTATAGCAATCGTAATAAATATGATACATAAAATAGAAATAAAAGTTCAAAATAATATGTTAGTTATAGTATTGACGCATTACAAAGACATCTTTAAAAAACAATAGGTACTACAACAACGTATATAAATTATGCAAATAATATTGCCATTTTCCAAATGTTACCTTATAAAGCAATGTGGTGCTAACTTCACATGTGACTGATTCGACTCACAATCGCATGCAAACACCATTATTTAACGCACGATCACCCTGTATGAATGACTTCATCCGTTTCAGAATAGAAATGGATTTGCGTAATACCTATCCAATTAAAAATAGCCTCTATGACATGCTATATGAAAACGTTATCATGAATCAAGCTGTACTCGGCCCAGACAATCTGTTGATCATCAAGAATATATCTATCTAATGATAAAAGTAGAGTGTGGACCGTGTCCAAGCGATAATGTTTTAGTAGCTTGGCGTCTGACTTAGATTTATAAGTCCGTTTACAAACCGATGGCTATAATATAAATAAAAAGGCATTTAAAACAATTTAACAAATATTTATGCCGCAAACTTGTTCTTCTAATCTTACTTCTAAAATAAAAACAATTTAAGAAAAACTAAACAATGTAGGAATTATAAATTTGACAGTTACCATTATTTACATAGGAGCCGTCGAAATTAAACAGATAAGTTCAGAACTAATGTGTCAACTGTTGCCAGTATATGCTTGTACTGGATGATGTCAACTGTTTAATGTATTATACTAGGTTACTAGGTTGTATATTATCATAAGAGCCACTCATCTTGTTCTCTAATCCAAAGTGTATGCAGGCGCCGTAACATTGGAGGATGGTCGAATGCAGTGCCAAGGCTAATAACAATATGTTTCACTGACAACCGTGAAAGTCTACAAGATTATTCCAATAGTGATACATATACATCACGAGTGCAATGGATAGTATTTCTAGTACTTTATGGATAAACAACAAGAATGACAAATAAAAAAAAATGTTTATGGTTAATCCCTGTCAGCCTTGCTCGCGAGTCGCTACGAATATGAAAAACAAAGTCCTAGTTGCATACAGATATACTTACCTAAGAAAATGAAGAACAAATTGAAAGTCTTTAACCTACGACTTATTTACAGGTATACATGTACTTTGGTATATCTATAGTTCGTGAGCATGAACTACCATTATACGTGGGAGGTCGCGACTTTATTTTAATTGTAAATGTTATTACTGGCTTATTTCAATTGTATAAATTATTTTGAGGTTGTTTTCTTAACATATTTGGTTATAAGTGTAATTTTTCCGTATAAGACGCCACTCTCCATCGATTTACACGTTATTCGTAACCGTTTGTTTACTTACTGCTCATGTAGGTGTACTCTGTGTACAAACGCACAAGTATACCTGTTATCAGCGCTGAGGCAACATCGCGCCCGCTACTATGCTCGCGTGTAGTAAATTCTCAGTTCGTCGATGACGATGGATGCGCAGTAACGTGCGACGTGCCATCGCTAATTGCGGCTCGTCTCCGTTGCCGTGGTAGGAGGATAGTAGGGTCGGGCACGCGCTATCGTTCGCAAGTGATCAGTGCTGCGCGATCAGCTTCGCCGCGTGGTGTACCGTCGCCGGGCCGCAAGACGCGCCAACTGGACCACTACGATTTGTTCAGTGACGTTATGTGAAACTAATTTATATTTGTGCTCGTTATTGGGAGATTGCCATTATTCTGATACGCAGGTGAATACAACTTCAGGCGCTCCTCCACGCGATATGCGATCCTTGTATTTGCAACGTTAGTTCGAAGTTGACGGGACATGAATATCCTCTTTGATCTTTGTATTCGCCATTTAACGGGTACGAGTATGTTTTATAACGAATGTGTTTTATTGGTATTTCAGCTTTGAACCGTTACTTTAGCGGCGACTTAACATTTGCATAGCTCCAAGGTCTCACTTACAGCCGATTGTGATTGCTGACCAAATTGACAGTTTTTGCGCGCGTTTATCTTCAGATGACATTAATGGATTTATACAGAAAACCTTTTTATTATATGTTAATACTAAATAAGAATTCAATTATTTATAATAATACATTCCATCAAGTTAATTGCAGGTTACGTTAACTTTATATTAAGTTATAAGTTTGTTTCAACAAATAAGTATTATGTATTTAGGTATTTATCCATAATCTTTAGCATTCAATTAGCACGATATCGCTCTCATTATATAACACGTTTATAACTGATTAGGTACTTTGCCAATATTGACGTCTGACTTAATTCATTATATGCTTAAATATTTGAACAGGAGCGAATAAGGCGCCTACGACTACATCATCTTAATAAGGTAGTCAAATTTTCCACTAGATTTGAGCAAATAAAATAAAATATTAATAAACAATTTAAGAAATTTAAAGAAAGATACAAGATAGAAGTACAAGATCTGGATCTGGTGAATTGGTTTTATCTTTTGCCACCTTCAGTGTGAACACATCTGAAATTGTTTTATGAATTAAACGTATGAAATACTAATCGTTTACAATTAAAACTATTTTGACCATCAAACTATCATTAATATAGTATATAGTATACCCTATACCTGGGTGGGGACGTATAGTGAGCTGATGATGATGATGATGATACCCTAGTATAATTAAAATTTGTTTGATTTAAGCATAAACTGTAAGATTAATGAGTTTTGCATTGTGTTGTGTGATATATCAGCGTACGTACGGTCCGGTTCCAGTACAAGCATGTCGACGTTGTCCACAACTAACGAGTTCAATGACCAATAGATAGTTTCACTAAAATGTACTATTTGTCCGCGGAACGATTAACACATATCATGCTATAATAAATTTTGATTCGCTCTAGTTGTTTACAAGTGTATTGTAATAATTTATTTCATTTATATTAAATACGTTGTATCATGTTGATTTTTACGAGACTTTAATGAGGAAATATCTTAATTCTAATAAGTTTTGTTTTCTTGCATTCAGTATCTTAAGTTGTGCTAAACCTGTTTAGATGATTATTCATTTATAAGCTGACCACTGAGTTTTGGTCCGTACATATTAAATTAAAGTGTGATAAAGATGTAAGCTTTTTCATTTTAATTTTTTTTGTTACTATTCTTTTTTAAATTTAGAATATGTACAATATTTCATGTACATATTTACATAAGGCAGATAGATAACCTCTGCGTATTTAAATAATATTATATTACGTATAATATTTAGTTTACTTTAGATTTGTGAATACCAAAATGGAGAATTGTAGAATGTAGGTCGGGGTTGTTCTTTTGTTGGCAAGAATACAATACGTACTTGAAAAAAACTTTCTCGATTACCTAAAGCTAACGGCTTTCAAATAATCAACGTTGAAGTGTCAGAGAGAGAAGTCGCCGCATGTGTCCGAGTAACGGTAGACTGTCGACTTTCAATTCAGATTCACATAAAAAATTATAACATATAAAGTGCTCCGTACTTTGGCTCATGTGTTGATGTTAATCTATTTTTTATTTAAAGTAATCAGTATCTCATAAGACATGAAACAGTGATTTGGATGTTGCTTGATAAATTTATTTCGAAGGAAGATGTAAGAAAGTCATTATTGATGTCGGGTTATATTGAAAGTTGTACGATAAAAAGTACATTTGTGCACTTTCATTCAACATGGCAATTTTTTCAACGCTATTGACTTAAAATAAAATATATTGACTCTATGTGAGGCACTAAACAACCTCTATTCAACGATAAATGATACCAATACAACATATTTCTTATATTGCTGTTATATTTTTTGTCGTCTATCAGTTGTTAAATAGGTATTTCCGGAAATTATGCATACTTTTAAATGCTTATGGTTAGATATAAATGTTTAGAAGGTTAAACACAACTGTAAAAATTAATATGAAAAGTAGTACGATTCTACTGTGGTGTTGCAATAACAAAATGCAGGAAAATTCAACGAAATCGTTGTCGGTTGGAATTAATTAATATTTTAACGGTCACTTAATAGGGGTTTCACCCTCACTCAGCGACACTGATGTGGTACGTCTTAGATGCAGGGTTGAATATTCATAAATACTAAACATCCTACTTTACCAAGTTCTCTATGTAATCGTAAAATTATTAGATATCCAACTTGCCAAGGATATGTTTTGCTAAATTTGTTACGATTTATGGAACCACAAATCTAAAACGGATGCAGTGGACCTTCAAAGTAAGAATACATTGTCTAAAAACAGAAATGTCGACTTGTATAGGAGAATATACCAAACAAAGCCTGTCACGGGTTATTAGAATGTTTGGGTAAAAAACATCGCCTCCGTACAAGGTAATGGTAGTGGGATAAGTCCGCTTACAACGCACAAGGTCAACTTCCAAGCCTGGAATTGAACGTGGACCTGTTTATAGGTGTTGTTGTTTAGGGGAGCTGCGAAGGATAAACTTAGTATAGGGCTTATTAAGTTTTTTTTATTGAAGAAACAAATATTATGATAAAAATGATTTTAATCAATTGTTTTACCATTATTGAGTTGTCTGAGTTTAGTGTTACGTAGGAGTACAAAAGTAACTTTATATTTGACACTACTTCTATTTTAAAGTATTATAAGATACTCGTAAATTAATATTAAACATCGATTTAATGTTTAACTTTTCCAACTATCGCTATGTTTAGGTACTAAGATATTAATTTTCTTACTAAATAATCGTCTATATATCACGCACTGACTGATGCTGAAAAGGTTATTGTATATTACGACTAGGATGTCTTGAAGTTGTTCTTTAGATGAGCACACAATCGATACGAGCTCTGACCTCCGGCCTATTGTACGTGAGCATGACATGACTCCAGAGACCGGCAGGCAGCGGTTCTATTACTGGTTGTTCTGTATCTGTGTAGCCATTTAGATAACGACTAGTTGCTAAACTTGTTTTTCTATACGTACTCAGTTATTTTGAGGAAATTTCTTCGTCTAGTAACTTTGACATTAAATTTAACGTATTTATTGTTTTATAAAATTCGCCTCTGTTTCCTTTTTGTACTTATATTTATTTTTACGAAAATTAAAAATTTAAGAATGTAAGAGCACGAATAAGATTTTAATTTTTCAGGTCCGAAATCTAAATCATGACTATTATAATAAGTAACAATAAATTAGTTTAATAAGCAGACTTGTATCGTGACATTAAATAAGACGGAAGTAGGCTACGATGGCGACATTGCTCTTTTATTAGTTTATCAACTCGTATATGGCATTCGAAGGTGTGTCTATAAACATCTTTTAAGAATTACGTAATAACATTTTATACATCCTCCTAAAATCTAAGCAATGTTGCTTTTGTTAACGTTGAAACATTATCACTGTATACTATTTACTTAATTTATTTATTCTCATAAGATATTTTGTTTAAAGAATGCATCTTTTAATAAAATAGTTGTAAATGTAATAAACCTTTAAATACATATTGTTTTTGTATAACATTAAATAAACAATCATGTTTGCGAAATTAAACTCAGACATAAACTTTGTTCAAAAACACAAGAAACATCAAAGTATTCACATTTGTTTCATTTACATTAGTACAAAAAATATTGAACAAGTCCTAACCGCCGAGTCTTAATTTATATGTGTCTCATAGAGGTATAATGTATTAGAGTAGGTAAAAAGCGTATTTTCGCATAAATGGCAGCAACAATTGGCATAGTGGCACGAATTAGATTACCATATTGGATTTCCTATCACGAGTTACGATCTTGCCGCGCTGAATAAGACGCAAGCGCGTTCAAACGACTGGCTCTCATCCTCAATGATATCTTGATTTTGAATATAATAGGCGGGATTTCGAAATCGGCTCACGAATTTTCATACAAATTTGCCTATGCTCAATGGAACATTCCTATAGCGGTGCGTTGCTCTGTGTTTGGTAGCGACGCCCACGTCCATGTGCGGCCGCCGACACCGCGCCGTATCCGTCCCGCACTGATTGATAAACCAATTTTATATCATTGTCGTGAGAAATGTGGGGCAACACCACTCTTTTCGTTTAAACACGTTCCGGATAGGCTCGTTTAGGCTAGTGAGTTGTTACGCGACAATCAAAAATGTTTTAGCGGTTAAATAGGCTCGTCATGCAATAAATATCATCTTTGACTTTATGTACAGTGTAGAAAAGCCTGTCACCTCCGTTCTAATAAAAGTCATATAATTAAGCGTTCACTGACATTTTATGGGCACGGTGATTTTACTTAAATCTACTGCACGTTGCAATGTAGGTATTCCAAATCAAAAAGCAAGATTCATCAGATCAAAAAAGATTGGTGTAATGCAGTTCCTATATCCCTACACTATAACAGAAACAAATATATGAAGACTGCTATTATCATCATCAGCCTGTGTTGTATTTCTATCCACGACAAGACTGTTATCACGCTGCAAAAGTGCTAAAATCCAAAAAACAATTTTATAAAATAGATGATTTTAAATCGATTTAACAGTTTAATAAGCGTCAGCTCGCGTGCGTGCGTTTATGCAAATTTAATTGATACGAAATTGTTCACACGGGCCCGAAATGCTTTAACCATTATTGTTAAGCGGCGCGGCGATATCCGGCTCCATATGTAAACTGTTTTCATATTTAACCTCATCGAATTGGAAATTAGATTCAATCGGTTGCGTTTCGTAGCGTCCTTCATTGTTGTCGGGCTTGGGTATATTGTTATTTTTACGATGGAATTTTTTTTTTCATTTAAGTCCTCATAATTCCTTCTTTACCATACTTATTATGATGCACCTCCAGATGTAAGGAGAAGCTTTTGCTCTTGAAAAAGAGCAAAAGTTAGGTATACAGTTTACTGCTGGTCAGTCATTTAATCGTCCTGGAACATAGCCGTTATGCTTCTTCAAGCCCATTTAAACTATTATCATCCAACTGGCATGAAATCGCGTAACTAGAATCCACTTCTAATTATGTCAGTACAGTGGGCGACATGGCCTTGATCCCGCGTATTACTTGCCTACGCAACGAACGGTCGGCACTTGTTCGAACTTTGAGAACGTGTTAGGTCGTTGCCGACAATTATCGGCATCATTAGCAGCCGAGTATGCAGTTGGTAATAAATCGTAAACTCAACAAGCAAATATCAACTCAATACTAGTCGATATAAGTCACTTTATCACGCAATAAAGCGAATGCACCGCAATAATAACGCACGCCCTTGCTGTCCTCAAGTTGACTTATGAAAGGAAATTAATTAAAAATTTAAAATGACAATTCTCCGGATAATGATTAACTATGCCAACATTGTGACTCGTCCAATGTTATATAGGTAGCTACAATAATTTCTCATTTAACTTATAGCATGATAATATCTCTAAATAATTGTTATAACAGTGAAAAAAATATATATTCTAGTTGCTAAATGAAAACCTTTATTCTGTTTAATATTAGCAAGTATTTATAAACAATAACTAAAAAGTTTGGCTACAACAGCCAATTATTAATAAAAATTATTTTGCATATCCGATGAACAATTTCGATGTTAGTCGTCGGTCATTATTCGCATGACCGACAAAGTCGGCGAACGTGAACGATGTATTGTCGATAGCAATAACGGAGAGCTCGGCTCCGCTCGGCGGGCAGGAGGCAGCCGCCGCCGGTGATGTAAGAGCGGCTGGCTTCGACGGTGATGTCAGCGCGCCCACGCCGACCCCCACATCCCCCGCGTCCCTCACTCCCACCCCCGCGCTGACCGCGCGCCGAACCTTCCGCAAGTCTGCCTCTACATGCGTGTAAAGAAACTCACCTCTTGTTATTATGATGGAAGTTATAAGTTCAATTTGTCCTTGAAAAGGGAAGCGTAAAGATAATTATTGTATTTAATACAACTTGTTGTCGGCGAAGTTGGCTAACTTGACAGGTAGGTAGCTTGCCGGGCTATGCCTGTGCAGAGCTATTGCCGCAATGCAGTCGAGCGGGCCGCTAGTTAACTAGACCGCGACTGATATTGTACAAGCTTTTTCTATTTACTTTAAAGCCGGTCGCCCGCTAACTTACTCACCATGTTACTTGTTTCATATTGTCGAATGCGTTGAACAAAGACGGACTTACTTTTAGTACTTTTAGAGCTTTATCTTCTTTTCATCAAATATAAGGATCGTTTTAACGTATCGTATTGAAATTTCTAATAACATCACCTGTATATCTGAATATTAAATGATTCTTTTATAGTTTTAGTTAGTAAAATGTTAGTACATTGTGGCGACATAAGAAATGAAGTTGATAATAGAACAGCATATAGTGAACGTTGCAAGTTGTAGTGCGTACAAAACTAAGGTGTCAATAGTATAATGCAGTGCATAGATAAATAATGAAGTGAGAAGAGGATATATTTGAAAATGCAATAAATATAATCGTGTGTGACGATGGAGGGTGCCGTACTGAGCGCCCAGAGCAATAACAGATTCCGTACGCACTTGAAGAACGCCGCAAGTGCTCTGTGCGCGAGGACGCTGCCCAAGCAAAGATGCAGCGAGGCGGCGGCCAGCTCGTCCCGTCACCACACCTACCCTCGCTCAGCGCCGCCCAAACGCGCGCCTATCTCCTGTCGCATGGAGCCCCTACTCGGTGACCTGCCCGCACCCGCTTCGCCCCCGCACTACCCTGACGTGGTGGTAAGCAAGCCGCTTGACTGCAAACCCACCACGCCCAATGGCATGGTCAAGTTAAAAGGAGCATTAGCCAGGTAAGATACATGCTTGTTCATTAACTTTTAGATTTTTAAAAACAAACCTTTAGATTATATAATCCAAATCTATAATCCCATGAGTATCAGATTATAATTCATGACAATATTTACATAGTAGAATCGTTACTACAGCTTGAGTTTAGAAGGCTTCAAATCATTATACTAAAGCACTAAGAAACGACGTAATCACTAGAACAACATGGTATAAAACAGCAATAAACGATTTTATTATCGGACCTTGGGCGGTGAATTAATAGTTTGGTGGCGTATGGCCGGCCAAAAATGAGTAGCGGCCGCCTATCTGGGCTGTGGGTCAACAACATCGACATGACATCATGTCGCTTGTTTACTCAGGTCGCGGGCTAGAGGTGATGCGGCTAATTACGTGCCCCACTGCCGCGCATCGCCGTTGCTTTCTGCGCATTATTTATATGTGACAAACAAAATACTCCCTCCTCGCTCCTTGTTTATAAATAACAACCTAATAAATTTATCGTAACCCACTTTTGTTATCCCACACACATTTAAATATGACATAGCTTATATCTTAAAGCTCCAACAACTCAACACGTGAACACCAAGAAAGAGTTATTATCAGCTCAGAATTATATCCTTGGCTTAACGTAGGAAATGATGATTTAATATAAATAAGTCCTAAAGTCCATGTCCATATCATAGTTATATAATTATGTTACGAATACTCTACTGAAATAAGAGTTTATTCATTCTTATAGCTTTTTTAAGACTCTTTCGTCAATGCTGGCCGTCGATATAGGAAACTAAACAATTTACCGACACAATGTAACTGTTGTATAACATTTATGTAATAAAGTGCTTTACGTGTTTGTTGTTAAATATAGGTTTTATACAATTGCGTGAATTTATGTTTTTCCTTTACTAAAAATCTAAATTAGGGTATTTAAGTTTGCTTGGACAAACTTATTTCAAACAGCAGAACAACTCGGAAATATTACTTGAATTACGTAGTGCCCATTATGTTTTATTTTAATTAGACGATACCAACCTGCTTATTTCAATTCTACCTTTAGATAATTTTAACGTTAGCTGACCACGTTTGTGGCACATGTTTACAATTAAAAGGAACAAAGACATGAAGTCATACTTGTTTTTTTCCTGCATCTTAATGATATGACAAATTAAACTAAATAGTGGACTCCTCATCACGCGCAGGTGATGAAACACGTCGAGGAAACGTGTGTCCGAGATGAGCGGCACACGAACGATTGCTAACTTGGGTCAATAACTCCACATGACGTCACATCCAAAAGCTCGTCACTTAGTCACGACCTCTTGGCAGCCATTGTAGGTACGGGTTATGTTAATATGCCAAGCTACACTTCGCTGAGAATATAGAAATTATTCAAAATAGATTTCAAGATAAATTTTAAATAGGTGTCATCTATTCTGCGCATGTTTTATGAATTTTACGATCGTATTAAATACCTATTTTAATCGCCACTGTATACAAGTATTTCTATATACTATGAGTGCTACTGTCAAAGCCGAGACTAACAATTGTGTAGTGTACGCTTTTTGTACTGTAAGAATCCAAGACAATATTGGATTCACATTCCGTCAAATTATTGTTGTTATTGGTTCTGCTATCAGGCTTAAAAATCGGCCTTTACTAGGTTAGAATTCCTTCCCGTTAGTATTTATAATAATCCTTATAATATTTATGAACTGTCTTTTTCTAAACGGGAATATTGTTAATATTATATTAGTTTCACAGGTTAACTGATACAAGAATAATATTACATTCTATTTATAATTTATTATTCAACTTCGAACATTAAAATTCCGTAGCTTCAAAAGATATAAAATAAAAAATTGTACAATAATAAAACATTTATTCTATTATATTTATATTACATCATCAAACGCAAAACAGATGCAATCTGCAAAGATTTTTATTAACTGCCAAGCGGAAATATAGTTTTTATGAATAATGAAGTCTAAAAGTATTGATTAATGTTTATGTTTATGTATATGCACGATCGCAACGAACTGTTAAATGTTTCGACATCCCAGGTTTTTGTATCTTTTGTACAATAAAATATCATTAATCAAAAACAGCTTTCCAAGTTCCATGTAAGGCCTGAACCGTTCTAAGAATTCCATTAGAAAATCTAGTGGATCCGTATCGTGAATATTACTATGTCACAAGATAGTTATAGCACAATTAATTAAACTAATATATAGCAATCTCATTAAAATATAATATCCGTCACTATTATCGGTCCGGAAGTGGGGCATTGTCATTATTGATTGGGGCCAGTTTCGATTGCAGGGTCAGCCGGACGAATATATTTTTACAAGCCATAAATCATTATATGACAGTTGCTCGAATTCAATTTTATAGTAATAAAGTGCTTATATCACTCGGAATTTTATATAAGAAAATTAACAACGACCCTAAAATATTAAAGTATAGATTTTTATCTTAAAGTTGTTATACAATAATCGAATTTAAAGTCATCAATTTAACATAGACGTCCGAATCTGTTAATCGAACGTGGCTAATTGAACGCGAATGGAGTAAATACGCCAGCTAGTGTATAATGAGCGAGCAGGCAATAAAAGGTCTCGCTCGCGCACCATGATGTCATGGCATATTTTTGTAAACGATCGAGCGGCTGGGTCGCACGCGTTCGTAATCTTTTCTCTCCTCGCCCGTATCGCTTTTATGACAACGCTTTGCCACTAACGCGAATAATTGTATTCCGATATTTTATTGATCTCCATCGCCAAAGGGCAGCGTGCTGACAGCTAGAACAATTGCCAATGGATACGTAAATAAATGTTTACATATACCTGTTCTTCGTATTATTTTGGCTTTTTTTTTGACAATTAGACGATTAGAAGAATTGCTAGATGGTGCTGGAATATTTCTTACATGATTTTTAAAAATAAAACATAGTAACGTTCCTAGTTTACAAGTCGTTGCTACAACAAAATTATTGGAATTGTCGTCGTATCTTGTGTGGTTATAATTTATCCGTTATACGCATAAAAAATCTCGTGTAAAAATTATACCAAATACATATAGATTACACACTCAATCTCTCCCCCTGGGTTTCCACTGCCGAACTATTAATACAAAAGGATTATTTTATCATGTTTGTGTATTGTGTCATGTCTATTATTCCTTAAAAAGAAATGAGAAGTAACAATGGTTTTTAAAGATATTTCCGCGGTGTTTTTCCACGTTAAAACTGACGAACTCCAGACATCATATTCTGATATCTTTTATCGTTTTTCATACAATCGTGGAAGACATTCATTGAGATAGCGATTGGTTTCAATTAAGCTCTGATACATACGGTTTAATTAGTGAACACAAATAAGTCGTTGTGTTATCCGTTTATTTGATGTGACTTTAATAGAGTCGAGGCTAAAATGCCTAATCTACTGCGACATCGCCTTGCATGTCAAAAAAAACCGGAATGCCGCTACGATTGAATTACTGCCACACTGACCTCATCAGTCATTTTTACGTCGTTATAAGCATCAACGAGAACAATGAACAGTTTGTTTTCTTTGTCCCAACAAGAGCGGATATGTCCATACATTTGTGCGAAATATATTTTTAGATTATTATTAATGTTGGTTTTTTATGAAGGCAGAAGAGAGATAGCTCTATTACCAATTAATCAAGTTGCTAATACCAAAACAAATAAGAACTGGTTTAAAAAGAATTACTAAAATAGAATCCTATTTATACACCTCTCTAACATTGACGAATATACACTAGTATACTATAATACTTAATGTAATTGTTTATCTTAATGTATCAGTTGTCAATCTAATGATGTGTGTCGAATTTAATGATACAGACTAATGCTTCACGTTGTGCTTTGATATCTTTTTAATTTAAAAATTATATATGGAAGCTATTTATAGAACTATTAATAGAACATTATTAGGTATGATGCAATGCAGTATGAGAAACGATTACGTAATTATTGACATAATGCTCATTAAGTCTATCCTCATAAGAAAAGCTTTTATACATTATTAAAATAACATTAATTGTGATGAACATAAAAAAATTACCACATAGAATTAAAGGGTACAGTAGACGTATCGTCTACGACGACTACATAATACAACCAATTGAAAAGGATATCTCCAGTGCGGGTTTCAAAACTACCATCGACCTGGGTGAGGTTTCTACGGTGCCTCTATTGTTTGCCATTTCTTTGGGGCAGTATGGGATTAACAGGCTTATGTTATGTTTTGACTGTGTAAATCGCAGACCTGCGGCTATCTTGTTATCTGTCTTTTACTTATTCTGCTTATTACTAGCCCTTGAATTTATTTAGTTATTATTATATGATAATCAGCTTCTTAAAGATTTATGCCCCAAAGGGGCACACGGTGGTTCTTTTATTGTTTTGTTACTTAAATACAGTTTTTATGTAGTAATTATCGTGACGATATTTTTATATACGGTGGAATATTTTATAACATTGATATAATAAGCATTATTTACTTTAGTATCTTCAAACTTGACCCTTAGAACATTTTTATATCTGTAGGATCAAGTATTGTATTTTTCATGACCTTGGATTGTAGTAGTTATGCGCCGTCCAGGATGCGATTGTCTTTGAGTTTGGAGGCGGTTCCTACATCTGATCGCTTATCGTGACTGCTACATTATAAGTGTAACTAAAAACAAAAACACTTTGATAGGAATTATCGAAACAGATTTAACTTTTTACGGTCTTGGGACATTGGCATGAAGTTTTTAATGTCCATCTGAATACTACAAACCGAAGTAAAGTTTAATTAAAAAAATATCCATGCGATTGTACATATGAATATGCATAATGAGACGTATTTGGATTATCACTAGTATTATGGATCTAGATAATGAAATGTCACTTGAAGGAAACAGCTGTGACAGCCCAGCGGTGCCCCCGCAGGTTATCTGACAGGTCAAGTGCGATCACGTGACGTCACTTCGATCTGTGATCACGTTCAACACTCAATCACAACTCACTTAGGTCTTTAATTCACAGACATAGGTTTCGTTTGTATAAATACAAAGTTATGAATATATTAATAAGACTTTTTGTCATGAGCTCTGTGTTGGTATTGTCCTTGAAGTGTGATAGTGATGTTGACTCATGCCGATGTGAACTTTTAAGCTCTATCCACGGCGACAGGTACGTGTAATGTTGTGTTTATAATATACTATATCACACCTTTGTGTATTTTATTTACTTGTTTTATACATGTGATTTGTTGTAAGGAAACACGTTTATAGCGTAGTAATTTAATTCCAGCCATTCATTGGCCTTATTTTAGTCTTTCATATAATTGCACGTGTTTTAAAAACCTGACGTCATCTTTCAATGCTTTCTGTTTGTCTTTCTATAAGTTTGCTTTAGGACTTTTGTCCTTAATTTTTAATGAGGTATTCTAAAGTTTATGGAAAAACGAGCTAATTTAATAATCGACTATAACATTAATTCCTTTGGGATATTATTGAACTGATTCATTCCTATTTGAATGATGTCAAACGTTAAAGGCTGCGTCAAGTCAACTGTCAATTATGTTTTTATTTAACCAACATTAACATAACCTTGACTTTGCAACGTGATAATTTTGCTAAGTCAATGACACGCGTAGTTGAAGTGTCAATAAAAATCACATTACGTAAATAACTCTAGTAAAGGTACACATTTATGTAATGATATTACGAAACTTGGTCAATAATGGCACTAACATAGTTACAGTTTATGAATTAAAGTCGCTTCCCATTTAAGATGAACTTTGTACAGCAAACTGTCACCATAAGAACTATAATTTAGTACATCTATATTGTGTTATGAAGTTTTCGGCCTAATCGCATTGTAAATATCGTGCCGTGGGTAGGAAATAAACGTCCTCGACTGTACAAGCCTCCTCGTATTCAGTTTGTTGTCGTGTTATTGTAGATCTTGTTCATTATATTTTGTTTAATATGAGAATTAACACAACCGATTTCTTTAGTGGAACCATTTGATATGACCTTCGAGAAGGACATGTCCATGGTTACATATTATGATAATCTTTATTAGAATAACCGATTTCTAAATATCATTGATATATATCAATAACAAATGGAACCAACGACTTTCAAGGAAGCATCCTTTGTAAGCCCTATAAGTTTTTTTATACTCGTGTTAAATAAGAGGCTAGCTTATTATTTTTAAGTGAATCTTAATTTTTGTAATTTTACTTTCTTAGATGTTTGTTATCTGGTAACTCCTGAACCGGTGTAGAGATAAGGAGCTGGAATAGTGCTTAGCCTACTTATTAAGTTTTAATTTATTTAACAGTGGTAGAGCCCGCTTTAACATCTTCGCACGATTTGGCCCGGCTCGCCCGGTGAAATACCACGACCACACAGAAGACAGGCGTGAAGTGGAAGCAATTCCGCGTTTCGTCTGATGAGTGTGCGTCCCGGAGGCCTTATAAAGTCCTCTTTCCCTTCCCACCCTCTTTCTTATAAGGAAAGGATGGGATGTGGAAGTGGGCTTTCCGGATGAGAGGATGCATGGAAAGGGAAAATATTTTCTTTCTGTGCATCCTATCCTCAGTCGATTGAAGGCAGGCAAAGCATATGCAAATGTCTATGGGCAACGGTCACTTCGCTATTTCAGCAATTTCAGGTGGCCGCTCGCTTGTTAACCACCTACTGATATAAAAAAATAATAATAATTTCCGTGGACGAAGTCGCGGGCGACAGCCAGTTTGTATAAAAATTCTCAAGTTAACATTTTTGCATAAGCTTGTCTATATTATAATAATTGTAGTGTCTAGTAATATCATATTGCAATTGGTATGTGAACCGGATAGTATAATGTTACCGTCCGGTCTATTCAGCAGTATTTATCACATGACACCAAAGAATTAAGTCATTGTTTTGGTTCATTTGTGAATGACATCTGTCGACAAAGCCTTTTTGAGTAATATGACTCGAAAACATGTCTTGTTTTGTCAACTGCAATACGGAAATACGACAAATGTGGCATAATGTTATTTTATGCGAGCTTGCGTTTAATTTCTAGATGTGATTTGAAATTTGATTTTTATTCTGTAATTGTAAAAAAACCAAAAAATAATTATCAGCAAAGTTTGGGCCTATAGGACTGTGCATAATGTAAATTGAATCAGACGTTTACTACTGCAATCCTTGTCTTTTAATGATTACTAAAGTCTCTCTGTGTGCCTTTAGTGGCCTATTTTGTTTACGTAAAAACTCAGAGCAGTAATTAGTATTGTCAAGTATGTGATGACACGTAAGCTTTATGCAATGCAGATACAATTAGTGAGGTATGCGGTATCAATTAGCATCGAATGCATCGTGAGTTGTTTTCAGGGAGGTGGCGAGCGCCTGGGAGTGCCGCGTCGGCCCGCCCGACCGGCCCGCGCCCGCCCACCGAGTGCAGGGACTATTCAACGACATCGAACTTTATCCAACTAAGACGCAGGGTGAGTAGCATTTTTATATTTAGACTAGCCCGCGACTTTTTTTTTAATTACGCCCGCGACTCCGCCCGCGAGTAATTAAAAAAAAAACATAATTATTACTCTATGCGTTCTTCCAGACCATGTTCTACACCTATGTCAAGTTTCACCGAGATCCATTCAACCGTTTATATGGTAAAAGAAAAGGGCTGTTTTTTGGGTTTTCCCGGTAATTATTCGAATTTTATCTTTTTAAACCTTTTTAAACCTTCCCCAGACCTCCACGATCATTTCAAGACCAAGATAAGATAAATCCGTTCAGCCGTTCTAGAGTTTTAGCGAAACTAACGAATAGCAATTGATTTTTTTACATTGAGATATAGTAAGTAGCGTATTATTGAATAAGAAAAAGTGGAGTAGATATGTAAAACCCTTTAACCCTTAATTCGATGGTGTCCAGTGTGACGAACAACTAATTAAAAAAAATCTACTGAACTAGTTTAGGGAAAATTACGTAAGTATGACTTTACTAAAAAAAAAAACAGTTTTTTGCCACAAAAAATTTCGTCGAATTAAGGGTTAATTACTTTTTGTGTTCATCCTAAAATTATCCGTTGTATTTCATTTCAAATGCTTTTGATTTTGAGTACCATGTGAAATGGATTACATTGAACTACAATGTAAAACAAGAATAAGATAGAAAATTACATTTATAAGTTGTTTATCATTACTGCTACAGTTGTGTATATTAAGGATGCATGCTTAACTTTAATGTTGATGTAAACGAGTAGGGTCTCGTGATGCGAGGCGGACGTATGAGGAAATAGTAAATGTGAATGTCCTCGCTACGTTTACTCATGTCGATTCTAATTTATTACCAAGACGATGTCATTTGATCTAATTCGATGAGTGTACGCAGATTGACGGAACATAAATGACGTCACACGTCAGCCATTGATACAAGATAAACCGTTGAAATTACACACGCCGCGAATTGTTCGCACTTAGTGTCGCATGCCATTTGCTACTGTTTGAGAGATAACATCCATTCATTGCGCCTTTTTAGTGTAGACTAACGATCTATAGACAAGCGATCAAATAAGACTAAACAACCTATCAAAATGGTTTTGTACAATGGCGAAATGATGCAACTTATACAAACAATATCAGATGTTTTAGATGAATTTGAATATTTGTACATGATTTCTTAAATAGCTTAATAATACATCATTATTTCTACTTCCAAGTAATGTCAAAGATTCAAACACGCTTGTCAGGTAGTGATAGGCCCTAATTTAACCAAATAAGCACATACGTTCCGCTCAAGACCACTTTCACGACGTGACATTTCCGAGCCAAGTATTTGCTTTTATTTCGCTTTAACGAATCTGTTATTCGATTTATTTATAAAACAACCTTTCTATATTATTTCAAATAAATTTGTTTGCTTAAATGCCGTAAATAATGTGACCTCAGTAAAGAGAGTCACACCAGGTTATCCCAACTGGCTAAATGCCAGTGAATCTATATTTTTATATCATATCCCGAAAGTGAATGTTGTGAAGGTGATATAAACATACATTTAATTGGCTTTAACGAATTACTCAGTGATAAAATTACATTAGAAATATTTTGCGATACTATGTTACGTTTTGCGGTTATTTTTGCTATGAGGAACAGTTGCCTGTAGTAACACCTCGCCATATCACATCGTTAAGAATACTGTTTTCACCAATAGGTAAAGAAGAATAGTACGTTACAACGCGGATGGATAAATAACTTCGATATTGTAATAAATGTGTATTGATATGCCGTGCAATTGCAGCTAACAATAGGCATAACAAAAACAGTTTAAATGTCATAGGTGGGTTTCCCCGTCGCCGCAAACAGTAACATGACCTCAGGGCAATGAATATTGAAGTCAATAAATTAATGGCGATCTGTTGCGGAGATTTCAATCGTGTTCTACCACTTCGTGTCACATCAAACAATTTACGGGTACAACGGAGATGTTGCTTTGCCCTTTCCCATTTAATATCTCATAAATCTTAAACTTGTATTTATTATTAAGATCTAGACTTTACTGACACCTCGTGTCTACAAAACCCAAACATTCATTTAGATAAGATTGTGTTGTAGACAAATTGGCGTCGTGTTTAATCCTTGATACATAACGTGATTTTATCAAAGCATTAAAGTTAGGAGCGACCTTAAGGCGTAAGGCTGTATCTGTAACTCACCTCTCAACTTTATATTTATTGTTCTAGAGACAGAGCTACGAAAAAAAAAATAAGCTAATAGAGATGAAAATGAACGTGATACGCACGTCTTTCAGATTACATTATATAAGTTGTAGTTATGACCTATCAAAACATTTGCCATCATCTACCCTTGAATGAAATGTACTATAAGTCTACAAATTTACAGATAATCACTTTCATTTCGCACATATTTGATGTGTGTTAATTTTTTTTATATCCACGTGTAATCTACTTGATATTCTATTTGATTATTTAGTTGATAATTTATTACACTTTATTTTTACTCTTGTATAGTTAAAGACATTGTTCATAATATTTATGCTCCCGCTTATTAAAATGACTACCGCGTGCTTAGAATTAAACATTTATTGTTATTGATGACTTCATGCAAATAGTTTTAAGTTAATGCTGGGCGTGTTTACATTTTAAGTTTTTTTTATTCCAGCTTAAATAAATTAAATGTTGAGACAGTCGGCCTTAATTCCCAGGAGGCTTAGGTAACGGTAGTATCGCACCTGCTCTCGTTTAAAAGAAAAAAATATTATATATGACAAATTTATTTTCCGAACGCCCCGGTTTTTATGCAAGATAATATTCTTTAAGAATAACAATATAATCTGTTCTGATTTTCTTAATTAAAGATAAGAGACAGTACCGCTAGGCGGAGATTTTACGACGGCATTTTGTCAGAAGTCGACCTCCCCGCTGCGAACCGATACATTCGATTACCAGACTCATTAAGGCTCGCAAAAGTCGGCGTAATTACTGCCTTGTAACTTATAGCCTTAAGTTGGCGAAATGCTAATTAATATCAGTAGATAAAATACAATTATAATTTGTGTAAATAAACTTCCTTATCGCAGATATTCAATGATTTATGATGCGATTGTTAGGTATTACAATAAATATTCCTGACATTTGACGTATAATTCTTGTAATTTATCAAATTGTCCGTGATACATGATTATGTTTTGAGTAATGTTGAAAGATGTTCTTTCCTTTGCCCTCATTTTACCTTTTACAAAATCATATGACTACTAGATGTCGCCCGCGACTTCGTACGTAATTAAAAAAAAACTTATTAGTAGTGTGTCTTTCCAGACTATGTTCTACATCCTTGCCAAATTTCATCCGTTCAGCTGTTCCGGAGAAACCTTTAAACAAACATTCATCCATCCATCCATCTAAAGATATGCATTTATAATATTAGTAAGAAGTAAGATAGTAAATTCGCTGCTATAGTTGTCATAATCAAAGGAAAATCTTGTGCTTGTCTTTTGATTGTTTATTAAAAGTCCAGTCAATTATGTCTATGTCCTTGGTATACATGACGTGTGAATAACAGGTCCTAACAATTGTAAATACGTAGTTGATTTTGTTTTTTTATTGTTCGTCGAGTACATATTCGCCGTTAGATACCGATGATTGCGACAGGTGTTGCGTTACGCCGCGAATGATCTCATCGCTATTGCTCACCCTGATAATATTACAAATATCTATAAATGGCGTACCAATACTTTACATTGCCTCTATACGGTTTACACGATATAAGCCCATATGAAAAAGTTATTGTACGAAGTAAGCTTCTTGTGTAAGTAACGTTCCAGAAACTTCGGACTTATTAACACAAGTTAGGAGTTGTTAGCTTATGATACATATGATTACATATGTTCCTAAATTTATTTATCAAAAGTAACGCCAAGAAAGTATAACAAAAAGAACCGATTCTCGCCATTCGCCGACCATACGTTTAAAGGAAATGTATTATAGTTAAGAAAATTAATTCAACGAACTGTTATTGTCGACAAGAACATGACGCTAGAATACCATCTTAATCTTTATGTTTTGTGTTTGCCCAAATATATAGAGCCTTAGAAAAAATATAAAGAGTTAATATTGTTATTTTAATAGCGTCAAGTTGATCTACGCAATAAGAATTGGTCACGGAACATGTTTTTTGCACGGAAGACAATACACAGCTCGTTTGAAGTATGAGCACGTTATTAAGGAAGCGTACTATTGTTCTGTTGTACTTACTATGAAGCTGTTTAAATTAATATGTACGTCTCGTGGCGGGTACATCCTAATTGGCCGTGTTATCCTCGTGGCTTAGCAGTAAAACATTAATCTCCTCGGTAATTGCTGCCTGTAAGCTGTAAGCAATCAACGCTCTTACTACTGACTTAATTCACTCATGTTTATTGTTTCGAATACTAAATATGGTTGAAATGCAGTTTACAGTTTACGTCATTCAGTCTTTAAAATCATAATGTTGGTAGTAAAGTATTATAGAAATTCGAATTGTATGTTCTTCCTGCAAATCTTTTACATCATCCGACTTTTGTCGGAAGCAGTTATTTAGTTTCAAAGTAAGCATGAAATCAATGTCATTTAACACGAAATGTAAACGCGGTCATAAATTTGAGTGCCTTCCCTCACGGCCTGGACATAAAATCACGGCGATGACGCATGCGGTGTTTTGATATCATAAATATGTTGTGCAGGCTCAAGTAGCAATCATTTAACCTCTGACTGATTAAATGGTACGTTCCGACCGGTGCGGGCATATAGCTTGTGAAGTAAAAATTTATTATATTGATACTTATTTACTATTAGTTAATTTCAATTTAAAAATTTGCAATGATAACCAGTATTTGCGCCGATTTATAACCTTCCTTCAACTGTAAATGTAGGTATTAGATTAATATTTACCTTTTGTCTTTTACAGTTTACAGGAAAAGAAATCCAATCTTTTCCAATATTTCTGGTTTTATTTCTACCAAAAGACTTTTGTTCTTAACTATGTATATTCATTACTAGCCGTGGGCCTGCATAATTATTTGTGACATTCGCCTTTGTATCATCGTGTCATCGTCTATTATGTCAAAATTGGCATGAGATTTTGTGTGTACTTTACGCCCGAGAGGTTGTTGCACATTGCGACAATCGCCGTTGATGATGATGCGACGGCGATTGTCGCAAATTTCATGCTAGGCCCACAGTTTATGTAAGAGACTAATTTTAATGTATTATTTATTGTTGTAGTGTTCGAAATGTTGGTGTGCGCGCGTCAGTGTGCGCGGCGTAAGTCGCTCATTCTTACCTTTGGGGAGTTCTGCGTGTTCGCCGCGGAGCTACGGCGATGCTCAAGGCAGGCTCGACAGTAAGTTGATTCAAAAAATACTTAAGTCATGTATTCAGTATGATCGATGCAATTGCTCGCCCGTCAGATAATCCTACGACCATTAAGCTTTCACTTTCAATTTTACTTATTCTAACAGTAAGTCTGCTTGTAACACTTGTGTAACAACATGATTGCCATCTGTCCAATTCTTTTTGAAGAAACTGAGCTAGCAATAATTTTCTAATCCAGCTGACGAAAAGAGTTTTATCTCTGTGTCACCCGAATATAGCGTATCTTTCCACAAGTAAAAGAATTGTTCAAATCGATGCATATTTAATGCAAACAATGAAATCTTTCTAAGATTAGTATAGATATAACTCTAATCGTTGTCTGCATCGCTATGTGTTACAATAATCAAAATAAACGGTTAGAAATTTAAAATTTCTCATAAATCTGATGTTGCCTGCTTCGTAATTTTACATTTCTTTTCACTATCAAGTATTCAATTACAGAGAAGTTGACGATTGCCAACTAGCGAATAACGTTCACTAACAATAAATAATTAGTCAACGCTCGACTTTCAAAACAATTTCACCTGTATATCGCAACGGGGAATAACATTCATGTGTTTTATTAAAAAAGTATCTAGGGTTATTATCTTATCAATTGTAGTTATCCATTTAATTGATTATCATTTGGGTGTTAAATTCTATGAGTAATCGATACCAAGGCTTATGGTTTTTGAATAGAAAAGGCATAACCTACCTAGACTTTTGTACTAAGTAATGTGACAAATAGTGGTTAAAATGAACTCATAGTTTTGTCATCGTTTGTCACTTTTGTTGCTTAGAATTTTTGTTTATAATTTAGTTCCTAAATGAGTATTATTATATGAGTAAACTTATTTAATTGCGTCTTATCCATGGCATTACAATCTCGTCAACAACATACTAGTTATAAAATAAATCCTTTCATTGACCCAGTATACTACAGCACGTATTAAATCTTGCGGACCACTACTACAATTCTTTTCGAACTATTACAAATAAAAAATCGGGGAACTGTAGAAATAATGTGACACATTCCCCAGTTAGTGTAATTTTACACAAAATTCTGCCAAGTGCACGTACATTCTTGGCATTAAATCAAATTGTAGCGCTTGGGGTAACACTTTGCGGTTTATATAATTCGGATAGTCGAATAAAAATAATAATAACTGAGCAATTAGTGGCCGCAGCGTCCGTTTCGGGTGCAACATGAATCAGTTTAATTTTGTCGATGACGTTCTGTCTTGTTTCCCTCGATCTTGAACTGCGGACACACGGCCGCGGCGGAGCGTTGACCCACGCCTCGCACAATGAGATATTGCTTCTGCTCGTGTTCGTGCATTGGACACATTACAATGCGAATCGCGTCATCTGCGACGCCTGCGATACTATACCAGACCTAGTTGCAACCACAGATTGTAACATTACTCCTTTTACCTGATTCAAGGGCCATCTGCGGACTGTGCTACATTACTCACCAAGACCTGCTTTGAACCTTACGATTTTGCCAAATGGAAATTATATCTTTCTGTTAAGAAAGTATGCTTCCAATGTGCAGTAATGTAAAGTTGAATAGGTTTTTTGCTGACTATTTAAAAACTTGTATAAAGGCGTGGTCGATCTCAACCCATTCGCCATAGCTAGTTTGTAGCCAGCACGTGGTCTGTTACTTGGTTAATCATGATTCACGATTCTTAATCTACCCGTGACTGATCTACGTCTAATTTATCCCAGTAAATTGCATTTGATCCGCCAAGGACTTTGAATGTCGTGTCAGTTTTATTATATGCGATAGAGTTTAAAACAAAGCCTTTATTCGCAGAGTATCCAACAAGCCCGACTCTCCTGTGTGGACCGTGGACAAAGACCTCCGGGACAAGGACACGATATGCAAGCATATGAACGGTAAGTGTGTTCGTGTTTACATATAACATGTTTATTAATGTTACAATGATAAGAAAAAATAACCAATATTTGATTTTCAGTCACCAATTTGCAATCAATTCGCAACTTTATAATATTATTAAGATTATTGTGATTTAAATATTAAATTCTATACTCATGATATAAACGCTTTTTGAATTACGTTTTAAAGTAAAATTACATTTATCTTTGCATGACATAAATAGATCACGTCCAATAATAATGATGATCAGTGAGGAATATGCACAAGTAATACAACTGCATGGTACATACTGGCCGAGCGGGGGTACGTCGTAACGCTTCCGTAACAAATTTAGCGTGTTCCTTATGCTTTGTTTGTGTTATTTTGTATTGCGGAAGGTCGATCGGAGACAGCGTCCCGTGATTCGAGACGTGACTAAACTTTCCGCACGGTACCAATCCAGAAATACATCGCGCAGCCCCCTGCCGGTGCCGGTTGGGTACCAGGGTTGCGGTTTATGACAACACTGTATTTATGTTTTAAAGTTTACCTTTATCAGGATTACTTTATTACTTATTTTATATTAATTATCATTATTTGCTGTATTTTTTACCCTTAGGCTCGTATTTTCTGATACATTAACTATATTGTCATTTATGTATGTATCTAAGGAGAGAAATATTACTTATTATACGAATAATTAAATCTCATCGTTTTGCCGATTTACTTGTTATAAAAATACATACAAGTACGACGTAAACTTTATTATATTGGCAGGAGTGAGTGGATCGTGGTTTTAAATCTGTAGAGAGAATTAAAAAAGCAAAGTCAGTGAGTTCATTGTCGTTACCCACCCACGTCTTGCCTATCCCGTCCCGGTGTTTCGCCATCTGAACGAATTAATAATAACAGAATAAGCGCAACATATATGTCTGTGTTCCTTGTAGAATATAATGTTTGTTTTTAGTTAAATTATATTCGTAAAGGTCAAGAGACTTAATTTTTTAGGTCTATATTTCTAAGTTGTAGTAAACATTTCGGCTGTCTCGTGAATTGTTTATATTTCTGTTAATGTGGACCTTTTGTATTATGATTGTAATGTGTCATATCATACATACATATAGCATTGTGTACATATATCCACGATGTTTTGAAAAAAGGCGGCATATCGTTTGATAAATGCCAGTGTTATTTATCTATGAGTTGCATGGCAGCGGTCCAATTCGTAAATTACATCATAATATTTGTAAGCGATTATAAAAATCAAGATTGGATGAAAAAGAAATGTACGTAATAATTTTATCTTTTATTAAATTTTATTTTTATTGTCTCGATGTTCGTATTGTAAGGTGGAAAAAATCTTATACAATTCCCAAGCGATATTTACGATACGATAACAAAATGTTTGGTCTAAACCCAAGACTTTGGTGGTCCTTTTTAATTGTTTACAATATTTGCGTTAAAGTAACAAAGCAAAATAAAGATTATTACCAACGTATAACCTTACGACACCTCTTATCTTTCACTTTTTGAATGAATTGTTTTCGTTAAAAAAAAAAACTTGACATTATTATTTCTCAATTTATACCATTCGCATTTATCGGATTCTTGATAGATTGTTAAATAGTTATGTTATATGTGTAATGTAGCTCTTGGCATTAAATAGATTCACTTAGTACAATGTTATTCTAGACGAGCAATATTCGTCGGTAACGCTGCTGTATGGAATCCGATGCATCTGATTTGCGTCATAGACCACGCTTTTGCGAATTCGACGTTGACTGATAAATGATTAATTGATGCTCTTATATTTTGAAAATTCTATGTATGTTTTAAAGCTCATATAATACGTTTCTCTATAGATCAGTGAGCTGAAAGATATTATAGTAAATATCAATTTAACGAATATTTTATCTTTGTCAAAAGAACTCTCAAAACAAGGGCATTTTTGATATCAGTGGTGACTAAGGAGTATTAATTATTATTAATCATTGTGTAAATAGTACATGGGTATAAGTGACGAATCCCCCGTCAAGTTTCCAACGAAATAAACAGGAAATATTACCTATCATAGGTACAGTCAGGGCCCCTCGCGGTGCTCCACTTGCGAAAAAATTAATTGTCTTGTCGCTTGCAACGTGACAATCTCCGCCCATCCCCTCAAAGTAACTAATAAGATAGCAGTAAGTTGCGCAAATGACGACATTATAGTAAAGAGCAATTAGTAGTATACCTTTGACCGACTTTTTTTTACAGACACTCTTAAAAGCTGCGTTCCATTGGTTATTGTAACCGCGTCATCGCCTAAATGCTTATGAAATGTTCAAATGACAATCGGTTTTAAGGTGGGATACCGCCAAGTTATCTGGTAGTACGTGGAGCCAGCGAGATGTTTATCGATAGAAATTATCTACGTACAAACAACTATTTTCTCTTAGTCGATGACACATTGATTTACGCGTCTGTCGCTTTAGTCTTACGTATCGTTTTTGGTTTGGTAATAAACATAAAGTTTTATTACCGACTACGCGAAGAGTTGAGCTGCTCGATGTATGTGTAACCTTGCCCGCGTTATTATAATACCTTAGTCTATCATAAATCTTATATTTCGAAACAGTATTCTTGTATTTCGTCATCCAATCTTCGACAATGTACATGCGCCGCAACCGAAAACTTCGTGCAGGAAACACTTCCTAATTGTATAATGACGTAAACCATTACTTACTCGCGGAGTTCGTGATATACAAATAAAAGCGAGTTTAAAAACAATAAAAAACAACAAACTCGTAATACGCTTTTGTAAACATTGACTCAGGATGTATCGTTTGTATTTACAATTATTTTAGCTGATCTCGTTTATATATACTCTGCGACCTCGCAAGATACCGTAAGTTAGTAACATCCTCTTACGTATAATGTAAAATATTCCAGATATTATCCAAATAGATTGTACACCATATCATATCCAAGACATATTTGTATATTTTCCGATTGTTGCACTTATTAAAATGATTAGCAAAGATTGGGACAAGAATTTAACCCTTATTGTGGCAATATTTCTTTTTTTAATAAAAGCAAAAAACAAAGTTAAAAATTATTTTATAGTGATCGTATATATTTATAAAGTTGTATGTATGGTATACTATACAAAATGAACATAAGGGTAAAAGAACCAAAATATAAAGAATAACAAAGAAAAGTTGTGAGATATCACGAGCCGTATATGATTTGAATGAACAAACATTGGTAAATAAACTGCGGGCACGGCCTCACTGCTCTTCCGCACAAACTAAAAGCGGAGTGCGGAAGTGCCGACGATGAGCCCAGCTAGCGTCGCGTTCGCAGACACACTACGTGTCGCGTGTTCACATATGACCGAAACCAATAAATTTTAACTCGATTAACTTTCTATACCCTGACCAGGAACATACAAAACCTAATGTTGTCGCGGAAAACTTTGAAACTATTTTCGTGTTGCGATGACATTGATTTTCGTCAAGTAAGTAAGACAAGTTTATACAAAAAGTATGAATGTATTTCTTATTTCTACAAAAGACCAAGACGAAATAAAGTACCGCGTACACACTAGAACGAGTTCATATTATGAACTTGGTCAGCTTTCTGGGGTAGACAGTAATCGCTAACTATTTAATTCAAGTGGTTTGAACTCAGGTCCACAATATAGAAAAGTACTCTAACTGCAATGATACCGGATCGTTTGTATAGCATTAAAATATAAATATCACTCCTGAAGGCTGTCAACTTCTTTGCGATTAAGACGTAACATTCATATCAGATGGACTGTAGGCCAAACCAGCTTATGTAAAGGTATTAAAAATATAATATATGTATATTCGTCACACCTGGAAGTCAAGACATTTCCTAATTATTTACAATTACGCTTTAAGATTTTATAATATCAAACTGAACAAGTTTTGTCTCAAACGTATGTTAATTTGTTTTTTAAATTTATTTATATTAAGTTTTGCTACTTACGTATATACGTACTTATATTAAATTATATGTTTATACATGGGCGTATAGGTGTAAATAAATACATTATTATAGGTTTTTGTCCATATGAATATTTACATTTACTAAATTTCAAAATATATTCCCTCATTATCTTTATTCATCGATCATTTTCATCTTAATTAGCTCTTTTGTCTCAAGAAATCAAAGGATGACTCAAGTTTCAAGGAAGTTACTTCAGCTTTAAGGGCAAAGAATAATAGACCGGTCGGACATGATCAAACATAAAATTAACTTGTGTTCCACAGTCATCGCGCAGATGACGACTGGCGATGACGTGTGGCAGACCTCTAACGGAGCAAGGCGATGCGGCCTGATGACATGGCTGGATCATCATCAGCAGTTAACCATGTCTTTGTACTGTACTGTATACAAGTAACGGAATATTTTAAAACACGGAATTGGCGAGCAGTCGACATCGCCGGAGTCCGCCACCGGCACGGCGAGGCGCCGTCAGTTGACCGTCGACTGCCGTCGGTGGACAGCGCGCGCGAGACTGCCGCGCGACGCCGCCGCCATGCCGCCCACTGCGATGATCGTGCCCTGTGCCTGTGCGTCTCACATCGTAAACCCTTCACCTACCTACATCACAAGATAACTCAACACCCTATCGCACCAAGACCCTCTAAGTCTTAGTGAAACATAAATTTTAATTGCGCGCGAAATAAGTGCGTTTATTGACCACGCGTTCAGTGTTTACGTTTACGCGGTGGCATTGGATGTTGTTCCCGAATCGGACCGCCGTTGCCCACGGAGCGAGTGCCGCGGAGATGTCAACACAAACATCTGTTACGCACAAATGGTTCGAATACAATTTAACTGTTCGTGTTGTGTGTACGCATTCCACAACCATTTGTGCGCTCTGATATGGTTTTATTTATCAGACTGTATTATTCCCGTTAGAGGTTAGAATTCTAAGTCATAGCACTCGAGATATTTAAACCGACCAGATGTGTTCGGAAATCATTAACGAGCGAGTAAGTGGGTGTATTATGTAGTAGAAGAATTCACCGACGTGTTTACTGCCCACGCGGCCGATGCTCATCAATCATTACCCGTGGCTATGCTCCTATACTCGTACACCTTACCGGAACACTTTCCACCTGTATTTATCGCATCATATTTACTATTATAATAGTTCCCAATATGTCAGAAATCAGAGAGAAATGAGCGCTAATTGCATGTGATAAAAATCATTTATAAATTTTCAGTAAAATTACAGCTTAGAAACTATTTTTAGGAACCTCTTCTCTTCTTGTCATCTGAGGTATCAAATCGATATCTATTGAATCAAAATTCATATTAAAAACTCTTAGAAGTCTAGAACCTCTGTACAGAAAATTTTGAAGTTACTAAATTATTCCTTACACCTTAAATTATAATAAACGTTATTAATTAATGAAAAAGCGTTCATACTGAAAAAAGGTCCAATGTTCTTTAAACCAATTTAATACAAATAAATCGAATATTATGTAAAATAGGTTTATAGTGTAGATTGGTAAGGCAGATAAGACGTTGTCGCGTGGTAAAGTGATCCGCTGCGTTGGTGTGTCGCGGCTGCGGTCAGCTCACGCTATTGCGTGCGCCCGCGCCGCACTACAATTGTTAACAATTAACTGTACTTCTTTTGCGTGTTTCAATCCCATCCGAGAAATAAGGTCAACTACACTCGTAGCCCGTAGGCGGCGCGCAATGCAGACGTTTGGAGTTTATACTTGAAGAATTAAAATCTATCTAGTTATTCCTGTATAATCGTTTTAGATCTAGCAGACCACATTGTAAATTCAATGTTAGTGATGCGTGGGTGCAACACGTGATTAGCATTCGATTTTAACGTATTCGTCGATTCTACTCCTACTTGAAAAGCTGTATATTTTTAAATAATGATATGTTTTGACACGATCCAAATCTGATTTTATTTTTAAAAGTATAAATCGAGAATCGTAATGTGAATCGAAATAAGGACTGTGAAGAGTAGAGGTTTCCTTGCGATGGATGTATTCCAAATTATAATGGAACATTTGATCGTGAAATTCAAGGATGATGTCACTGGAAGAGTCGCTGACCCCACGAATGTTCGCTCCTCAATGATGTCACCTTTGGGATATAAATGACAAAATAAATCTTTTTATGTATAAACTACCGGATGGCTAAGATTTGATAATAAAATGTTCCCACACTAACTTAAAAGTATTATGACAATCTCTTATTCATTTTATTTTACACTACATATCTTAAATCTTTAAAATACTGCTACGGAAACAAACCATCTAAAGCATTTAATAAATCGTTGTGCTTTAAAAATAAATTATAGTAATCTATCACATGTATAATTTAATCTAATTAATATTCAACACTACAACTAAGTGTATGTTAAAGTCGTATTAAAGCGGATATGTCACCTTTCAATGTGTAATACATAAAGGGTCAAATATATTCAAATTTAAAGTTAAAATCCAAGTTAGTTGATTGCACACCAATAAAAATTATTTGTTTATGGCAGTAAACGATTAAATTTTTCTACAAATATTCGTGTTTGTAATTTATTTACTAGTAGGTATACTACGACTATGACACATTTAGCCATTTTTAAAATATCTGATCAAACAAATTTGACAAAAATATCGATCGTTTATTGGACGCTTTAAAATGTTTCAATGCAAACGAAAAATTACGCAAAAGTTACACGAAATATTTTTTTTATAAAAGTTTTATCCCATATTTTCTAATCAAATCGAAGATAATTCATGCCGCTAGCAAGACTGTTTTTTTAACTTAGCTGTTAGAATCCTGCCAATTGAACATCGCAATAGAGTCCATATCACAATGGAATGATTGGAATAATTACAAAAAGATATGAAAGAAAAATTCTTAGTGTTAAATATAAATGGAATATATAATGTGATATCGCGCAGGTAGCGAGGCGTCGCCGCCGCCGTGCGAAGTGTTCCTGGGAGGCTCGTGCAATCCCACCACCTGGAGGTCGGACATCGCCATACCTATGCTAAAGAAGATGGGCATCACATACTTTAATCCGGTGAGTTTATTCAGCATTCATTTACTGTCATGGGACGTTTAATGTAAGATTCTTACCGTCGATTTCTGAGATCAAAATATAAAAACATATCGTCATCACTGTCATTATTTTTGATAAAACATATCTCTGTTAACAATACGTGTTAAACTGGGATTTTGGTTTCCGAAAACAACGGTAAGTCGTGTAGATTTTGTATAAGAAATCTGCGCTAAGGAGCCGTTTAAATAACCTTTAGAGAACTCTGCGTACGTCAGTTGATAAACTAACCCATTGGCTTCGTGTGGCCTTACAAACTGTTTGGGTGTTAAATATCGATAATTTTATATTCATTGGGACATTATCGTCTTGGAAACAAAATTATAAATTGCTTTTTGTTCAACTTCAAATTACAAACTTTATTAGGAACCGAAAATTAATGTTTCTTTATGTTTCTCAGCTTCTTATTATAAAATTATTTTTAAAATTAACTTTTAAATGTTATTCTCATTTATACGTACGTGGCGCTATGTCATACAATAATGATTAATTTAATTTATGCGTCATGTTTATGTATGGCGGATGTCGACCGAAAATCAGGTAATTTAAAAGACCTTTTAATTTTTAGTTTTTAATATAAATATAATTTTTAAGCCATTATACCTTAAACGGCTAAAATGTTCCAAATTATCGTAAGTATATTTAAAACTGAGTAATAAGGCGATAGTATGATACATATATAGCGAACTTTCTACAACAAGGCTAACATTATCAATGCAACAAGGAAACTGTTTGATAACGTATGCAATGTCAGCTGTCTATTTTGTTTGCAGCTCTGTTTGTTTTGTGATAACGCGAAATGTGTTAAGGAAGCGACATCGACATTTTCAATGTGTACGAATTAATAGTAGGCGGTATTAGTAATAGTAATTTTTTTATATGATATTCATAATCGCCACATAAATTATAATAACGACATTCCTTAGCTAGTTTTTTGTTCGATAAAAACTTACATTACCAAAATTGATTCTATAATGTGGGGGTATAATGTAGGAGGTGTAATGTGCCTTGATTTTTTTTATCCAAATACTGTTTGCTTCAACATGCCTCTGTAGTTTTTAATTGGTGGATATTCGAGGCAGAGAATCGATGTAGCATTGACATACTCAGATTCATGAAACCAACGCTAACAGTAACCCTAAGTGTAGATATATTGCGTCTCTGAGGCCTAATTTAGTCCTCTTTCCCCGTCCCACACTTTTTCTCATAAGGAAAGGATGGGAAGTGGAAGGATGCATGAAAAGGGAAGATCTTTTCTTTCTGTGCATCCTCTCCTCCGTCGATTAAAAGTAGGCAACGCATATGCAATTGCGTATGTCTATGGGCAACGGTCACTTCGCTATTTTAGCGACTCCAGGTGGCCGCTGGCTCGTTTGCCACCTGATGATATATAAAAAAAAAGAAAATCTATTATCTAAGTAACCTAAGATTTTTTGATACTTCTTAAATTAAAATTTTGTAAATTGTAATTCTCGAGACATGTAGGATTCGACCAATTTATCAACTTCTCTTTGTAAAGTACGTGATTTATTTGAGTTGCCAATTGAGTTGTGATATGTCACGTCCCTACAAGTATATTGATCAAAGATAAGGGATCTGTATCTCTTGATAGTATTCAACAACAACAACAGCAATTCAATAAGAAAAATCGATTTGAAACGCTGATGTCATCTCTATTTCAAGGCATATACTAGCTCGTGTATCAGTCGTATCTTATGTAAATATTGTTTTATATGTTAAGTACAGTCATTGCTCTCCGCGGTATTCCACTTACAGTAAAATTGCCTTATTCCTTGCAACGAAAGGAACACTGCCTCTACTCACAAAATAAACAATTAGTTAGCATTGACGGTATAATATTACAAACTGTGTACTATGTATATAAAACATGTGTCTCATTGGTTATTGATTCTGCGTCTTTATCTTAATGCTTACGTAACGTTAAAACGACTGTCGCTTTTATGGTGGTATACCGCTAGATTCCTTGATAGTACATAGATTATTTTGAACTCTACTTCCAATATGACCAGTATGCTGTACATTAAATTTGAATAGCTTAAAATAACGACGGTGAGGATAGATCTTTGGCATTGCACTTGTACCGTCAATAAAACGCTGTAATAAATGCCAGAAGTAAGGAATGATTTAAGCCTTCCAACTTCGCACGAGTCGTAGTCGTCGGCTTGTTGTTTCTACATATTTAAAGGAAGTAAAGCCGCGTAACAAGATATGAATATCGACGCCATATTGATATAGTGAAAGGTTTGCGTACTAAAAACCTCAATGTTTTCTCTTCCACACGAACGCCGTCATGCCAATTCGTTTTTGTTGACAAAGGCGCTTGTAATGATCAATGAATCGATCGAATTAACGTCTTGCGTTTTTTTTCCAGCGCTTCACATGTCAATAACAACTTGGAACGTAGTTCCAATACAACATTATTATGTTTGTACGTTTATTACTCCTAATGAAGTGTTATTGTTGTTTTTTTTATCTTGGTACTAGCAAGCAGTACAAAGATTTTTATTTCTATTTACAATTGGCTATACATGTTGATGAACAAAAAATGATTATATATGCTTATAACTATGTGTGCCTAAAATGTATTTAATTTCTATTCAAAGTAAATATTCTCAAAAATACGAAATGCGAAAAGAATGACATTTTAGTCTTCGAAAACGTCGAGATGTTTTGACTAATGGAGGTCACAATGAAACGGACATATGTACTCCCCAAAACAATTGGGAAAAGAATAGTTTTACAAATTAATTAAATGTCATATTGTTAATGAAACATGTATTAAATTGTCCAGCAAGTGGAGGACTGGTCGACGGAGTTGATGGAGGTGGAGCATCGCGCGAAGTGTGCGGCGCGCGCGCTGCTTTTTGTGCTGGATAGCGAGACGCGCGCGGTGGCTGCCAGTGTGGAGGCCGCGCACCTCGCCGCCGCGCCTCGTGATCTGCTGCTCGTGCTCCGACCCTACGCGCGACATCAGCTTATTGGCAACGAGACCATCACTGACCAGTTAGTAAATATATTATGTGCATAGTATGACTAATCTCATAGAAGGCTTCATTAGAGATAACGTATAAGTAATTATTTTACTTTGGAAATTGCTTCAATATTGGTAACAAAACATCTGTCAGTATTAATTATTGAGAACACGAGTGACTTACTACATCTAATTAGCCGTTCCGTTCCAAAAAGCAACAGTCACGTGTATATGTGTTTCTGCATCATCAGGTCGACGTAATATCCTTTGGCCGACAAAAGTCGAGCTGATCCGTACTCGTACTGGCACACCGCAAGGCTGTCAGGTCGCCGCCCTGTTCATATTAGAATGACATGCGGCGAATTGGGTGGGGGCTAATGTATGCGTCACGATACTTTCCTGTCGCGATATGTGGAGCATTGATGACAGCGGTGACGTCTCATTGTTCCTCTATACAACCTTATAAAGAAGCACAAATGAGTAACTACCTATGAGTTCTACTTAGTGCATAGTACGGTTAGCTAACGTTATGACGTGGCAGATTGCAATAAAGCTTCGTCATATCGTCTAATTGTTGAACACATGTCCCGTAAGAAATT